CTTCATGGAGCGCAGTTACCTTCCCGCTGGAGAAGTACCTATTGATCTACTCACATTTACATGTTTTCGAACTACTAGGTTGGCAGAAGCTGGGGCTGACAACAGAAGCTCATGTCACTCCCCGGATTCAAACCTGCAACCTTTCGGTCAACAAGCTCAGCAGGTCAGTGGTTTAACCCACTGCACCACCGGGGGCTCCATATGGGGATACGTTCCTGAATTTATTGTGGAAACTGAAAATCGTGGCTAATAATGAACTCTACTGAAATGAATGACTAACCACAGAAGCATTGCTCTGGAAGACTTAGTGAATTCCTAGTGTAGAAACCTTTCTAGAAATGTTGTAGTCATCCAGGGTAATTCTATAGTAACTTCTGGCAGAAGCATAACAGCAAAACAGCTTAGAAGACCTGGAACATTTCTAAAGATGACATATTTTCCCTAAGGTGGATAGGTGAAACTGCAGGTATCTGTCCTGCGGGAAGGGGAATCATACTGTGTGCATAACAAATGGAACATTATAACTGTAATATAATTATAACTCCTATAATAAAGCTTCTGGAAAAGAGGGCTATGACAACAGTGTTTGTTTTAAGAAAAGGCAGCGATGGAGCTCAAGACACTTAAAAAGTCAACATCATAAAGTATACTACATAACATTATTTTTTATCTACTCAGGTTGAATTCAAATTTTGTTGCTGATGTATTGGAGTTTCACTCAACGTAGTGTTAAAAGAATTTGTCATGATATTCATCATCAGATTCTTGAAAGTTGGGAAATCAAAGTGAAACTTCCCTATCTGACTTGGCAGCATTTCAGTAGTTGGGGAATTCCTATGAGCTTAAGTACCTACTTTCCCAAGGCAATACATATCCTAAAAGCACTAATCCACATCATCCGTAAAATCCCGCAAAATGAATTTACAAACTTAAATGCAAGCATTCACTGCACTCTGGTGACTACTTAAATACTATGATATTCATTTCATAAGAAATAATTTTTCAGTTGATCAGCTGCCAAACTTGTTCATGCATTTTTGCTAGTATTTGCTCATTTCTGATTTCCACACAAAGTATTTAAGATCCCATCAAATGCACATGTATATGCGTGTGTATTTGTACCTTCAAGTCATCTGTCAACTTATGGTAACCTCATGAATTTCCTAGGGTTTTCCTAGGTCAGGGATATTCAGAGGAGTTTTTGCCAGTTCTTCCTTCTGAAATATAGCCTATAGCACTTGGTATTTGCTGACAGTCTCCCATCCAAATACTAAGGAGGACTGACCCTGCTTACTTTCTAAAATTCATGTGGGATCTGGTGCCCTTAGAGCAGGTATGGGCAAACTTCGGCCCTCCAGGTGTTTTGGACTTCAACTCCCACAATTCCTTACAGCCTACTGGCTTTTAGGAATTGTGAGAGTTGTGGCACCTGGAGGGCTGAAGTTTGCTCATGCCTGCCATAATAATAATAATAATAATAATAATAATAATAATAACAACAACAACAACAACAACAACAACAACTTTATTTTTACCCTGCCTCCATCTCCCCAAAGGGACTTGGGGGGGCTAACATGGGGCCATGCCCAAACAATTACAATAAAACAAAACAAAATACATACAAGACACATGACATCAAGTAAAAATGCTTATACAATAATATAAATAAACAATAAGATAATAACAATAACATAATAAAACAGAGTATAAAAACAAAAAACAATGCAATGTAATAATTTAGACGAGGGCGAGCTAGGTCAAGCACGAGGAGTGAAAAAAAATTAAAACCTGTGGGTGAGGTAGATAAATAAAGTGCTGTATTTAGAGAGAGACTCAGGTGGGATAAACAATGAGGTTATTCTCAACTAAGGGATGGGATAAAGTGCATCAGAAAACCAATTGACACTGAGTCACGAGCTGACATGGGAACTAATTATTCATTCTTCGGAGTATTTAGAAAAATCAGTGTACAATGTTTTCATATGTCTCGGGAGTCTAGGCATTAAAAGCCTAGCTCATTTTAGCTCTTTATATTCATAACACTTGCTCAATCTGAATGTATTAACTGGAAACAACTACTGCCATAATGAGGTTTTGTACTCATGTTAAGGTAGACTCCACATCTCCACTGCACCGTTAAATATAATAGTGGGATGAATCCCTTGATATCGTGAGCTCAAGCACAGCCAAGTGGGACTTATTCTCATTAAGCAATCATGAACAGGCATACTCTCTTTTTAAGAAAGAGCAGAATAACAGATCTTGTTGCTATTCCAACATTTATACATTAGGCCTGAGAATATTATAAATCTGTGCTTCAGCAACTTGGGGAGATTTTCAGTAGTAATTGTAAGGAATGTGCATACTACTGGTTTGATTATAAGCATACTTATTAGAAGAAAAAATCTCTTCAACCTAATATAACCAACTTCCTGGTGTAATAGAGTACAATCCTATTATAACTCAAACCTGTCCCTACTAGTTTCAGATATCCCTACAAGTTACAATGCTAATAAGAAAACAATCAACAACTTTATTTGCTTAAGAATGTGCATACTGTTACCTAAGAGAAAGGAGTTTTCCCTCTAGTGAATACTGAATTATTCTATAGGTTTGCTAACACTGTGTTCAATAAAATAAATCATGAAGTGCACGTTCTCTCTCATGTCTACTCAAAATATGTATAACACACTATAACACACTATGTATAAAAATGGAGAATGGGTAAATAAACAAAGAAAATGCAAACTGGCTAAATGTACAACAGCCCCACCACCTACCATTAGCCAGTGGGGCTAATGAATAATAAACCATGTCCCACTGATATAGCTTATAGTATCTGTAGCAAATCTATAGACTGATTCACGATTTCTATGTCACGAAGTCACCACAGACTTATGGTGACCTCATGAATGAAAGACCGTCAGGTCACCCTATCCTCAACTGCCCTGCTCAGGTCTTAACAGACGGAGGAACTGTGGCTTCCTTGACTGACTCTCTCTCTGGACTGTGGTCTTTCTCTTTTTCCTACAACCTAATAATTATCAACCAGGAAGTTGCAAATAGACATTTAAAATAAATTGAGAACATTCTGCTTGCAATGGGAATGTGACGTGTATGTTTTGGCAGTTTAGTTCACAGGCTGAATACTTGGCTCAAGCAGGTGCATGTTCAAATCCTATCCACTCTCAGGGTACAACTACACTGTAGAATCAATGTGTTTGACACTCCTTTAACTGCTATGGCTCAATGCTATGGAAGTATGGGAGCAGTAGTTTTACAATGTCCTTAGCCTTCTCTGCCAAAAAGTACTGGTGCTTTTCTAAACTATAGATCCCATAGCTAAAGTGGTGATAAACTGCCTTCATTCCACAATGTAGATGTACCCTTTGTAAAGTTATAGCCACCTACCTTTGAGGAGTGTTGAGAGGATGGGAAAGAGAGAATCTGCCGAACACCTAGCTTGTTAAAGGGACTGTAACAGTGACTCACAGTGACAGAACTAATCCCATCTGATATGACAGCAACACAGGTCAACCTGTCCACCTAGTTTCACTCCCCTAAACTGCCTCTTGGTAGTAGTGACTCACCCCAGTTACAGCAGGATCAGCTACCTCATCTCTGGTTTCCTTTTGAAAATTAGGGCTACCCTTTACTGACATCAGCCAGCTAAACCGGACATTCACCTGTGTCAGATACACACACACACACACAAATACCATCACTATAATAAATCCTGGCAAAACAGGAAGGGATCTGGAGTTAGGATGGGAATGGGGACTAAATAAAAGTATTGAGAGGGGACAGGTGACAGCAGGACAAGGAGTGAAATAATGGGGGAGAAGGGATTTTTTGGGAAAGGAGAGCAGATAAATCTCAGGCTGTATCTACACTGTAGAATGAATGCCGTTTGAAACCCACTTTAATTGTTGACAGCTCAGTGCTATGGCATCCCAGGAGGCCTTTAGCCTTCCCTGCCAAGGCACAATTCCCATAATTTCCATAATAGCATTGAGCCATGGAGACTGAAGTAGAGAGCAAGGAAATCTCAGGCTGCATCTACACTGTAGAATGAATGTAGTTTGAAACCCACTTTAATTGTTGCAGTTCAGTGCTATGGCATCCCGGGAGGCCTTTAGCCTTCCCTGCCAAGGTGCAATTTCCATTATTTCCATAATAGCATTGAGCCATGGAGGCAGAAGTGGAAAGCAGGGAAATCTCAGGCTGCATCTACTCTGTAGAATGAATGTAGTTTGAAACCCACTTTAATTGTTGACAGCTCTGTGCTATGGCATCCCGGGAGGCCTTTAGCCTTCCCTGCCAAGGTGCAATTCCCATGATTTCCAAAGCATTGAGCCATGGAGACTGAAATGATGTCAAACTGCATTCACTCAACAGCAAGCCTGGGCCAACTTGGGCCCTCCCTCCAGGTGTTTTGGACTTCAACTCCCACCATTCCTGACAGCCTCAAGCCCCTTCCTTTCTCCAGTCAATTGCTTAAGCTGTTAGGAATTGTGGGAGTTGAAGTCCAAAACAGCTGGAGGGAGGGCCCAAGTTGGCCTGTTCTACAGTGTATCTAGATGCACCCTAAACTATACCATCACTATAACAAATGCTGGAGAAACTGAAAAGGGAAGAGACCTGGTAGAAAAATAAAAGTGGGGGGGGGGGCAGTGATGACAACAACAAAAGGAGATGATGAAGGATGAGGGTCTTTTTCAAGGGAGAAGATCAGGCAAACCTACAAGGCCAGGGGCTATAAATACAGCCACCTTGATGGAGGGGGAAGAGAACAAGGGTGGAGAATGAATGGGGGTCACGGGGAGGGATGGCTCAAAAATGGGGGCTGCCTGAAAAGTGYGGCTCTGACAACAGAGCAGACTAGGGTGGGGGGTGCATGCAGAAGAGACTCAAGGCAAAGAGAAAGGCCGCTGRGAGAGAGGGAAGGAAGGAAGGAAGGCGGAAGGAGGGAAGACCCCAGAGGCCCCGGYCTCGCTCACCTGCCGCCAAGCGCTCTCCGCTCCGCCCGGCACCGACACAGCAGCACTAGCAGCCCCCAGGCCGCTCCGCGATCCCTCCTCCTCCTCTTCCTCCTCCTCCTCCTCCTCCTCCTCCGCTCCGCCCCTCCTCCTCTACTACAATTTTTAAAAAGACCTGCCAAAGAGCAATTGCTGTTCTTCTGAGCGAAGTCTGAGCTGCGGTGACTCCTTCCATTGGGTTTTCTTGACATGGCTTATTCAGGGGAAAAAGATCCTTCATTGCATTGTCGAAAGCTTTCATGGCCGGGATCACTGAGTTGCTGTGAGTTTTCCGGGCTGTATGGCCGTATTCCATAGCTTGACGAATGCAAGGCTGGGGTGAAAATTGCTGGAAGAAACATTGACAACCTTAGATATGCAGATGATACCACTTTGATGGTCGAAAGCGAGGAGGAGCTGAGGAGCCTTCTAATCAAGGTGAAAGAAGAAGAAAGCGCAAAAGCTGGGTTGCAGCTAAATATAAAAAAACCAAGATTATGGCAACAAGAATGATTGACAACTGGGAAATAGAGGGAGAAAACTTGGAGGCCTGACAGACTTTGTATTTCTAGGTACAAAGATTACTGCAGCCAGGAAATCAGGAGACGCTTTCTTCTTGGGAGGAGAGAAATGTCCAATCTCAATAAAATAGTGAAGAGTAGAGACATCACACTGGCAACGAAGATCCGCATAGTTAAAGCAATGGTATTTCCCATAGTCACCTATGAACATGAAAGCTGGACGAAGGATGATAGATGCTTTTGAACTGTGGTGCTAGAGGAATGTTTCTGGTCCGCCAGAAAACCCAACCAGTCCATACTTCAGGAAATAAAGCCCGACTGCTCACTGGAGGGAAGGATAGTAGAGGCCAAGATGAAGTACTTTGGCCACATCATGAGGAGACAGGAAAGCTTAAAGAAGACAATTATGTTGGGGGAAATGGAAGGGAAAAGGAAGCGGGGCCGACCAAGGGCAAGATCGATGGATGGCATCCTTGAAGTGACTGGCTTGACCTTGAAGGAGCTGGGGGTGATGATGGCCGACAGGGAGCTCTGACGTGGGCTGGTCCATGAGGTCATGAAGAATCGGAAGCGACTGAATGAATACACAACAACATGGCCATATTCCAGAAGCATTCTCTCCTGACGTTTTGCCTGCATCTATAGCAGGCATCCTCAGAGGTGTGAGAGTTGTTGGAAACTAGGCAAGTGGGGTTTATATATCTGTGGAATGTCCAGGGTGGGAGAAAGAACTCTTGTGTGTTTAAGGCAGGTTTAAATGTTGCAATTAATCACCTTGATTAACATTTAATAAACTTGCAGCTTCAAATCCTGGCTGCTTCCTGCCTGGTGGAATCCTTTGTTAGGAGGTGATTAGCAAGTGAGAGTCCAAAAGTAGCAGGCTAATACCCAGGACCTCAAGCCATGGCTGATATTGAATGAGAGACTCTCCCCTGGGCACACAAAAGACTGGGGGCCCTTCCACACAGCCCTATATCCCAAAACATGAAGGCAGAAAATCCCACATTATCTGAGTGTGGACTCACATAACCCAGTTTAAAGCAGACTGCACTCTGGCACCACAAGATGCAGAGCCAACCTTAAGACACGGGACCACAAAGTGGAGTCCATGACATGTGAGTGTGGAGAAGAACAAACCACAGACCACTTACTACAATGCAGCCTCAGCCCTGCCACATGCACAATGGAGGACTTTCTTACAGCAACACCAGAGGCACTCCAAGTGGCCAGCTTCTGGTCAAAGGACATTTAGCATAATGCCAAGTTTTCCATAGAATCATAGAGTTGGAAGAGACCTCTTGGGCCATCCAGTCCAATCCCCTGCCAAGAAGCAGGAATAACTTTGTGTTTTTAAATACATTACAACTGTACCCTCGGTTCGCTTCTGATATGATAAATAAATAAGCTGCCCCTGATTTTTTTCTTGCCTGGAATTCCCCTGTTTTTGAGTGTTGTACTTTATTTACTGTTTTGATTTTAGAGTTTTTAAATACTGGTAGCCAGATGTTGTTCAATTTCATGGTTTCATGGAAACAATAAGGGCCAGCTAATCACCTCCCAACAAAGGATTCCCCCAGGCAGTAAGCAGCCAGACCTTGAAACTGCAAGGCCATTAAATCCTAATCAAGTTGGCCAACTGCAAAATTCACACCTGCCTGAAACAGACAAGAGTTCTTTCTTCCACCCTGGATATTCCACAGATATATAAACCCAATTTTCCTAGTTTCCAACAGACTTCACAACCTCTGAGGATGCCTGCCATAGATGCAGGCGGGACATCAGGAGAGAATGCCTCTGGAACATAGCCATACAGCCCAAAAAACTCACAGCAATCCATTGTCCATTGCCTTTCTTTCTCTTAGATCAGGCATGGACAAACTTGGGCTCTCCGGGTGTTTTGGACTTCAACTCCCACAATTCCCAACAGTCCAAAACACCTGGAGAGCCCATTTGCCCATGCCTGGTCAAAAAGAAGTCACACAACAAATTCTCTTTTGATTCTTACAGTTGCCAGTTACCAGTCCCCATCGCCAGGATTTTACATATGAAGAATCACACTGTGGATTTTGTGATGTGAGAGTGGTTATGCAAATATCTTTTGATGGGCAAGCAGATGTATATACTGGTTGAAAAAACAACACTCTATGCCATCCTTTTGTTTTTATACATGGACTGAAAAGCAGCTTTTACACATTTCCAGTTATACATTTTTATTTCAGGAAATTGAAGCACAGTACATTGGTTTAAGTGTTTGACTACACATTTGAATTTATTCTCAGACTTGGAGACCCACTAGGTGACCTTGAGCAAGTCACATTATGTCAGCCTCAGAGGAAGGCAAACTCATTCTGAACAAATCTTGCCAAGAAAACCCAGTAATAAATTCACCTTAGCATCATAGAATCATATAGAATTACAAAGTTGGAAAAGACCTTGTGGGCCATCCAGTCCAACCCCCTACCAAAAAGCAGGAAAATCGCGTTCAAAGCACTCCCCAACAGATGGCCACCCAGTCTCTGTTTAAATGTTTCCAAAGAAGGAGATTCCACCACACTCCGGGGCAGAGAGTTCCACTGCTGAACAGCTCTCACAGTCAGGAAGTTCTTCCTAATGTTCAGGTAGAATCTCCTTTCCTGTAATTTGAAACCATTGCTCCATGTTCTAGTTTCAAGGAAGCAGAAAACAAGCTTGCTCCCTCCCCCCTATGACTTCCCCTCATATATTTACACATGGCCATCATGTCTCCTCTCAGCCTTCTCTTCTGCAGGCTAAACATGCCACTCCTCATAAAGATTGTTCTCCAGACTGTTGAATTTTAAAATATTTTTATTAAATCAGAAAAAAACCAGAGGCACACAACAGCAGATGACTAGTAGAACTCTGGGGAGTTGTTTTGCAATTTCTTCTGCACTTTTTCTATAGTAAACAAAAGTTGGTCTGAAAGAAAGATGTTGACAAGCAGATCAAAAGTTGCTGAGGTAGTTTCTGTTCATCCTCTTAACTATGTCAACTTCCTGTTGTGTGCTGCTTTCAGAATAATGCTCTTCAATTAGTCTTATTTTATAAGCTATGTAAAATTTAACATTGTTAATGTGAGAGTCACAATTCAAACTGCAACAGAGAGAGAGAGAGCAATTTCACGCTGTCACTCAATGCACAGACATTAACTTCTGCTCGATTTGGAAACAGGAAATCTAGAGGAATCCAAATTTTCAGAAAAGTAAATATACCAGTCTTATTTTTACAAGTTTTTTTTAAAATAGGAGGAATGTTTCTTCCAAGAAATGTATTTTTGGTGATTTATTCTAGCAGAGAAAAGGTTTTGATTTTGAAAAAGTGCTGGTTTCATTTAATATGTTTTCAGATGAATTTAGCTAGTGGAACATGCCTGCAAACAAGATTCTGGCGTGACAGAAAAGGAGCGGAGCTTTGCCCTGCCAGAGTGCTTCCACTTTGAAACACTGGTGTGGCATGACCTGGTGGTGTCTTTCTCCAAATGTCTTGCATTTGGCAAACTCTGAATAAAAGTGTGACTCAAAACACACACATGAACATACCCACAAAAACAGGTTTCAGAGACAACAAAAACTATTCACTAACAGATTCACGCATTGTGCTTCTGCTCTATTTGGGTGCGTCTCCTAACTTTAAAAAAGATAAGCCCAGAGATGCATACAAATGCTTCACAGGCAGATCTTTTGAAAGAATATTCTTCTCCTTTGTCTCTGCCCCAAGAAAGAATGATTACAGCAATTGACTAAAAAAAAATACACTGGATAGCTTGTGTGACTGGGCATTTTGAAGGCAGAGGAATCTACAGTTCAATTGTAGTTCAGTTATGTGATTATTACACCACAATATTTATTTATTGGGGCCGCAGTGGCACAACGGGTTAAAACATTGAGCTGCCGACTTGCTGACCTGAAGGTTGGCAGTTCGAATCCACGAGACAGAGTGAGCACCTACTGTCAGTCCCAACTCCTGCCAACCTAGCAGTTGGAAAACATGCAAATGTGAGTAGTGATGTCACAGGCAGGCCCTATCCTTTCTGGACTTCAGAAAAAAAGGTAAAGACCTGGCTTTGTACACAGGCGTTTGGAAAATAGAGTATTATGGAATTCGACCTCAACAGCCTGAATAATGACTATGGATTTTGGATAATGACTATGGATAAGCATGAAATCAAGACTCTGCATTTTATATGTTTATAATTTGTTTTATTGTTCTATGTCTTTTAATTGCTCATATGTTTGAAATGTTTTAACTGTTTTATAGTTTGATGGGGTGTGTTTTTACTGTTATGCTCATGTAGCATTGAATTTTTGTAGGAGTTTGTAAGCCACCTTGAGTCCCCTGCGGGGTGAGAAAGGCGGGATGTAAGTGAAGTAAATAAATAGATCAATAGGTATTGCCTTGGTGCAAAGGTAAAACAGCTCCCCACGACATCATGCCGGCTATGTGACCAGGAGGTGCCTATGGACAATGCAGGTTCCTCAGTTTGGAAATAGAGATGAGCACCTTCTCCAGAACCAGAGATGAGCACTGCCTCCAGAGCTGGAGATGAAAGGGGAAGCTTTTGTCTTTATCTGTGCAGGGGGAGGCGGCGACAGTCCCCTGTTCCTCGCAGATGGGGAAATGTCTTCCGTGTTGAGTGATTCAGTATGTCCAGAGACTCCATTGTCCTGGATGGCCTGGCCATCAGGGCCCTCCAAGATCCAGGAAAAAGAAGCCATTTACTTATTGTCCATACAAATGGGTTTTGGTCAAGTCCTTTCTTAGGGGATTATTGACTCAGGAAGTCTGGAAATTCCTAGAGCCATGAGTTGCTGGTATGTTCACGAAAAGGTCACTTTGCTTCATAATTTCATATATAGACATACATACATACATACATACATACATACATACATATAATGGATGGGGGCATGGGGCATACACAGAGTTCAAAGGGAAAAGAGGAAGGCATACAGGGTCAAAAGAGAATTCATTTCCGCCACCCCAACGTCCAGCAAAGTTCATGAAAGTTGATAAAAAGTCCATAAAAGTTCCTAAAGGTTCCTATAAAGTTCATGGGAGTTTATAAAAGTTCATAAGAGCACTGAGTAGCCAAAGTCCATTCATAAAAACAGGAGGTTCATTCATTAAAAAAAGGAATCCAGTTCATAAATAACAGCCAAATTGGTCAGATGGTAGTTTGGTTACAGGGGCGTTGCCATGTGGGATCATGGAAAGAGCCTTAGGTTCCTGCATGGGGGAGAGATAGGGGATTATGGGATCATTCCAGCCTGGCGTCCTTGGCAAAACTATGCATTTCCTGATTTTGAAATATCTTTTACTGCACCCGGGGGGGGGGGGTCACCTCCAATTACATTAGGATGGAGGGGGTGTCCTGATTTCATTGGGGAGTTCCACAAATGAGAGGCCACCACTGAGAAGGCCGTTTCTCATCCCCACTTGTCGTGCTTGCGGTGGTGGTGGGACTGAGAGCAGGGTCTCCCCAGATGATACTAATCTCTGCAGTGGTTCATAGGAGGAGATACATTTGGACAGGTAAGCTGGGAGGGAACTGTTTAGGGCTTTATAGGCTAAAGCCAGCACTTTGAATTGTGCTTGGTAGCAAACTGGCAGCTAATGGAGCTGACGTAACAGGGGGGTGGTATGCTCCCTGAATAACACTCCGGTGAGCAACCTGTCTGTCGCCCGTTGGACTATTTGAATCTTCCGAACAATCTTCAAAGGCAACCCCATGTAGAGCATGTTGCAATAGAGAAGGGTGGGGTACAAATATTTGAAGTAAGTCTATATGCGATGTCACCAGAGCGTGGACCACTGTGGCCAAGTCAGACTTCTCAAGGTATGGGTGCAGCTGGCACGCAAGTTTTAATTGTGCAAAAGCTCCCCTGGCCACTGCCGAAACCTGGGGTTCCAGGCTCAGTGATGAATCCAGGATCACTCCCAAGCTGTGAACCTGCATCTTCAGGGGGAGTGAAACCTCATCCAGCACAGGCTGTAACCCTCACTGTATATGCAGTGAGAAAGCCTAAACCAGGCATCCTGAAACTGCGGCCTTCCAGCTGTTTGGGTCTTCAACTCCCAGAATTCCTGACAATTGAACAAGCTCGTTAGGACTTCTGGGAGTTGGAGGACCAAACTGCTGGAAGGCTGCAGTTTGAGGGTGCCTGGACTAAACCAATTGTGGGGGGCCAGTGGGGATACAGTCCAAATCATCTACACCAGGCCTGGGTCAACTTCGGCCCTCCAGGTGTTTTGGGCTTCAACTTCCACCATTCCTAACAGAAGACCAAAACACCTGGAAGGCCGAAGATGGCCCAGACCTGGTACAGATTCATCCTTATATGTTAATAGAGAGAGAACACCAACGTGGTCCCTTTAAGAGCGCCCCCCTCCCCCCTTTTTTTTCTTCCTACGGAGAGGGCGCGTGGCCTCTTTGGCTCTAAGCCCCGCCCCCGGCTGCGGGTCGCTCCGGCTCCCGGAAGTGCCACGTGTACGGAGTGCGCCTGCGCGGCCTGCCCGGGCCTCTTCCGGTGCGAGGGTGAGTCCCTCCCCTTCTGGGCTTGGCGCTGGGGCCGCCGGAGCAGTTAGGCTGAGGCAGGCACCTTCCCAGCCGCGCAGCGACCCTCCTGCCGCGGCCATGGCCCAGCCGGGGAGAACCGCCTACGCGGGGAGCCAGAACGGCGCCGGGCAGCCCCAGCAGCGCCCCTACAGCAACGGTGAGACCCCGGCCAGCCAGCCGGCGGGGCCTCGGTATCCGCAGGGGTTGGGTCTCCGTGGATACTCGGGTCCCATCCTATGTCTAGTGGCATTGGCAAATTGTGTCCTTTATATCAAACGGGTATTTAAAATATATGCTCGTACCGTGGATGATTGAAGCCATAGACGCTGGAAACCGTGGATACATGGGCCCAGTTGTAACTAGTTTGGCCTCTAACCCAGGCATGGGCAAACTTGGGCCCTCCAGGTGTTTTGGACTTCAACTCCCACCATTCCTAACAGCCGGTAGGCTGTTAGGAATGGTGGGAGTTGAAGTCCAAAACACCTGGAGGGCCCAAGTTTGCCCATGCCTTCTGTACAATTAGTGCAGCTTGGCACCATTTAAAGTCTCACAGCTCAATGCTATGGAATTGTGGCAGTTGTAGTTTTACAAGGTCTTCAGCCTTCTCTGCCGAAGAGTCTTGGGCCTCACCAAAGTACGCACCCCAGGGTTCTATAGCATCGGGTCGTGGCAAATCAAGTGGTATCAAACTGTGTTAATTCTCCAGTGTAGACACATCCTGGGTAATCTGAATCAGAGCCTGGTTTGAGTCTGCGGAGGTTCCCTTTGCTCTTGCCGAGGCCGGAGAAAACGAAGGCTTCAATTTCCTTTACTGGGTGGAAGTCAGAGTTTGTGTGTCACAAGCTAGTGAGTAATAAATAAGGAAGTGCTTTGCATAGTAGTACATAATAGTAGTAGTAGTACCAGCATTTGATGACTACTCTGGGGCCTAGGCATTGGTTGGCTTTCCATGGGATGGGAGAGTGGTGTCTTCGTGGCACACTTAAAAGGGAGCATGTCTTCCTTGGGAAAGCATTCCGAGAACTTAATGCAAGAGCAAAGGGGGAAAAGTGTTCAGTGGTGGTTCTTGGAGCTGAGTGATTGTGTTTCCCTTGGGGTAGTTTCTCAGTGGGACAATTAAGGGGTTGTTTGTGCGATGAGGCTTTTTCAGAGAGTCAGAGTGGTCTAATGGTTAGAGAGTTTTCCTGGGAACTTCAGGAAAACTCCCTCATCTGCCCAGAAATTGCACTGCCAGAGAGTTGAACTGGCGGAGGTGGGAAGCAGTAGGTAATTTGGTTGAATGTCGAACTCTAGCCTTATTGCATGGACCCAAGAGGCTAATATAAGTAGTTACAGCAGTGGTTCTCAACCTGTGGGTCCACAGATGTTTTGGCCTTCAACTCCCAGAAATCCTAACAGCTGGTAAACTGGCTGGGAGTTGTAGACCAAAACACATGGGGACCCATTGGTTGAGAACCACTGAGTTACAGCTTTTGCTCAAGGTAAAAATAACAAACCCCCACCCCATTTGTTTTATTAAGGGAACAATGTAGTGTTGTGGTTTGTGCATTGGACTATGGGTACATCTACACTGTAGAGTGAATGCAGTTTGACACCACATCAACTGCCATGGCTCAATGCGGTCAAATCATAGGAGTTGTAGTTTGATGAGGCACCATCACTCCTTGGGCAGAGAAGGCTAAAGATCTTGTAAAATTACAACTCACATCATTCCATAGCATTGTGCCATAGCAGATAGTGGCATTAATTGTACAGTGTAACTTCAGCTATTGGAAGACTAGGATTTGAATCCCTGCTCAGCCATAGAAACACTCTTGGTGGTCAAGTCACACTCTTTCAGCCTTGGGGGAAGGCAAAGGAAAACAATTCTGAACAAGACGACCCCATCAAGTGTTCACCTTAGGGTTGTCATTAGGTCAGAAATGGATGCATGCATTAATAACAACAACAAGCTGAATAGAATACCCCAATGAGTATGTGAGCTTAATACCATAATGAGTGCATTTGCCCTACATCAGTGCAATGGTGCTGGTTTCACAAACTATTGATTGGCTGACTGCAGAGAATTTCAAAGAAAAAATGGATATCACCAGTGGGTACAAATATGTTGCTGGTCCCCTGCACAATAGAGGAAAATAGGTTGGTCTCCAATGACGCTGCTCTGCATCATAAATGCAACAGTTATATCCCTTCAAATGATAGTCCTTTAGACTGTATGATTTTGCAACAATAGTGCTCATGTACATCTTAGAAGCATAGAGGGCTGATGGGAGTGTTCAGTTCTTGCCATTTCCTGTGCAAAGATGAAAACACACCTAAACTCAGTCTACAGAAAGGGGTAGCTTCTGTGGAACACCTGGAAAAGTACAGTGTTCTGTGGAACACCTGGAAATGAAGTATTTACTTGCTTTCTTTAAAGAGAAAAATTAGCTGATCGGAAAAAAAACTAGTTGCAAAGAAACTAATGGATTGTGACTAAAATCAGATCGTGTGAGAGGATGAATGTGAGTGTAGCATAGGATCTTTTTTATCTGGCTGATTGCTTAATTCTTCCTCAGAGTGGAGCCAAAGCTCTTACCTGGGACTGGGTGGAGAACTGTGAACTATGCCCCTTCTCCCACGTGTACACCTACGGGTGCTTCAGGGTGAAGCATAGCAATAAACAACCTTTAAATCTGGCTCATTGTGCAGTTGGCTGTCACACCATCTGTATTCTATAGAATTCATCTTCATTTTATGTATTTTAATGTAAAAAGGGCATTTCAATGAGAAGAAATACATTTTCTTCCTGATTCAACTACAGAACCTATGAGATTGGGCACAGTGGCCTATTCTTTACCACCTACGTATATTCTGATGATCACATACAGCTTTATTAACATTGGCTTATGAAGGCTTTACACGAATACACATTTCTGCTTTTTCTCTTCACTCCTTCCACGTACTGGTTTGAGTAAACAGATCATGTCTGGCACTTGGGACCTCTGGCTTAATATCTGCGATCCTGGTTACTTAACTGTCATTAAGCTAAAGTTCCTGAGATTAGATTAAACAGGAAAGTCTGCCTTAATGTACCAGGATCTTTGTGCTGAAAGAACTGTGTGACGGAAGAAGGGCAAAGTCAAAGAGGAACATAAAGTTGGCTCTGGTTTATGAAGATACGGATGGTTGTTTTAACGTGGCAAAAGAGTAGCAACAGGACACTACAAATCATTATTTACTAGAGACAGATAGAAAATGTATGAAATAATCGTCTTGCTGAAGCTAAGCAGGTCTGCACTTAGGTAGTGCCTCATTGAGAGACTGCCTTGGAATTCTGTCTTCACCAGCTACGTTCTGTAATGGAAGGCATGATAGAAATGTAGTAAACAATTATCATAGATGCTAACATGGTGATTTTATTCGTAAAATCTTTTGGATAATACTCAGAAAATAGTTTCTTGAGGAATATACTGAACAGTATGTGAAATGCTTATGTTCTCTGTTCTTTATGTAGATACTTTACTTACTTAGGCGATCCCTCGCTTTCCGAGGATGATTGTCTTCCAATATTCTTGTGGGTCCGTATGTGGCTGTGGAGCCCTACTCTTGCTCTGCATCTTCTTCCGCAGTGAGGGCATTGGTTTCCAGGTGGAAGGCGGTCCCGGTTGGGGTTGGCTTGACGCGCCTTCCTCCTGGCACGTTTCTCTTTCACCCTCCACTCGTGCCTCCTCAAATTCTGCAGCACTGCTAGTCACAGCTGACCTCCAGCTGGAACGGTCAAGGGCCAGGGCTTCCCAGTTCTCAGTGTCTATGCCAGAGTTTTTAAGGTTGGCTTTGAGCCCATCTTTAAATCTCTTTTCCTGCCCTCCAACATTCCGTTTTCCATTCTTGAGTTCGGAGTAGAGCAACTGCTTTGGGAGACGGTGTTCAGGCATCCGGACAACGTGGCTAGTCCAGCGGAGTTGATGGCGGAGGACCATCGCTTCAATGCTGGTGGTCTTTGCTTCTTCCAGCACGCTGACATTTGTCCGCTTGTCTTCCCAAGAGATTTGCAGGATTTTCCGGAGGCAGCGCTGATGGAATCGTTCCAGGAGTTGCATGTGACGTCTGTAGACAGTCCACGTCTCACAGGCATATAGAGCAGGGTTGGGAGGACAATAGCTTTATAAACAAGCACCTTGGTATCCCTACGGATGTCCCGGTCCTCAAACACTCTCTGCTTCATTCGGAAAAATGCTGCACTTGCAGAGCTCAGGCGGTGTTGTATTTCGGTATCGATGTTGACTTTGGTGGAGAGGTGGCTGCCAAGGTAGCGGAAATGATCAACATTTTCTAATGTTACACCATTAAGCTGTATCACTGGCATTGGAGAGGGGTTGGCTGGTGCCTGCTGGAAAAGCACCTTGGTTTTTTCAATGTTCAATGACAAGCCGAGCTTCTCGTATGCTTCTGCAAAGGTGTTTAGAGTGGCTTGTAGATCTTCTTCTGAATGCGCACAGACGACATTGTCATCAGCATACTGGAGTTCTATAACAGATGTTGTTGTAACCTTGGTTTTGGCTTTCAGTCTGCTGAGGTTAAACAGCTTGCCATCTGTCCGATTGTGTCATTGTGTTATGTAGATATAAAGTAACATATAGGCTATATTCATCTAACTGAAACAATCTAAAACCTGTAGCATAGGTTTTACCATCTTTTGATCTTAGTGTGTATATGTAGCACTATAATAGTCATTTCTAACTCAGAAAATCTTGAAATTTTGCTGTGTGCTTTGTATGCTTACATATTTAAATATTCTTAAGATGTGGCTTTATAAAATATAATTTAACTTTTATTAGTCTCATAAGAAATTCTTAAGAGTATTTGAATACAGTGGACTTTTAGTATCCACTGGTGTTTGGTTCCCGGGTCTCACATGTAGATGCTTAACTACCTTTATATACAGTGATGTTATAAAATTGTGTCCCTTATATAAACTGACAAAATCAAGGCTTGCTTTCTGTAACTTGTTGGAGGTGGGGACATTTTCACATTGTGGATACAGAGGGCCTACTGTATACCCCACTTCATGCTGAATGTGGTTTGTGTATTTCCCACTTCTAAAATATCTTTCTCAGTATAAAGACAGTTCTTATCCTGAACAATTCACACTCAGAACAGAATAGTGTATGGGTAGATAGTAGGCAGACAGATGGAATAAAAATGCACTATTGCTAAAGTGAGTAGTTCTGCATTAATGGACTACTTAACTTTGTATATGTAAAAATGGAATTAATGAAAAGATTTTAGAGCAAGACTGCAGAGGAAAATTCTGGCACTGTTCTGTTTCACACATCATTGGGATCTATGACTTGGGGGTTGGTGGGTCCTGCTAGAAAGCTATGTAAATGTTTTGTTTGTAAATACATGATATTTCACCTGTGCCCTCCTTGGAATATTCTGGGTAAGATGGGGTGCCACAGGAAGGATGCAAAATTGGAAGAGGGCCATGAAACTGAATGAATGAATGAAACTTTATTTAGAGCCCACCATATCTCTCCTATAGCGACTCAGGGCGGCTCACAACAAAATACACAGTGCCAAACATTCAGTGCCAACAATAATATATAAACAAGTGAAGAGCAACTAAAAAATAACCAAACAACTCAAGTAAACCAAATGTAACACAATACAAATAATTACAAGCATATAAAATCCTTGAAATCTCATTAAAACATCTCTAAAATTAGGCTAAAATTATTGGACTAAAATTATCAGAGAGGGATGGTAAACCGCAGATTAACAGGGCGGATATTGGCCATGGTCGAAAAAGGTTGAGAACACTGGATGACACTTAAGCTTGCACACTCTGGCCCTCCTTTTCCTTTTTCATACTTGTGGAAGAGATTAGAAGTTTTCATATTGTAACCTAAATCACACTTTCAAGTTCTGGCTTCTTTGTAGTATCATGCCCTCTTAGTGTGCATGGTTACAGGGCTTTCATTTTGAAATTCATGTGAGTACTGCCTGGAGAATGAAGAAAGCAACCACATTTTTATTCCTGTAACAGAGCAAATAACCTCAGCACTTGTATAATAAATTGATTATATAATATATGGTTCTTGATGCTGTGTTTAGTGGCATGGGGACAACAGAGCATTGCTGTGGTGAGATTTCAGAGCTGACATAAACCAGCAGTGTCTTCGCTAGAACATGAAAATGATCAGTTCCTTATAATTCCATTTTAGTAACTAAGGCATAACTACATTACATTAAGTGAGAGTCATAATTTCATCATTTTACATTAGTTACTTTTCTAGGTGCAGAATTAATGTGTTCTCATTATGTAACTGTATTTGTAATTGGACTTTTATCATGGTGTGTCATTTTTCCCATACACCAGTAAGACCATATAGTAAACAAGAAATGCCAGTTGTCTAAGATACGTCCAGGAAAGGAAGAGACATGATTTATTTATTTATTTCTAACATTTCTATCCTGTTCTTTTCAGCCCCCGAAGGGGGACTCAGGGCAGCTTACAACGGCAGCAATTCAAGGCCGACAATGTACAACACATTACATACAATATTATGCAAAGGATAAAACGTTAGATTAAAATACATTTAAAACATTATAATGTAGCCAAATCAAAGTTTGATTTAGCAACCGACGACCCAGTCCAAAGTCTGTCATAGTCAAAATTCCAACATGATGATTACTGCCAAACCTTGTGTTTTGGAACACAGTATGTGGAGGGATTTTCACAAAGAGAGAGTGTAAGAATAAATCCGTATTCTTATTTAAATGTGTCATTGTGCAATTTGGATTATGTGATTGGAAATTATAAAAATCACATTCACTGGTTATTGGGTTTTACAAAAATAATACACCACTTTTCCCTTTTAAAAAGATGTTGCTTGAAGTAGTTTGCAAGATAGGAAAAACACAAAAAATATTTAAAGCAAGGTAAATGCAGGATTAGAGCAAATAATCAGAAGTAAGTTAAGCAACAGCATGCCATATTATTTATCATCTTAGTATTTATTAATACTGCATTGGCCATCTCCATAGATTATACATTCCACAGTCAGGTTATAATTATGTTATTTTTGTCTTAGAAAACATATTGTCTGGCAGGTTAACTACTCTGTGGCTGCTTGAAACAGAATCTTTCTCAATATAATAGAGCTGTTTCGTATTCCACTTCTTTTTCCTTTTCTTCATAATTAACATATTTAAACTTAAAACTGACCAGTTCTTCCAATTGTTCAGAAAAAAATATATGGATTTGCTATTTCTTGTAAGGAATAGCTCTAAATAGCTCAATGCATTTTAATAAAAGTATTAGTTATGCAAAGTGCTTTGGGTTATTTATTAGTTATACATAATTGGGTATTTTGGTGACCATAATTTTAAACAAACAAACATGTTCCTTAGCAGAAATTGATTTTCATTTTATAGAAACTGGAAAAATGCATAGCCTAACAGCCAATTCATTGTGGGAGTTTTGATGTGGGAGTTTGATTACAAGTAGATCAAGTGGTATAAATTCTTCAGCAATTGTTTCCAAAACTTAGTTGGGAGAAATATTATTGAAATTTGGTTTGCTGATACTGAACCAACACATTTTTTAAAGACTTTTCCCCCTTCCTGTTCCCCAAGATATGCCAACTTTTTTGGAACTCCAGAACAGCTAGAACATCACTTTTTCCTTTTGGAGTTGTGGTTGTGTTAGCATCTTTTCAAATGGACTAAGTTGCTATGTGTATATGTGTCTTCAAGTCACTTGTCAACTTATGATGACCCATGAATTTCATCAAAATAGACTCCAGAAATCTGTTCATTAGAATTGATTTAATATTGCTCTGTTCATTAAATCACATGCCACCAGTGTCCAGGTAATATAATACAGTTTTAGTGGATTGTTTTTCTAAATCTGGAGCAACTTTTGCAATATCAGAATGTAAAGGCAGGTTGAAGGGTGCATAATTTGTCCAAAAACAGTCTTGGCAGGATAGGAGAGTTGTATGAAGATGGTTTCATGATATGTTAAACTTTTAGCATAGTGTTGAAATTTGATTAATGAATGGGTTACCCTTATACAAATTGTTATTTGCAGTTCTTGACTATAAACAATAGAATTCTTTCTGTAATTGCCCTCTATTTATAGCAGTAGACAAACTGAAGACGTCACTTATTACAATTGTTCCACAAATACAAGTGTTGGGAATAAATCTTCCACTGGTTGATGACAAAATAATGACTACATAATATTTTTATATAAAAAAATGAAAACAAAGTAGGTTAAATGTAGTGTCTACCTTTGCCTTGGGATTGGCTTAACCGTGATTACAGATTAAGGCATATGTGTTTGTCACTTGAATCAGAATAATTATATTTGTTCTGATTCATGTAGGAGGGGAAAAATTCCTGCAACTCTTTATTCTATTACCTGTAACCTGCAGCTATCTTGTGTTGTTTTATGCCTGCATTTGCTTGTAGCTTTAGCTAGGGCCTGTGGCAAAAACAAAATTCATTATGTAGTTCTTTCCCTTGCTTTGTCTTGGCAACACAAGGCTAGATTACATGAAATGGAGAAGATCTCTCCTGATGTTTATTTTTCTCTTAAATGCTTCAGGGTTTTCTGGATGTGATCAAAGTTATGGTGTGTGTGTGTGTGGGGGGGGGGGGGGGGGGGGGGCGTGTAGAAGGATTGCTTAATATTTTCAGAACAGGCAGGCTTCCAAAAACCATTTTTCCTATCTGTTTGTAGACAGAAAGATGACTACATTTACGCTTTCTCTTTTTGGAAGAAAAAACATTTTATTGGGGAAAGTTTAATGGCTCCTCTTTTGCTGCCCCTTTTATTAAATACGAAACTAATGCAGTCATATTAGCTTTGAAACAAAACCTGTTGGGAACTGTTCTTGTGTGTTTTGCACCATACTTTTGGCAACCATGGTAGGGACTTGTGTGAATCAGTCTCATCCCCACAAACCTATAGATCAGTGACCACTGTCCAAACAGCATTCCTAGGGACAGACATTGACCTTTCCTGCTTTGCAGTTGGTGCAGCTTTCAGTTATCAGATTGGGCTTGCCCGGGGGATGAAATGTACCTATTTTTCTGTGGCATACATTTTACTATGATGTCTCCTTTTCCATCCGCCCCATGTGCCTTGCCTTTTACTAAGCACTCTCAGTTCGTCATAAAAGGATTTTTAAGGGACTGTAGTGTAGGGGGGGGGGGGATTTCTTTGTGCAACACCAGAAATAACAAATTCTTAAACATTTTATTGTAGAATTCTATCCAATAATGAACAGTGTTTCTGGGAGGGTTTCATTAATTTCATTGTTTGTTTCTATGGCCTATCGCAGCTTAATTCAGGCAAACGTATTTTATTCCTGTTTCTGAAATGTCATGGCTTCAAATTACTCTATAGAAAAAAATATTTCTATTAGTATTTATTCACAGAAGGTTGTTTCAACTCTCAGGTCCTGTGCAAAGCCCATTGATGAACTCCTCACGCTTAGTGGATGGGCAAGGATACAGTTCTGCAGTCCCCGGAGTGTATCCACAACCAATGGCAACAAAGAACCCCCTGCAGACAACTTCCGGACTGTATAACTATGGAGCATCTCAGAATATTCCACCGTTTAGTAATTTTCAAGGACCTGGCCATACTCTTAATAGAACACCTATCGGACTTGTTTCTATGGCAACAGCACAGCCAGGACCTGTTGGCCAGATGCCTCCTGTTCGGCAGAATTTGGTTGCTACATCCACCTCTGGCAGTAGTTTCCATTCTGGAGTTAATCCTCCATCGCATTCGAACTGGCAATATGGGCAAGCTCCTCCAAATCAACCAGCTACGGTCTCCCAAGTTAACAATTTTGCTCACCCAACAGCAACCCAGCCATTGTTATCTTCATCAGGGAATATAAATATACCAACAAGCTATCATAATGTTTCTTCTTCCGGAGGGCCTCCACTTCAGAACAGCTATACGAAGCCAGGTGAGAAAAGTAATTGTATCATTGAAATGCTGTACATAACTCTTTCCTTAATTTCATAATCTCAGACCTTCAAAATTGTAACTTACAATAACAAGTTAAGAAAGCATAACACTTAGTTTTTGTGCATGTTACATATTCTGATTGTTTAAAAAATGTTACCAAAACACAAAAAGACAACAATTACAGAAAATACCACTTCCACTTAATAACCCAGGTGATACAAATTGCCTGTAGGATGATAATGTTTTGAACAGTGTAGTGCATGCAGTTATGTAAACAAATTGTGAAAAATTAAAGTATACAAGAATTTTCTATAATTGATTCCATATTAAAATGTTTTAAAAATCAATATTAAAGAATCAAGCACCTATTGCTAAAGAATTTAATCTGGCCCACAAAGATGAAACGTGTTCTACATTTGTTTGACCAAATATTCAAAGATTCCAAATTACTGATTTCCCAGCTGAAATGCTTTTCACTATGAATAAGAGGTCTCTGAAGTTAATTATTAGGCCAGAATCCCAAATGGGCTGCTTCTGAACCTTCAGGCAATTTGGAATCTTGTAAGGAATGTTTAATTAATCAAGTGAATGTATTCCTGTTTCTTTCTCAATTCACGCCTTCAGTCCTGTCTTTCATGGAAATTCAAACATTGAAAATACATTGCAACTGTTCATTTTGTTTAGGTTGTATTCAGCTGGTAGCATGCTGGAGGCGGGGTGGACCAACTTCTTGGGATTGTATAGGAACTTCATTCCCTTCCTAATCTTTAGAGAGGATAGTATTGTCCTTCTTTTCATAAAATCACGCTTTTAACATCCCACCAAAACACTGTTTGGGTTATCAATCCGGTTCTGCTGGGGAACATTGCACATGAGGGTACCATTCCTGTTTCCCAGCAAAATTTGTGAGTGGCAACAACAACAACCCAGAAGGACTTCAGCATAATGCGCTGCACTCAATGTCCCTGTGCTGTTCAATATGTGAGGAAATTATTTTTGGAGCAGTTTTAAAATGCATTAACATTGGTTATGGTATTAGGGTTGGCCTCCAGAGTTATAATCCAGCACTCAAACTGCCCTATCATGCTCGTTCTCTATTCACAACCCTTGAGTTCTCCAAAATTATTGCTCTCATAGTTCCCCAACCAGAGTTTATTTTAAGCCAAAATGTCCATTTCTCACATAACAGAGATGCAGTGGAGCTGACTGCTGTTTTATTTCACCTCCTTTGCTCAAGTTTTATGGCCCGTAATGGTTACAGATGGTCATTGTCTCCTTTTAGTGCAGGTATCTCAGTGTTCATCTGTGGCAATGACACTGAGTTATGGTTTATTCAATGAATTATCATTCAGCCAGCTGTGCAGCCTAGAAGACTAAAGTATTCCTCACACATTTCTTAGATTAAATATAAAAAAGATGATGGTTGGCCTTATTTTTGTGGAAAGATTACTGTCACTCATAGTTCAAAAAGAAGTGACCCCTTTAGGAAAAGAATTGCTAAAGAGCAAATATTTGAAATACAGTCCAGGCATCAAAATATACCTCGGGAAATATTTCTCATCTTTCCTCCCTTAAATAGGAACACAGTTTAGCAACTGATCTACTGTTACTAGGTTATTAAAATGTAGCTATTCCTGGTGATGCACACTTGAGACAGTGAAGTCTGTTTTACTACAGACAATTAGTGCATCTGTTGTTGCTAGTGGGAGAGGAAGTGGGGCAATAAGAATATTTTATGCCTGATAGAGTTTGGTGTGTATTTGTGTCCAGTGGCACTATGGGTATGGTTTATCAAATGGAGGAGGTCACCCCATTTGTAGTACTGTTTATAAAATGAGGAGATTGTTTTTGTATAGAGTAAAACTAATTGTGCCACACCTGACATCGTAGGTAATCTAATATATGTTTAATACTATGTCTTGCTCATTTATGGATTTATATGACAGTACTGCAGAACAAGTGAGTTATAGGTGGATTCGCTATCAATCCGATCCAGAAACCGCATGGTCCATATATTGTATTTTGTATTCTATTTTTTCCCCTTTCATTCTTAAATATTTCTTGGTATATTTTTTAAATTAGGAATAGTTTATTCAGGTCTTAATGATTTTTCCTCTGATGTCAAAATGTAATATTTGATGAAAAGTTACAAAAGACTTACTGGTAGGTTTATTATGCAAAGACCATTGAATGATTAAGTCCACCTTTCCAACACCTCATTCAGAATATGTATGATATTAAAATGAACGTATTAATGTTTTTGGTTTTGTACCATAATAACAACAGGAATCATGTTGTGTTTGAACTCTTCTTGTTGTTGCAGGTCCCCCTCCTCTTCCAGTCCATCAGCCAACATACTCGCCAGTTAGACCTCCTTTAGGGCCCCCTCCAGTTGGAAGTCCAGCTTTCACACCATCTGCTGCTCCCCCAACAGTTCCACCAGCAAACATTGCATCCCCAAACTCAGCAAGTCCCCAAGAAGGTAATGCTCCAGTTTGTTAAGGAAAGTCCCATGGTATGCGTTCTAAATACAACAAATAGCTGAATAATGGGGGTCAAAAGAACTGTTTAAATCAATGTTATTGGCAGAGGTGATAAGGATGTTGACATAGCTGAATAAATTAATATCTGCTGTTCACGTTGTGCCCTCTTTTCAGAACTCAAATGAATCGAATTAAACTTTATTTTTTTCTAATGCAGCTATTCAGGTGTTTCAGTTTTCAAAAGGGACATTCCCATATTCAGGTCAGAAAGAGAGGGGTCTGGAAAATCAAAATTTTCCCATCTTAGATTCTGAATGTTGACATTAGTATTGATAGGAATATTTACTAAGGGTACTCCTCTCTGGCCCACATTACTTGGAAATTAGCTTTGTGTGTCTTAGATAGTGGATTGCTTTAGCAATTCATGCTCTCAACTCTTCTGTGCATAGAATTATTAAGGGCTTAGGATTTGGCAAGATGGTTCATTCTTTTTTACAGACTGTAGGGAGTGCATGGAAATAATTTTATTTCTAGATGCTGATGTGTAGTTATTTTCCTCCTGCAGATGCAGAGAAGCAAAGATCAAGTTGTTTAAAAATGAAATGCTGTGCTAAACATAAGAAATAATTTACTTTAAGAAGGAATTAAAATGTGGTTGTTGTAATTAAAATTGCTATATAAAACAACATCTGTGAACATGAAATTGCAAATTCATATGAAGGATCATGCCCATTTTGAATGAACTAAGATTTACTTCTGATTAAATAAGTACATCAGACATGATTTGATTTGTATGCAAAGATATTCTTCTTGTAATTCTTTAGTTTACTTATTCTCCTAGTGCAATAAATGCTTTCCTAGTTCACATAATGCATTTGACATATATTAAGCCTCCAGCCTCCTTGCAAATCATCTGAGGAGACGGAATGCGCATTTATTTGCTATTAAAGTAAGCCAGAGTAGGCATATGTGGATATGTTTAATTCCCATATTGGTCTACAGAGGTAGATCCCTTTCAGCATCAACTTTTAAGTGCAAGTTTCACGAACCTTCTGCACTGGATTTTTAAGGTTAAAATGTTTAGTTCTGTTCTTTTACGACACAAAGACCAGTTTTCCCAAATTATACTTTCATTGTCTATCTGTTTATGTACTAGAAAATAAGTTTCAGTTATTTGTTGAAAAAATACTGCAGAAAGCCAGCCCAAAGAATTAAGGATATTGTTTTATTTGAGATGGAAAAAGTGTCTTGTAAGATTACAGAAGAACTCTTCTAGGTTAAGAAAATCTCCTCAAAATAGGTTGCAGTGTTTTGTATTCTGGGCACAAAATCATTATGCAAAATGTTGAACTGCTTATACTGCATAGAATGTCACGGCAATCTGCCATAAAGGGAGAATTACTGAGTGACTGGATTGAAATATGTTACTGACAGCTGACTTCCTTAGCAGGTGATGCTACATGTGCTGCTAGTGATGGCTCATTAGTCCAAAACAATTATGATACAATAGAAGGAGGAGGTTTCCTGGGTAAGACCTTATTTCTTCACCTTGTTAACTGCTGTACTGCTACTTCTTGATGGCCTCTGTAAAAACGCATTTGTTTCAGTAAAAAAAAAAAAAAAGGAGTTAACTATTTCAGACAACCAGTGTACATCTCTCTGTTTAATCCAGATAATCCTTAAGTTTTTTTAAACAAGTGAAACACTGAATTCAGAAATCTTGTTTGCAGTTAAAGACAAACATAACATATAGTTTATATGTTATACAAAAACTAGACACTCTTAAACACTGACGGGTTGTTTTTAGCAACAGCATAGTGATTGCCAGGCAGTTATGGATGACAATTTGTGTTTATAGTTGTGTCTTCCTTAAATGTTTGATAAATTCCCAAAGACATGTGACTTGAATGCCTATATGTGGATTATATTATTAATGTGTGGGATGGGGAGCCAGGTGGGACAGGAATGTGGAGGGTCCAAGGTCCCTCCTGCCTCGTTTTTGGAAAGTCATTTCCAACAATGCTATTTGGAGCTTTAAAAGATGCACCTGGAGGAGGAAGAAGGATGTGAAGGAAGCACTGGTCTGGCAGAGGACAGTCAATCATATGTCAGGGAAACTGTAATAGGGGTTGCAGGAGAAGAGAAATTACACAAAGCAGAAACTTACCTTTGAGAATCAAACAGATTTTGGATTTGACAAAAATAGGGAAGAGCAAAAACGGAAACAATAGTCAAGTGAAAGAGCTGCCTATACTTTAGGGAGCTGTTATTGCTTAAAAGTTCAAGGGTTTCTATATTTAATGTGTCTCGATAAACGTGCCCTAGTTTGTTTTACCTCCGTCTCTGTTCTTTTTTAGTTTGGTGAAGGTGAGTTCATGATAATCATAGCAAACCCACCACTACAGCCTTAGATCCCACCTATAAGAGGTCACCATGAAAGACTGTTTGGGGAGTGGGGTGGACAAAGGCAGAGTGAGTTGCAGAATTCCAAGGCTTGGATGTGTAGGCCCAACCTGAAAATCTGTCACATATATTTGGTGGCAGATATCACATAAAAGTTCTGTAAAAGTTACCAATTTCCTGGCCCTACTTTGCCACTAAAAGTTCTGAGACAAGCAGATGATATATAGTATAGAAAACGCTTCTAGAGATGTGATTCTGCTCCCCCCCCCCCACACACACACACACACCCCAAGATGGTGAGGTGAGGTGACAGTAGTCTTGGAGGGCTGCACAAAATGCTTCTGCAGACTTCATAGTTTCATTTCTGTTATAATAAATAGATTCCAATATACATAAATAGCCTTATACATTGAAGGTATTTTTGCCAGTAATGGGAACAATTAAATTCACAAAAAGTGGACTGTTTCTTTCTTTTTAATGAGTGCATTCTTCTTTTAGCAACCACATATACCCCTTCAGCTCCTCAGAATCTTAAAATGAATAGACACGTTGGAAGTGCTTATCCCAGCTTGCCACCCGGCTACCAAAATACATCTTCCCCTGGAGGACCAAGAATGCCGTATCCAAGTGCACCACAGCAGTTCCCTCAGGTAAACTGGTTTTAACTATTTTTTCATTTACCAGAGTATTTATATCTCATCTTATATCATGAGTTCTTAGGGCAGCATACAAGAAAAAGCCAGTATAAATGGATCAAAACAATTTACAGTGATGGAAATAATTCATATAGGTTGAAAACATCTAAACCATTAAAGAGTTAAATAGGTTAAAAAGCTAAAAATAGTTTTTTATGCATGAAATAAAGTATGTGTACACTGAATCATCAGAAATCAAATGTGTCACAGTTTCAGCCACCCATATGGATGATTTTGGATTTTGGAGTATTTTGAAATTCCACTTGAGGATACTCAATCTGTATACATAAATTTTAACTAGGGAGATTTGGGAAAAGCTTTAAATAATTGGCTGTAAAGAGGAAAATTAGCAGAGAACAATAGATGTCTGTTCTGTTCTTCTGGTGGGCAGCATGGTGCAAAGGGATGAGTGGAAAGAGTCAAAAGAAAACAGCAAAAATTGAGGTTTGTGTGGGGAGAGATTAGTAGTGAGTAAAATAAAGGAGAACAGAAAGAGTGTTGTGAGCAGTTTTTGTACATCATCAAAGTTGATGATATGGGAGCATGATCGGAAATTAGGAAATAAAGTAGATTAAGGTACAAAGTGACAGTATGATCTTAGCTGGGACATTCTGGGTCAGTGAAAATGGAGAAATATAGCAAAGAAAGTTCCAGTAGTCTACCAAAATGATGAACAGACACGAAAGAGGAATTATATGTGTACGCGTATCAGATGCAGAGAACAAAGATGAAACTGAAAATGAATCGGTAGTGAGCGTTGACAGAGGCTTGGATGAGTGAGGAGTAGGATGTTGGCAGGGCTGTAAAAATGAGGCAGGTGATACTTCAGTGAGGATGACTGCTGATCTGTTCGCTGTATGAAGCATGTGAATGTGGAAGAGAGTGTTGTTTTTGGCTAAGAAAGGCAGAGTTCAAATTGCTGCTGAGCTGTGAAGTTATGAAGCTTGCTGTGTGACCTTGGACAGGTCTCTTGATGAGTGGTGCTGTGATTCAGAGTTAATAAACATGTGCTATAACTTTCCTGAGCACTTGGGTGCTGCGTGGAAAGAAGACTGTGTGCTATTTTGATACAGTCCCAATCTTGAAATTATAAAACAAGACAGGGTTGCTGAGGTTATATTCACATTTGTGCTTCTGGCTGGATTAGCAAACAAGCACTCCAATATACTCCATATTTTTTACAGGACAAGGTCTAAGGAAAGATGAAATGTCTGCTTGTGATTTACTGTAACATCTGCCTTATCTGCAATAATCTACATTGCAGTTGTGCTTGTTACATGAGGGTAGTAGCTGCTCCATCTCACCACCCTTTCACAACAAACTTTGCATTGTATTTCATTTGATTTAGTTGTTGGCTTTACTGTATGCTAATGATAAGGAATACATTTTCAGTCCCAAGTACTGTACACTTCCACAGCTAACCTGCTGGGAACTGCCTGCCAGAGGGATTTGTAGCCAAAGTTAAAATGGGAATAAAACAACATCCCCAATACACTCTTATCCATACATCTGTATGCTCAAATCATCATTATTATCGTATTTATTTTTATCCCACATTTTACCTGTGGCTTCCTTTAGTTTAATGATGGATAATCATTACTGCCATCCAGATTTCATATGTGAAATCTATTAATGTATTTATCGATTGCTACTAAATGCAAAGATTACAATCAGTCATGCAGTGAAACATTTGCATCAAGCAGATCAATAAAATTCTTAGGAGAAGGCCGGTTAAAGCAAATGCATTTAAAGATATTCTGAAAGACTGAAAAGGCAGGTGCAACATTTATGTATAATATTGTGTATTTTTCAAATGTTATCGTTTATAGCCTAAATATGCTAAAGCTTCAATTCTAAACATATATAATTGTGAGCACTACTGTTTGACATACTAGAAAGTATTCCTTAAATATATTTTGTCTTTTCACCAAATGGTATTAAAGTGAGCTTTCAAATGCTTAGAATTGTTCCCTATAGTTCCAAAACCATGCTAGTGATGTCTGAATGGGAGACTTCCCAAGAAGCGTACAGGCACGTCTGAACTTCATCATTAAGAAGAGCTTGAGTGTATGATAGTATTTATTTATTTAGGGCATTTGTATCCCGTCCTTTCTCGACCTCCGCAAAGGGACTCACAGCACAGTGCCAACAACAGAATAAAGCAAGCATTTTCTCCCACTTTTTAGCTAATGTCCCGTGTGATATAATTGTTAAGAGAATCAGATGAGAACTGGTTGATGATAAATGTATTCAGTTACAGGTGTATGTAATAATAAAATGGGTAGCAGTTCAACTGAGCTAGAACTTCAGAATTTTCTACTTCAAATTCTCTGGAAAGTCTTATCTCTCTGCTTGTTTCAAATGTTTATTAGAATAAAAAACCACAAAGAGGCAGCATTCAGAGAATTCTGCAACAATTAATTGGAAGCATCTGTGTATTTATGCCATATTGCAGAGATGGAAAATAATAGTTTATAGGCCCGAGGAAAAATCGGACAAGAAGATAAGGAATGGGGCAAAATAATAGAGTTGGAAGAGCCCACATGAGTCATCCAGTCCAACCCCCTATGATGCAGGAAAAGCACAATTAAACTACCCCTAATGATGGCCATCCAGCCTCTGTTTAAAAACTTGCAAGGAAGGAGCTTCCACCACACTCTGATGAAGAGAGTTCCACTGCTGAAGAGCTCTTACAGCCAGGAAGTTCTCCTACCATGGATTGTATCTGTACTGCAAATGTTTTTAACAAAAACAGATTTTCTCCCTGGATCATGACTTCTGGATCATACAATGTACTGTCATGCCACCAGCTAAAACAGCCTTCCCCAATTTGCTGTGCTCAGACTGTTTTGCACTTCAGCTGGCACAATCCCCCCCCCCCCCCCCCCCCCTTTGGTCATACAAGGTGACAGTTGCATTCCTGAAGATGTAGAATGCCCTACTCTGGGAAATACTGAACTAGAAGTGATTATGACTTTAAAAAAATCAGAAAAGCTGGTCTGCAGATAAAGCATTTGCCAGAATAAGAGGACTTCTATACCTCCCTAAGAAGCAGCAAATGGCACTCTCCTTTAGTTGTCTTCCCTTCTCTGCAAATGACATATCACATGAAATATCAAGCCAATGCTAATAGAGGAAATTTGTAATTGCCATACATTTTGCATCTTTGAGTTTGCTTCTAACCAGCAGGAAGTACAGAACATCTAATTCTTCCATTACATAGTATAAAACTGTAAATATTGGTTTGTGCTGTGGGAAAGAAGTCTTATCATGAAAATGAAGGGAATACTAATATTCAGAGAGCATTGCCTTCATTGGTAATTTCCCATCCCAAGTACTAACTGGAGCTGGCCTACTTAGCTGCCAAGATCAGACTTTGTGGAAATCGGAGGTGTAATTTGCCTAGATTATTCTTTGCTGACATTCTTAAAATCTCCCAAAAGAAAGTAATTGTAGTGGAAGTATGTAGCTTTCACTATTTAAAAAGTATTTTCCAATTTCTTTTTGCAGAAGATTCATCCTATTTGGTCCTTGGTGCAAATGGCATGCCAGCTTTCTTCAGCCTGCTTTGTGGCATATGCATTCTAGTGTAAATGATTTGTACATGTACTTAATATTTACACAGCTAGAAAATATTATTCTAACAATTGTGTTTGTATATATGAGTGGGCTTTGATATTATTCAAACAGGCTAACTTTGTGATGTTATTTCCATTAGCCTGGTTTGGGAACAAATGCTTTGGCGACATCAATGGGTGGACTAAGCCTTCAGCCAGAAGGATTAAGACCTATCAACCTCCTTCAAGAGAGAAATATTCTTCCTCCAACCCCCTTGCAAGCTCCTATTCCAAACTTACATGAAGATATCCAGAAGCTCAACTGTAATCCAGAGTAAGGGGTTTTTTTTAAGTATCTGAGTTTCATGTGTCTTGTTTTTGTTCAAATATTGTTTCTATTCGTTTCTAATGTCTATAGCAAAGGCAAGTAAAAGAAAATAAGGTGACTTAACAGCATTGGAATGAACAAGTAATTTTGGTTCATTTAGCAAGCTTAAAACAAGAAAACAAGTTCAAATGCACTGATAGTTGCCCCCGTTGGCTGCATCCCAGGCACATGAAGGAACAAAGTTCTCTACTCTTATTCAGTAGAATACTTGCCATTTATTCATTGTTGGCAACTGTAAACAGAGTATATGTGGGGAATACTCTGCATTGAAGCTGTAAAGTCTACCAAGTTTACCTTACGGATAATGTCCACTCTAGACAAAGTTATCTATGGCAGACCTTTTCAGCCATTGGTGTCCATGGTGTGACTGTTAGGATGTAAGCTCATCAGGAGCTCTTTAGTCTGACCAAGGAGAAGCAGTGGAAAGGACAGAAGAATTGCATAGCTGCTGAAGTGAGGTGGAAATGAGATATTTGAACTATTTTCAAATATTATTGCAGTGTACAGCTAAACAAAACCCTATTCTGGAGTCCTCATTACCATCTCCTATGCTATTCCAGCCAATTCTCTGGAGCAGATGTTTTGGACACGTAAGGCACTCTATGGGGGCAGGGAAGAACACTTTTTCCAGGCTGCAAGTAGAAATACTCTGCTAGTTCAATATCCTTCTGTGGTGGAAGGATACCTTTTGTCCATTGGAAGCTCATGCTGGATTTGAAATAAGAGATTGGTTGAGAACCTGCCTACAGACTATTACTGTTTTTCAAGTAGACTTATTTGCAAATACAGAGTAATACAATCTGGGCAAGCTTCACACTTCAGATATTAATATTTAGTGTTGGATTGAAATACTTCCTAAGATGTGATTTTGATAAATATATGGAAAACACCAGTGCAGGCAAGGAATGGATAATGCCCGTAATTGATAGTGACTTTAACCCTTTGTCCCTCATGTAGGTTATTCCGATGTACCTTGACTAACATTCCTCAAACTCAGGCCTTACTGAACAAAGCCAAACTTCCTTTGGGGCTCCTGCTTCATCCTTTCAAAGACCTGTCGGTATGATACGTTACTGAACACTAAAGGGGTTGAGGTGTTGGCTTTCCAAATAAGGCTGTTCCTTCAGCAGCCACATCAGACAATCTTCCAAACCATATCTGGGGGACTGTGAATGTGCTCTTTGCACAGATACCTTCTCACAGAGATTTATTCATATTTTCATGATTGAATCAAGGCAAAGTTTGCTGCAGTGCACTGACTACTTTGAGCAGTCCCTAAAAGGCAGGACTGGAAGTCTTGGATTCATCTTGCTTTTGAGGAATCTCAAATCTTAATGTTTCCCTTTGGCACATTATATGTCCTTTGAATTAAATATAAAGTAAGGAATCAAATTCTGTGCTCAGGGGGCATTACTCAGTGACTCATAATTCTCCAAAACATCATAATGTGCTGTTTTAGATATGCATTTTGCTTCACCCTAGAGAAACTGCATTCCCTTCAAGATGACACTTTAAAGGTTGACTTGAAACAGTTTCTTTAACTGTGAACGCTCTGCTTTTAGACATTGTATATCTATGTTTTGGTAACAAATGTGTGCCTTTCTCAAGTCTTCAAAACCTGTATTGTATTAGGTTAATTCTGTGAGGCATAATCTACAAATCGGAGCAAGTGTCCCTTCAAAATCTGCCCTTTCCTGATTTTAATGGACTATGATGGTTTCTGCATGCAAATAGGCTGAAGGTTTCTAGGCTGGGGAATAGTTACTTGATTCTTTTGGGAAATAATGGCGACATCAGTTGTAATAAATATAGTTACTTTAGCATTTCTTTCCCATAACTAATTCCTTTTAATAACATATATGTGTGATTTAATATAACTTGTAAGATATATTACTTAGGCTGTCTTTGTCTATTTAATAAGTATTATTTACAAGTAGACTAGTCTGCTGTTCATAGGCAGATATCCAAGTAACCCAAGATGGATTCCTAACATAAGACTTACAAATTCCTTTTTCTCACAGCAATTACCTGTGGTAACCTCCAGTACAATTGTGAGATGTCGTAGCTGCAGAACCTATATCAATCCTTTTGTCAGCTTTCTTGATCAAAGGAGATGGAAATGCAACTTATGTTATAGAGTAAATGATGGTGAGTTTCATTGTAAATGAGCACAAAGACACTAAATTAGTTTTCAAAATATTTGATGTACATATTTTATCTCTCTGTCTTCATGTGACATTAATTGTTTGTGGTTCTTAGTTTCTAATACTAGTATGAATGTCATGCTGTAATATTATGGAGATTTGTGCTATATAAAAACTTTATTTTTTAAAAGAGAATACTAACCATACTTGTTATGTCTAAAACATTGTAATCCTTGGTGTACTTACACCTTGCAGTAAAAGTGCAGTAATTTCCTCTTGCAGTTCCAGAAGAATTTATGTATAATCCTGTGACAAGAGTTTATGGAGAACCACATAAAAGACCCGAAGTTCAGAATGCAACCATTGAGTTTATGGCCCCTTCTGAATACATGGTGAGATTCTTCTGCAACCTCCAATAGATAAACCATCCAGTATAAGGGGGCTGGGAGGATCTGGGGCTCTTTACATGATGGTAAAGCATGGAGCAATGATAAAGAGTTTCAGTTCATCGATTTCTGGAAATCCGTTTGTTCCCCTCCCCTTGCAAGTGGGAATACATCCAATTCCTTTTCCTTTGTCTCTTTGTCTTATGTGCAGTGTCAAGTTTATTTAGATACTTCTCAAGAAACAATAATTGACAATTCATCCCAATAATTTTAAGTTACAGTTCAGATAACTTTGTTTATTGCCTGTGAAGGGTTGTGTTTGTTTAGCTTGTCCCAGTATTATTTTTGCAGAGCACTTGCCTGTGCTGAGACATGGTTTTGAAGTTTCCCAGATCTGAGACGGAACCTTCCAGCTGGTTCTAGATTGCATTTTTGTGTAATCATGATATCTGTAATGCCTAGTAGTCGCAAATTAGTTCAGTTTGGAAATACTCATTTTGTACTGGATCTAAACTATGGGCAATAGTTACATCTTGCATAGATTTTTTTCATTGGTTGATTTTTCTGCTCTCTGGACCATATCCTCTACTGAAGTATTCTGGAGAACTAAAAGTGTTCACTTTTATGACGTATTTTCCCCGTCAGGTCTCCAAGCCCTTAGCTTTCCTGCTACTTTGGAGGTGTAGCAATTGATCTCAGTAGTGGATTGCTGTGGGTTCTCTGGTCTGTATGGTCATGTTTCAGAAGCATTATTTCCTGATGTTTTGCGCACATTTACGGCAGGCATCCTCAATAGCCTTACTAAAAAGAACTCAGTAGTCTTACTAAAAAAAATAAGACTACTTTTTCTAGTATGCATATTATCAAGGGATGAGTAATAGCTAGCCATTCCAAGTTTCTCTCACAGCAAAATGAGTCTACACTTTTAGAATGAGCATCTCTAACTAAAAATTGACTAGGATTGGATTTAAACACAATCTTAAATGAAGGTAACTGTTTCTTTTTTCAGCTCCGTCCCCCTCAGCCTCCTGTGTACCTTTTTGTTTTTGATGTGTCTCACAATGCAATAGAAACAGGATACTTGAACACTGTATGCAAGACCTTGTTGGACAATCTAGAATTGTAAGTCCTGTGGAGATTTCATCCTTTCGGATTTCAAAAGGTTTTAAATTGCTATGTAATTTTAAGCTGAGTTCAAAAAAGTAATTTTCAGTGACTTTCCAGTGACTTGAACTGATAAATTAATGCAGTTTCAAAGTGCCATCTCTAGGATATGTGTCCTTAAGTATACAGCAAAAGTGGGAATCATGCAGCTTTTGAGCTATTATTGGACTGAAAACCCTAGCCAACATAGTCATTGGTGAGGGATGCTGGAAGATGAAGTCCAATGGCTTCTGGAGAACTGCAGGATTCCAACTCTTGCTTTGCACACATCAAAGTGAAGTAGAAAGTACTAGATGTGGTGGATTGTTCCAAATGTCTGGCACTTCGTCTTGAAGTACTCATATTGGGGGGGGGGGGGMCGACGACAGTATATTTTGCTTTAAAACATAAAGAATGTTGATACTTTGTGTTTTCGTACTGAATGTTAAAGTGTAAAATTCAAACTATGAATGCAATGTAAGGAACACCTAGATTGAAGAGACAACCTATTATTAAGGTAATTAGTATTTCTGGTGTAACCAGTACCTTAACTTTGCACTATCCAATTGACATTTTTTCTTCTTCATAGAACATTGCATAGTTATTTATTGTATTTCTGGAATACCAGCATGAAATTATAGTCAATGAATAAATCTGAATATCAGTTTGATAACTGTGTGTGCTGAAATAGGTAGTATATTTATCTCACATGTACTACATTGCACACCAAAAAAGAAAAAAAATCAGCCCATAGAACATATATCAATTTGATAGGGATTTGTACTTGGAGGCTTATTAAACATGGTGTTATATTTTTGTGTTTTGTTTTTCAGACTCCCTGGAAACACTAGAACAAAAATTGGCTTCATAACATTTGACAGCACAATCCATTTCTATAGCCTTCAGGAAGGTCTCTCTCAGCCTCAAATGTTAATAGTTTCAGATATTGATGGTAAGTAAAATATAATCAATAGCTGTAGATTTACGGAATTGACTTTATAATTCCTAATATATACAAACTTAAGTTGGAGCATTAATCCATCGGTGGCAAAATTCTACTACCTCAAAAGGCAAATCTAATACCTTATGGGAGGGTTGTATAGGATGATTCTTGGTGACATAGAAGGGAAGCCGGTGTGAAAAGTGGTAACACTTTCTCTGGTCAAAGGCATAGTCAGCAAGTTTGATATTCCTTATGAGGAGAACACAGCTCCTCTAACACTCAGTTTTTGCCTCTGCCCTTGACAAGAGTGAAGCCAGAAATATTTATTTAAATCCTTAGATTTTCTTTTTTTTACTCTATCTGTATACTCCTAATTAGCTGGGAAAGGGAAATGTTCTGATTAGGTCTGTGGCATAGTAGGCTAGTTGCTGGAAAGTTTCAGAGGCCATCTTGCTTACTTGAYCCCCAGCATCCCATCCAAAGTGGAAAAGGGAGGAGAGCATTTTACACATTATTTCAAGTGTTCTGCTCCTTCAATCCATTCCTCACAACCTTTTGGTCTTAGGGCCTGCAAAAGGGGGGGGGGGGTGTTTAAGAGAGATTCTCCTTGATAATTCAATGTATCTGCTACTTCATTTCATATTTCCCACAGTGTACAGRGAACTGCAGGTCATAAACTTAATCACAAGTCTAGATCATATAATGCAAGTGCCTTTTTAGTTATCCCTATTTAGTTATCTGGAAGTCCCTGTTTAGTCATTTATTTATGCTTCTCCTTAGCTTATTTGCTTTCTAAAGTGGCTGTGCTATGGATTCAAGATTCCTTTTGTATCCTGATCTTGGCGCAAAGTCTTTATATATTTTTTTTGTTTTTGTGGACAGTGCCACAAGAGACTTTGGTTGGATCAGAGTTTTCTGTTAAAAAGGAAATCTTGTTTTCACTTCTTCAGCCTTTGGTGTTCCCTTCCTTTTTGTCCTCATCCTTCTCATGTTCTGAAGAATCAATGGCACAAGCTGGAATTTCAGAGAGCCTTTTGGGACCTTTGCTTTTGCAGACACTGCCTTACACAGAATAGTTTTTCAGTAGCTCACTTAACTAGGTAATTATTTTCCCTCCACCCCTGCCTCCCATGGGATGTAGATACTACTTTTGGGTATCTCTTTGGTGTATTCTCCATAGAAATGTGGTTTAGAGTACAAAGTTGGATTAATCATGGTGTTCTGGTCTAAGATTCAAGCATGAAAACAGATTAACCTTGTAGGGTTTGGGTAAAAAAAAGATGCTTGAACACATATTTCTCCCTGGTTCATTTAGGGCTGTTCAGAAATCCCTATCTGATCATACACTTTCCCACTCAAATGGCTTTTCTTGGTTGTGTTGGCTTTTTCCCAATGTTTTCCTCCTCCTCTAAATGTACTCGTCATTAATATTGGCGAACTTCCTTCTGAGTAGAACACCCAATTTGCCAACCCTACCTTTAACTAGAGAATATGTTAAATATTTTCTACCTATATACCAAAAAGGATGTCTATGTTAATGCTTTACGTTTTCCCCCTTATGTATATAGGGAAAATGCTAAATCAGCAGGTTTTTCTAGTTTGCCATATACTGAACTGGGGCATTTTATATAGTTTAATGTCTGCAGATAGAAAAAAAGTATGCAATCCCTTTTTTATTCTCTCTTTTCTGCATGGATTGTTTTGTGTTCCAAACAATACGCACATGCAAGTGCTAAGTAAGTTAATTGTTGGGGAAATATTAATGCTTCCATAATAGTCAATTCAGATAGCTTTCACAGCATTTTTCTTTCTATATATTTCTTGCAGATATCTTTATACCAATGCCAGAGAATCTATTAGTAAACTTAAATGAAAGCAAAGAGGTAAGAGTGCAGTTTAGGCAAGTATAAATCTTAAATAGCTGACACCAAGTTATGTCATATTATCTTTTTTATCTTTATAATATGAGGCTAGCATATCTTAGAAGTCTTTCCCCTCCATTTGATTTGTACAGATGTATTGAAAGTAGCGAGAGAGTTGAAGTTCTTATACCATTGACTGTTCAGTAATTGCTGTCTTGCGGTGGGGAAAGATGTCAGACCTCACACATGATTCAAGGAACTAAGATAATAACTAGGAAAATATCTCCTTTTTAATTGAAATAATTAATTTTGATAAATTTGTTTAAAGTAATGGGGTCTAGCCCTTTCCCCCCTAAGGAGCGTCTTTGTGGCCCTCAGCCTCTCTGGCGCTTTCAAAAATTAGGGGCTTAAATAGAATGCACCCTGTGCACTGCTTAATATTCAGAAATACCAGTTTTCAAACTGAAGTAGACCTTTGAGCATTTCCAGGAGGTTACTGCTTGTTGGTAATTAGGCATCAAATGAAGAATGTTTATTTTCCCACATTTTTTAGATCTCTCAGCTTTGAAGAAAGCTGTATTTAAAAACTATATTTGTACTGCTGTATTTTGTTTCACCATATTGTTATTTAAGTTTCATAATTTTTAGCTCTGTTTTATGAGCCACTCGGAGAGCTTGGAGTTTTTGGTGATACAAGAAAGTGGCAAATAAGGTGGAGGGAATTTTGTTTATTCAGCATGCATTTTGCAAATTCTGATCTGTATGATAATTTTTTAAAAAAAATCTTTTGTTTTCCTTCAGCTAATCCAAGATTTATTGAAAACGTTGCCTCAGATGTTTACCCATTCTTTGGAAACTCAGAGTGCTCTGGGACCTGCCTTACAGGCTGCCTTTAAACTGATGTCTCCTACTGGTGGCCGGATTTCCGTATTCCAGACACAGCTCCCATCTGTAGGAATGGGGGCACTCAGACCTCGAGAGGAGCCTAACCAAAAAGCATCTGCAAAGGTTAGCAAACACGTGTCCCACGTTACCTTTAAATATTCCTTAAAATAAAATTTGGTTAATTGATTATATTAGCACTTTAAAAAACACACACACATTTGATAATGGCTACCAGGAAGCCCAGTTCTCATTCATTTTAGAAATGATCAGATTACTGCATCATTTCTTGGGAATCATTGGCGGTTTTTCAGACTCTCTTGTTCTTGTTGTTGTATTTTGGAGTAGCTCATTTTGATTCTCTAAACAGGATATACATCTAACACCATCAACTGATTTCTATAAAAAATTGGCCTTGGATTGCTCAGGACAGCAGGTGGCCGTCGACTTGTTCCTTCTCAGTGGGCAGTACTCTGACTTGGCTTCATTGGGTAAGGCATTCTCACCATTTATGGGGCAGGGTTGTATAAGTAGAGGGGAATCAACACTGTTTCTACAACAACAAATGTTAAATAGCAAAAATTCATAGTTAGTGGAGCTTCTGACTAGAATATAATACTTACACAATTTCAAGAAAGAGATTATTGAAAACAGTTTATAGGCATCTGAATATCCTTGCATAGACTTTCGGACACTATTACTGTAGAATCTGTTTAAGAAATGTTAATAATAAGTATGTTGGACGGTATTTGTTGCATTTATTGTTAACCTCTTCTTTCTTAATTTGAAGTTCAGTTTTTATTTAAATAAAATAATATGCTTTTTGGCTGAAGTTGTATATGAAACATAGAGAAATTATTTTTCCATAAAGATTTTTTTAAAAATTCCTAAGGGTCAGTCATTACACTTGACGTTTCCTCATTAAGATGTTCTAATTCCAGAAAATTAATCAGGCATCTGTATTCACCACTACACATTTTTCTTTCTAGGATGTATATCGAGATATTCTGCTGGTAGTGTCTATTACTACCAGTCTTATCATCATCAGCACAATCCTCTTTTAGTGGAGAAACTGCAGAAAGAACTTAAGCGATACTTGACACGGAAGATTGGTTTTGAGGCTGTCATGCGGATCAGGTGTACCAAAGGTTAGACACCATTTTATTTGGCAATATTAGAATGGTGCTTCCATCATTGTCTTAATGAGTACACAGCAAATGAATTTGTCAATTGTGAAGTGATAGAATTCCATAGAATTACTTAATTGAATGGAAGATGCCATTCAGCGTAAGTTGGTGTTTCATGGGAGTGCATTAGGCATTTTGAATATTGGGGACCTATGTAAATGTGTGGGTGGCCCCTATGTTTTCCTAGATCCCAGAAAAGAAAACAACACTGATTCACGTATTTGCTGTGTGTTAAGATATGTATTCATAATGTCTTCAATGAAGGATAATTGTAGAATCAGTTTGACATCTGGTTGAAAGTCTTCCTAAAATATCGATTCTCTTCTCCCCCAAGGCCTTTCTATTCACACCTTCCATGGCAACTTCTTTGTACGGTCAACAGACCTGCTGTCTTTACCTAACGTGAACCCTGATGCAGGATATGCTGTGCAAATGTCAGTGGAGGAGAGTTTGACAGACATGCAAGTGGTCTGCTTCCAGTCAGCCCTCCTATATACCTCTAGTAAAGGTAAGTGTGTGCCATCGGAAGTATGGCCCTCATGAGATCATATTTCTTGACCCATGTTATCTGGTAGCCAAATGAATTGGTAGTATGTCTTCAATGAATTGTATAGTTTTAACATATAATCTGCACACCTCTGTTAAATGCTGTTCAGAAACTATGGATTGCTTCTTTGTACAGGTGAACGGAGGATCCGTGTCCATACCCTGTGTTTACCAGTAGTCAGTCAGTTGAGTGATGTTTATCTGGGAGCTGATGTGCAAGCAATTACTGGGCTTTTAGCCAATATGGGTAAGTACTTAACCATTGGGTTAAATCACATAATATTGTCTGAGAAAATGATCTTTGATTGCCACTACATTGTTCTTGAGAGAATAAAGGCAGTGAAAAAAGTTTTGGTTTGGATTGAAGGGGATATTATGTTACATGATTTCCTAATTGGTTCTATTGCAAAAACACGGAAAAGGTTTATTAAATAGCAAAACCTCTGTTTTTGCGAGACATCCTGCAGCACATTTTGCTATAGTTTTTCAGTGAGTATCTCTTAAGAGTCTCAGCCAATTCAACATAGTTTGTGGCAGCCACACAAAGTTTCTGGAGTATAACAATTACTTTCAAAGTAAGTACTTCCCGCTGTTAGCCCCAGCTTCTGCCAACCTAGCAGTTCGAAAACATGCAAATGTTTTTGCACTCCGGCAGGAAGGTAACGGCGCTCCAGGCAGTAATGCCGGCCACATGGCCTTGGAGGTGTCTACGGATAACGCTGGCTCTCGGCTTAGAAATAGAGATGAGCACCAAACTCCAGAGTTGGACAAGACTAGACTTAATGCTAGGGGAAAACCTTTACCTTTACCTACCTCACAATTAAACAGGAAACAACACTTTCAAACTAGGAACAAAAAGAAAATCAAATTTTGTTACATAGTGTTACGTTGTTCACTGGATAGAACAAAAAATCAGTGTGTGAAGAGCCGGTTTTCTGCAGTATTGGTTTGCATTCATTCTATTTTTATTAGATATACTGTATATGCATATGTATGAGAGTGAAGCACTTAAGCAGCTGTTAGATTATGCTCTGTTTCTTGTCTTGCTAATGAAAGTCATGATTACATGTTTCTTTTCAGCTGTTGACCGGTCGGTTTCCGCTAGTCTGAGTGATGCTCGAGATGCATTGGTGAATGCTGTCATAGATTCTCTCTCTGCCTACCGTTCCTCTGTCCTTACCATTCAACAGCCTGGTCTCATGGCCCCTGTCTCATTACGTCTCTTTCCACTGTATGTACTGGCCCTCTTGAAACAGGTAAGAACCAATATTAAACTTCAATAGGCATAGAATAAACATATTCTGCAGACAGATGGCACCATTAGTCTTAAAGAGGGCCTGCACAACCTGTGGCTCTCCAGCTGTTTTGGCCTCCAGCTCCCAGAAACCCTAGTTAGTTTGTCCAATGGACAGGAATTCTGGGAGTTGGAGGCCAAAACACCTGGAGAGTTGCCTGTTGTGCAAGCCTGCTTTAGAGTAACACTTGACAAAGAGTTTGAAATGCCACGGTGGGGAGTGTCTAAAGATGTTGGCTTGAATCTGTATAGTTGTATGATTTTCTACTGCTTAAACTTCTAAATCATTTTACCTTATTCTGTAGTGTTTTAATTTACTTTTCTCTATATATCTTCCTGAAATCTTACATTATAGCATGAGGTAAAAATAGTTAGGTCTATTTATCAAGTTGTTGTTCATTCGTTCAGTCGTCTCCGACTCTTCGTGACCTCATGGACCAGCCCACGCCAGAGCTCCCTGTCGGCCGTCACCACCCCCAGCTCCTTCAAGGTCAGTCCAGTCACTTCAAGGATGCCATCCATCCATCTTGCCCTTGGTCGGCCCCTCTTCCTTTTTCCTTCTACTTTCCCCAGCATAATTGTCTTCTCTAGGCTTTCCTGTCTCCTCATGATGTGGCCAAAGTACTTCAGCTTTGTCTGTAGTATCCTTCCCTCCAATGAGCAGTCGGGCTTTATTTCCTGGAGGATGGACTGGTTGGATCTTCTCGCAGTCCAAGGCACTCTCAGAACTTTCCTCCAACATCACAGCTCAAAAGCATCGATCTTCCTTCGCTCAGCCTTCCCTAAGGTCCAGCTCTCACATCCGTAGGTGACTACAGGGAAGACCATGTAAAGCATAGTAAATAAAACTATGCTCTACATAAAACAACAAACCTAGCAATAACTGTTTCACATTGGCTATTGGCTTCTATTGGTTCACTGGTATTCATGCTGCTTTAAACTGAGAGGTAAACCAAGTGCCTAAAATCACATATTTACTAGGACATATTCAGTTTTACCTTTGCCTTTAACTTTCCTAGTAACAGAGTCAATGCTGTAATTTTTTTGTTCACAGAAAGCATTCCAAACTGGCACAAACACTCGTTTGGACGAACGCATCTTTACTATGTGTCAAGTGAAAAACCAACCTTTAGTGTACCTCATGCTTATGATGCATCCTAGTTTGTACAGAATTGACAATCTCACAGACGAGGTAAGGGATTTCTTTGAAAACTGCCCTGCAAACCCAGAGTGCATTCTCCTCTCCCCGGCTATTATGCCTTGCTTGAATTACTGTCAAAAGTCTTTTTAAAAAGTAAGGTTACAGTAGTTCTTTTCTGAAGGCCAATGTGGTGTAGTAGTTTGAGTGTTGGACTACAGCTCCAGAACCCTTAGTTTAAATCCCAATTCATCACGGAAACCTGCTTGGATTACCATAGACCAGCCACACTCTTTTGGCCTCAGGAAGGCAAAGGCACACACATCCCTGAACAAATCTTGCTTAGGAACTCTGTGATAGGGTTGCCATAAGTTAAAAATGACTTTAAGGCCCCTAACAGTTATTTTTCTACATATTCATTGGACACAGGTATGCATCTACGTTTACTCTCATTTAGCAGACGAGGCCTTAAGTACCTGATACTTACTAGGCTTCTTGGGATATTTTCTCTTCTTTGCTCCTTCCCAGCCTGACTGGTATTCTCTGTGAAGCAGGAGTATTCTGTTGACAGTCCAGAACCTTGTTAGCATGAATTCCCTGAGGACATCCTGTTGTTGTGCTAAAACATGGTATGATAACTTGTCCTTGGGAAGAATGTGGAAATTCTGGAGTTGCTTTATGCCATCCCCCGGAATCCATCCACATGTGTGAAGACATGCAGTATAGGACAAGCGGATGGATTGTGCCCAGTTCATGTTACATGAATTTTCAATTTTACAAACAGTCTTTCTGTGTGGAGTTAAAGTTATATTTCAAAACTTAAAAATCCAGAGAGCACACGATCCATATATTGAAGTTCGGATTGATTTGTGAACTGCAATGAATTTTAAGCTTACAGCTAATCAATACAACGCAGATGTTAGCAGACACAGTAGGGACGAAGTCTGAATCATCATACCCAGCTCTTCAGTTACAGCTTTATAAGAAGAAATGCTGCAATTTCTTTGAATATTCGTGTATTTTAATAGTTAAAGGGGGGCCCTGGTGGTGCAATGGGTTAAACCGCTGAGCTGCTGAACTTGCTGACTTGGAAGGTTAGCAGTTTGAATCCGGGGAGCAGGGTGACCTCCCGCTGTTAGCCCCAGCTTCTGCCAACCTAGCAGTTCCAAACCATGCAAATGTGAGATTAACAGCGCTCAATACAGTCATACCAGCCACATGACCTAGGCATCTACAGACAACGCCGGCTCTTCAGCTTAGAAATGGAGATGAGCACCACCCTCCAGAGTTGGACACATCTAGACTTAATGTCAGGGGAAACCTTTACTTAACAGTTAAAATCGTTTTCTAGTATATAAAATTAAAGTACTACAAGCTGACATTCTTTCAAGAGGAAACTACCAATCATGAGGATACATTGATAGGGAGTAACCTGTGCAAACAATAGTATTTATTTATTTATTTGAAGCATTTATATACCGCTTTTCTCACCCCTAGGGGGACTCAAAGCGGTTTAGTATATCCGTTGAAAGGAACAAGAACTTTATTTTTATTGCTAATCAGGGTATGACTTCCAGCCCATTTGTACTTTATACACAGTCTGGCAGCCAGACTGCCAGTTATTCAGATGTGGGTATATTTAAATACAAATTTAATCTGTATATTTTTTAAGGGGGCCCTTAACATCAGTGACAGAACAATACCTCAACCACCCATTCTTCAGCTGTCTGTGGAGAAGATAAATAGAGATGGTGCTTATCTTATGGATGCTGGCTCTGTAAGTTACCTGTTTTCAGTGTTGATAATGTATGTAAAATGTAAATGTATTACATTATTCTTTCTCATGGGTGTCTTTTGTCAGAGAATAGTTGAGACGAGAGTGAAATGCACAGGCTAATGTTTTCTAATCATCCATGTCCATTAGGTCATGTTTTTATGGATTGGAAAGAATTGTGGGCAGAACTTCATCAACTGTGTCCTTGGAGTTCCCAACTATGCATCAATACCACACAATATGGTGAGAATATACATAGACCTATGACTCTAAAATGATGAAAAAATTGCCATATCACAGTGAAAGTGCTAGTTGTTTCCCAACTTAGAGAAAAAAAGCTTCAAATATATAGCAACAACTGCAGGGTTTTGCATGACTGGTGTACATCATGCATGGCATCACTCATTCTGGTTCTGATCTTTAAATGTTTTTTATGAGTCTATAATAATCATCATCATCATCTTTATTTATACCCTGCCACCATCTCCCCAATGGGGACTCGGAGCAGCTTACATGAGGCCAAGCCCAGATAACAATTACAATAAAGAAAAACCAAAACACAAACCGAAAATGCGAACAATAACATCATATTAATATAAACACATGCATACATAACAATGTAAAAAATTACAATAAGCACAGGCACAATAACAATAGTATCTTCCAGTAAAGGTTTACCATTAGGTAAACCAGCAGTTGTTTCGCATGGTATTGGTGTTCAAGTATGCACATAGCTTATTACTAATGTGGATTGAAAAAAGGGGGCAGTTCTTGAAGTGAACTTCACTTCCGGCCATCCAGTCTCCTTGTTCTCTAGCAGCATTGTGGCGATTTAGGAGGATGTTTTTCTATTGTGAGTAGGCTTGAGGAACAATTGAAGGAATTCTGAGGGTGTGTAGCACAACACATCTAAATGTATAAAAGAACAATAGCAGTGTAGTAGCAAAAGAAATGCAATTGGAAAAGAGTTTTGTCCCTTTTCACTCCCTGATCCCAAATGGACGAAGGGAATAAATCTTGCAGGTTCAAGGAGATGAATGTAAATCAGTGTTGTAGTGCTGCTCCATGCACTGAATATTTATTTATTTATTTATTTATTATTTGCAGTATTTGTATACCGCTTTTCTCATACCGAGGGGGACTCAAAGCGGTTTACAAGTAATATATAATACAATAAATAAAATAAATACAATATCTTCTTGGATCTCTCTCTTTACTCTGGTCCCAGAGCAGCACTTGGTGTTGGGGGGAGGGGCTCCCAACTGAACATACATCTGTAATATAATTTCATTTTACTCTCAACAGACACATCTTCCAGAACTTGACACAGCTGAATCTTCTAGAGTGCTTGCTTTTATCTCATGGTTGAGGGAGCAAAAGCCATTCTTTTCTATATTGTACATACTAAGGTAAGCCACATTTTGGACTATTTCAGCATGCAGATTGAGAAAAAGTTGCAGTGCTGCCTCCCAACTTAGTTGCAGACTTCTTGTGCTTTATGGTACAGAGTATGTATACAAATGTATTAGTTACAAGAAAGGGGGCAGTGTAGCAGGACTGAATATTTGATGGCTTATAAAGATGGAGAAAGAGATGATCCAGTGCTTAAGAACCAATTTGCTAGTACTAAGTAGTACACATGACATTCTTGCATAGACAGGATTTTGATTTTATTATTGGAAGTTATTTTTCTGTATGCTGCTCAGTTGCACATATGGAGATGTCCCTGATGTTGGTGTGAATAAAGAGAATTCCGTATATGCATCAGGTTATGTTCAAAGAGCTGTCTTATTACAGTTTCTCTCTTTGCAGATTCAATACTACATAAACTAGCATTGTTACAAAAATTGTAAAGTGAACTTAGAATCGTGTAACTGGTAGGAATTCATGGTTATGCTTGTTAACATTTGAACCTGACCTCAAAATCCATTTTCAGCTTGGCAGCACCACAAACAAGGGGTTTCTAAGGCACTGCGAATTGTATTGCTGGGAGATGACACCTGAAGCTCTTTCCCAATTTTGGGGTACCTTGAGACAAGCAAGATCCTGAGAGATCACTCCAGATGCCTGTTTTTGATCTGCCTTGTGAGAAGAAGAGTGCTGCAGATGGCATTTCCCAATGCACTCATTTGCAGTGCCTCAACCTTTCAAGCTGATGCTCCGCTGTGCTGAAAGGGTTGGGCTTTGTCAAACATCATTATGATGGCAGAATCCATCACTGTTTACATATGATGATGCATCACCTTGGCCATTGATATGCATTTTGACAGATCCTACATCTTTGAAATACTGTATGAGGAATGAATAATTAAACATTGATGTTCTGCATTCTCATACTCTTTTGATTTTATTTTGAAGGGATGAAAGTCCATGGAAACCAAGTTTTCTCCAAAACATGATCGAAGACAGAACAGAATCTGCTTTATCATACTATGAGTTCCTTTTGCATATTCAGCAACAAGTGAATAAATGAACCCTGCTGTGATATGGCTCATCCAGTCAAAGGAGAATAATTGTGTGCAGAACACTTGCGTTCATGATGCTCCTAAAAAGATTTTGGTCTGATGCAGTTGACAAGAATCTCACTGTGATTTCCCCCCAAAATAATAAAAAAGGCAAAGCAAATAAAGGACCACAGAATCATAAGTATACTATTGTGCAGTTGTACATTAAACAATTAAAATCATTTTGGATATGTTGGATGCCTTTAATTTGCTACACAATGTTTCATCGTAAGCTTTGGCATGAGTGATAAAGGTAATATTGAAAAGATGAAACTTTATAATGTTTTTGTTCAAAATATGTTTTAACTTTATTTTTGTTTTTCTGCTTTGTTTTGCTGCTAGAATAACAACCTCCCAGAACTGAATTGCAGGGAAATGATACTGTCTTGAATATATGTCAGTAGTTGAACACTGCCTTTTTAAAGGAGCAATGAAAGCATTTGTTGTGAAAGAGTGAAAGTATTTAAAAAAAATTTAACAAAACTTTTTAACAATGATTATGATGAGCGGGGGGAAACAAACTTACAGTGGTCCAACAAGATTAAAGATCAACATTAAACTATTCATTTTAAAATCTATAGAATGCATCGGTGTTCTAGTATCTAAAAGAACAATAAGTTTTCATTACGTCCAATGAGATTTATAATCAAGTGGCCTGATTCAGTTTCAAAAATTATAAATGTGGATGTTAACATGGTGTCTTTAATCTTGATTCATTGAAAGTAAATAGGGGAACAGAGATTTCAACCAAAACGCCATGGCCATTTTATAGGTTTAATTAAATTTAAAGTCACATGTTCATAATGTGTTAATATTTTTAGTAAAAGAATGTTTACTGATGAAACTAAACAATATTTCACAGTTTACTAGAAACACTATCAAATAACTTGTTGGAAATCCAGAGCGGCATCTAATTAAATAGTAGGAATTTTGACATTTAAAGGTTAGGAGGGAACTATTTTGTGACTTTAATGGAGAAAGTTTTGAAAAAATCCTACTTCATGGGCAAAAATTATAGATTTTGCTTATTTATAAGCACATAGCATAAATGTTAGTTTTATTCATACCCTGAAATCTAATGAGAGTTAAATCATGACAAATAATATTAGTACATTTAGAACATCTGAATAAGTAACTTGCGGTAGCAACATCTTTCTTCAGTGCTGTAACTTGTGACTGCCATAGTTATCTTCTTTGACCCTTACTGCTCAAAAATAGAGTTTGGGAAAGATTACTTCATTCACATCTTTTTTGGACATTCCTTCTGTTAAACTAGGAGTGATTAACTAAAGTCTCCCCACTTATAGAAATAGGTACATACATGTATAAAAGGTCACCGAGGTTCTCTGAACAAACAACCATGTTGATAAACCAATATTTTGAATAATAACGCCTTGACAATACTCAAAACATTTCCTTCTAATTTATCCGGGCTGGTCTATGCAAAACTGCTTATGGAGTTGCGACTCTTATGTTACGGAGGGGAGGGGGAATCTCTCTTGAAAAAGGATTAAAATATCTGTTGAACTCTACTAAACTGAAGTATTTTCTTGCTGCTGCCATGCTTTTTAAGGCTCTATTTTAGTTATTTAATGTGAAGTATTGATAATCCACTTTGGGAGCATATGCATAATGGAGAATCATCCACTGGGTGCCTCACAATACATCCTAAGCCTGAATAGTAATGTTCTAACACAGTCCTAGCAATCTTCCAAGAGTCATATACTCAAAGATACAGACTTCCGTGCCTAGATTACTTTTTTCATTCAGATATAGAGTCTACATAAAAGTGATGCTGTGCATCCTACACCTTTCATTGGATATGTGCTTTCTGCACAGACACAATGCTGAAACTACCAATAGTGCTGTCAGGTTTGAGAAGGGTTTATTCTGGAGGGGATGGAGTGGGCTCTCTCATATGAAGTTCCACGTCCAACTTTCTCCCATCTGCAGACATTTTTAGTTTGGAATGGGGTAGACATGGCTTAACTTCTTGAAAGCCAGTGTATTGGGCTTTAAAGAACCAAATCTACTGAAGAGATAACTAAGAAATATGTTTCAAGAATACAGCCCTTACCACAGTCTCCTAGAGGGATTCTTCAACAATAATTGCATCTTATCTGAATCAAATGCTTTTTGGAATATTCATACTCATTTTTGCAGTACTGAATTTTTTGATTTTATTCCTTTACAATAGGGAACACAATTGCTTTAACTTACATTTTAATAACAGCAATTGCAAGGCATATTTATGTGTCAAACTGCCTATGATGTACTTTAAATTAGTTGATTTTAATGTCCCTAACAGCTATCCTAGGCAAGAGTGGCCCTGATACATCCATTTTTGCATGGAACACCACAGCAAATGTTCTCTATTTTTCTAACTCAATATTTTTAAAGAATAACTCAAGATGATCAAGATGTTCAATCAGTCAAGCATCAGCATTTTAATTAGTACTTACTTTTTTATTTAATTATTTGCATCTGACTCAAGTTTGACTGTTTTGCAATAATGAGGATACAATGTCCTTTTATTCAGAATTCACGTAACAGAATATAGAATCGGATCCAGAATGTTAAGGGACCATCAAATGTGACAAAACTTCTGTTTGTGAGTGAACAATTAAATCCTTCCAATTTGATTTTGTAAAGTAGTGTAAAATACTGTAATATTAATCCTTGTTTTCTGAACTCTGACATTGATTTTCAGTGTGAAAATGTAAACCATGCTCTTCTGAACTGGAGGCAAGGTTTTACTTGTTCCCCTTTTTACAGTTTGTAATTTTCACTGTTTTATTCCTGTAAAAAGTCATTTGTAACACATGCAAATGCTTATTTTAGCTGTGCTAATTTATCAAATTTGGCTACTCAATAAAATTATTGAAAGAGCTTACATAAACTTTATTAGTCCTTTTTATACATAAAAAGTTGGAAGCTGCAGAGAATCTGAATATGGTCTTAGGCACGGTAAGGAGTGGGTCTGTGAATGATCAAATTAACAACAACTTGCCAGATTTATATTGTATATTACTGCATTTTTTGTCTTTGGAAACAGTTTAAAATTTACCAGTTTTTCTAATATTGTAGAAAGCCTCACTGAATTCCACAAGATTTACTTCTGAATATAGAGGTATAAAGGTATATACAGTAGATGTATCTGGTTATTAAAATCAAACTCTGATGCTGAACTGCAGATATTTCCCAAGATCATACAAAACAGCCTTTGACTTTGTGAATTAAAACAAGAATTATCTATTTGAATAACTGGTACTCATGGGGATTGGAAGGTGCAGGGTAAATAGTACCTGGTTGCTTGAGAGTCCCTGTTAAAAATAGGCCTAACTACATACTATACCAGGCATGGGCAAACTTGCGGCCTCCAGGTGTTTTGGACTTCAATTCAGACAATTCCTAACAGCCTCAGGCTCTTTCCTTTTCCCTCTCAGCCATTTAAGCTACAAATGCTAGGTTTCCATAGTATCGAGCCATGGCAGCTAATGTGATGTCAAACTGCATTAATTCTAGAGTGTGGGTATACCCTCAGTCCTATGAGGAGTCATCACTTGCTTCATTGGTGGATGTAGTTGAAAGAATCAGTTATTATTATTTATCGTGTCAGAAGCAACCAGACATTTGTATTACATTTTTAACAAAACAGACAAAACACAAAGTTTGCAAGCAAGAATCAGTTGTGATCCCTTTATTCATTGTTTAACATATACAGCTAGTAGGGACTTAGGCTGGGCTATCTGAGAGTTGAACTCCAAAACACCTGGAGAACCAAAGGTTGGGAACCACTGCATGGGAATCATGCTGCAAGTGCCCTTTGTGTACGCTATGAAAGGGGGTTTTGGAGCCTGGAGAAACCACTGAAACACTTTTTGGGTCTCTCTAGGATGGTGATGGAACCAAAAGAAGCACCCCCTCCCCTCTTAAAAAAAGGTCTGTAAGGGGTCTACTGGCAAGTATGTGCCACTAAGAGGGTATGGGCTTCTGAGAAATGAGAACCCTCTCTGTCCCCAGATTAAAGCTCTGAAAGGAGATTCTGTTATCTTAAATTACAGAAAAATCTTTTTCTGTATTGCCCAAATAATGCCCTCCTAATATTTTTGTAATCATGTGATGTACTCCACACTTGGAATATTGTGTCCAATTCTGGGCACCACAACTGAAGAGCAATATTGACAAGCTGGAATGTGCCCAGAGGAGGGCGACTAAAATGATCAAGGGTCTGGAGAACAAGCCCTATGAAGAGCAGCTTAAAGAGCTGGGCATGTTTAGCCTGAAGAAGAGAAGGCTGTGAGGAGACATGATGCTGTTGTTGTTCATTCATTCAGTCGTCTCTGACTCTGGAAATAATAATTTGAAAAAAATCATTAAAAACAAAATCTAAAAATTCAAAATGTTCACACATGTTTTTTTGTTCAGTCACTTCTGACTCTTTGTGACCTCATGGACCAGCCCACGCCAGAGCTCCCTGTCGGCTGTCACCACCCCCAGCTCCTTCAAGGTCAGTCCAGTCACTTCAAGGATGCCATCCATCCATCTTGCCCTTGGTCGGCCCCTCTTCCTTTTACCTTCCACTTTCCCCAGCATAATTGTCTTCTCTAGGCTTTGCTGTCTCCTCATGATGTGGCCAAAGTACTTCAACTTTGTCTCTAGTATCCTCCCCTCCAATGAGCAGTCGGGCTTTATTTCCTGGAGGATGGACTGGTTGGATCTTCTCGCAGTCCAAGGCACTCTCAGAACTTTCCTCCAACACCACAGTTCAAAAGCATCAAGCTTGTTTTCTGCTTCCCTGGAGACTAGGACATGGAACAATGGCTTCAAACTACAGGAAAGGAGATTCCACCTGAACATGAGGAAGAATTACCTTACTGTGAGAGCTGTTTAGCAGTGGAACTCTCTGCCCTTGGCTGTGGTGGAGGTTTCTTTTTTGGAGGCTTTTGAACAAAGGCTGGATGGCCATCTGTCGAGGGTGCTTTGAATGTGATATTCCTGCTTTTTGGCAGGGGGTTGGACTGGATGGCCCATGAGGACTCTTCCAACTCTATGATTCTACTGTCAATACCAGGCAATAAGCAGCCAGACCTTGAAGCTGCTAGGCCATTCAATGCTAATCAAAGTGGCTGATTGCAACATTCGCACTTGCCTCAAGCAGACAAGAGTTCTTCCTCCCACCCTGAGCAATCCACAGATATAAAAAATCTCACTTGCCTAGTTTCCAACAGACCTCACAATCTCTGAGGATGTATGCCATAGATGTGGGCGAAAAGTCAGGAAATAATGCTTCTGGAACATGTCCGTACAGCCCGGAAAACTCACAGCAACCCAATGACGTTGCTTTGGGTTTTGTTTTTGTGTTTTTGATGGCTCAACGTACACAAGGATTGTTTCATGTGCAAAATTATTATTATTATTATTATAATTATTAACTTTATTTGTACCCCGCTAGCATCTCCTGAAGGACTCGATGCGGCTTACAAAGGCCAAGGCCTCAAAACACAACATAACAATGCAACACCTAAAGCAAATTAAAAACAATTAAAGCAATATTAAACAACAAGCAATAAACAATACATCAAGACACTATAAAACTGGGCCAGGCCAGAGTAAGGGGTACAGGATTAAAAGTGCTGATGTGACAGGTGATATGTAAGGATTATAGGGTAAGTGAAGTGTGCGGTGTGTGCAGCAATCTTAATTTCTAATAAAGTGCTTCTGGGACTTGGTATTGGAGATTCCTATTCTGGAAAGGCACATGGGAACAGCCAGGTCTTCAAGTTCTTTCTGAAGACTGCCAATGTAGGGGCCTGTCTGAGATCTTTTGGGAGGGTTAAAAAATAGTATATAAAAAACTGCCTCCAGGTGATGCCTATAAGGTGTATATGAAACATAAATGTGTGGAGTTGGGTCCCATCCCCAAGATCTATCATTGTGTTTGTATTCCAAAAGCCACATCACTTCTGGTCCCAAAGTTGTTCAATAAAGGATACTCGGCGTGTATTTGTGAGCAGTTGAAGATACAGAGCGGCCCACCACCGCTGCGTCACTCCAATGGACAGCGCCGCTTGGAGGCCACTGTGACCACGCCCCCTCTCGCAGGTGAGGTCATCGCACGCTGCCGTCTCACCCCTTGCGACAACTCCCTCCCTCGCTTAGACGCGCCCTTCCAGCGAAGTCATTCCTGCCATCGTTGTTAAGGGCGCTCTCTTGCCGGCAGCGGGCTGAGGTCTCGAGCCGACTCTCAGGCCCCAAAGGGCTCCTGCCCTCACCCAAAATGTCGCCGCTCCCTTCACGCTCTGGAGGCGGAACTTGAAATGGCGGCCGGGGGCGCATGCGCACTGGCGAGCGAGTGTCAGCGCGAGGCCTGGCGAGTCCTATTGTGTGCCTGAGGAGGAGAGGCCTGAGGCGCCGTGCTGCGGGCGAGGATGGAGCCGGGCCCTCTGGGCGGCGACGGGGGAAGCCCCAACCACGACGCGGCCGGCACAGCCGCCTCCTCCTCCTCGGCCGCGGGGCTCACGGCCTCCCAGCGCCGGGCCGAGATCCGCCGGAGGAAGCTGCTCATGAACTCCGAGGAACGGATCAACCGGATCATGGGCTTCCACCGGCCGAAAGGAGGTGAGGAAAGGGCGGGGCCCGGGCAGGGCGGGGGGGGTCTGAGCGTTGCCAAGGTAACAGGGCCCTGCCGCGACTCTGGCCCCGCTTGGGAGCGCCTTCGCCCTCCTTCCCAGCCAGGCCTGGCGTACAGCGGACTCTCAGTTAACCGGCACCCATGGGGATTGGAAAGTGCAGGGTATCTGGTTGTATTGTCGAAGGCTTTCATGGCTGGAATCACTGGGTTGTTGTAGGTTTTTCGGACTGTATGGCCATGTTCTAGAAGCATTCTCTTCTGACGTTTGGCCTGCCTCTATAGCAAGCATCCTCAGAGGTTGTGAGGATGCTTGCCATAGATGCAGGGGAAACGTCAGGAGAGAATGCTTCTAGAACATGGCCGTATAGCCCGAAAAACCTACAACCACCCAGTCTGTGGTTGCTTGAGAGTCCCTGTTAAAATAGGTCTAACTACATACTATACCAGGCATGGGTAGACTTGGGGCCTCCAGGTGTTTTGGACTGCAACTCCAACACTTCTTAACAGCCTCAGTTCTCACAAACTCTGAGTATGACTGCCATAGATAGATGCAGGCAAAACGTCAGGAGAGAATGCTTCTAGAACATGGCCATACAGCCTGAAAAAACTACAACAGTCTCAGGCCCCTTCCTTTTCCCCCTCAGCCGTTTAAGCTACAAATCCCAGGTTTCCATAGTATCCAGCTGTAGCAGCTAAAGTGATGTCAAACTGCATTAATTCTAGAGTGTGGGTGTACCCTCAGTCCTATGAGGACTTATCACTTGCTTCATCCATAGCTGGATGTAGTTGAAAGGATCAGTTGTGATCCCTTTATTCATAGATTCACATATAACAGCTAGTAGGGACTCAGAGTGCCTACTGGTCGATTGATAACCACTCAAACCAGATACATACTATGGATCATAAAGTAGTACTAGTAGATAGGATGGTGCTTAATGAACAAATGTGTGCACAAAGTATACAGAAACTAGCATAACCTGAAGACTAACAAAAAAAGCCTTTATTGAAAACCGTTTTCAAGTTGTTTTGTTAAGCTTTTGCAACCTAAAAAGCAGGCCAGGCTTGTGGCAGGGGGAGGAATAAATTACTCTTACTATCCTACTCTCTCCTTTTTATTTAGAACAGGCATTTAGGTTTTCAGGGACCTGTTGCCACTTTTCCTGTGGGCATCACTAGTAGCTATTTTACCTTCCCAAAAAACCAAATAGGCAAAAGATGCTAGACTGGTGCTTGATTGCAGTCTTCTTGAAAGTGCCAAGTTCCCCTAGTAAAGTAGAGTTCTGTTCAGTAGGGCAGCGTTGCCCAATCTAATGTAGTTACACTTTCTGAAGGTAATAGGATTTACAGTCTAATTTCTCTGAAGGGCATTAGTTTGAAGGAAGACGTTGTAGTATAATTTGAGAAATAGCAACATGTGTTGTTCAAAGAACATTGTGGTTGCATTACTTCCCCTCTAATTTCATCTGCCTAATTTAGGTGTTCCTGTAATTTGTGTATTCCCATAAATCTGGCTTAATTGTTTGTTCGGTTTTTTTTTTTTTGGTTTTTTTTTTTTGGTGTTACAATGCAGTGTTATTTCAACGATCCCTCGTTATTTTTCCCAAGGAAGTTCACAAAAACATTGATAAAGGCAACTTAAAATGCAGTTTTAAATAGGCAGTAAGAAAATTAAACCAGCAATACAATACAAGTAGGATGACCAGGTTTGTAAAATATTCACTGAATGTGTGGGCCTTGGGTTCTTTCAAAAGCTGTAAAGGAAGTGCTGTTATTTCCTTTGATAAGAAGCATTTTGATAGCCTCAGGTCTACAAGGGCAAAGACTCCAGAATTTTTATTTCTGCAAGCAAGAATGTCTTCAAGTGGAGATCTGCTCAGAAGACTCCAACTTGCAGAAACAGGGAAGTCCGAATTCCCTGCTCTGTGTTCAGTGCAAAGTGCCACACCCAACTTTCTTAGAAATTTCCCTGATCCATTGATACAGATTTTCAAGGGACTGCCAAGGGAGGATGAGTCAGCAAATATCCTTTTTCTCTCCGCTAGCAGAAAAGCTTTGCTGGCTGAAAGACAATCTTACGCTGGAAAGAAGTATTACTGGAATGCTTCTTACTACCTTTCTGAAAGTGCTTAAAGGCCAAGAGATAGAGGTCAGTTCAGTGTGCCATTCTTATTTGAGCCTTGTTTTCTTTAAAATACTTAGTCCCACAGTACCTTCATTTCTTAGGATTTGAAGCCCAGCCTAAAATATTTGACCTGTATTATGTGTCCTTTTTCCATTTTGTCTCTTCTTCAGATGAAGACAGCCATTCAGAATCTAAACTTCAGCTTGAATCAGAAAAACCAAGCCCTCTACCAGCTCCTGTTTCCAAGCGGGTTGTGCTTGGGGATACTGTCTGCAGCTTGGCAGGAACAGCCGATCATGCAGGCAGCATAGTGGAGAAAAAGGACGCATTTAACAAACCTCCCGAGGCTGGTAGTGATGGTACAAGTGAGCTCCGGCAGCGCAGCAGGGGGGATCTGATAGAGGCTCCTCAACGAGCCCCTCGCCATGGTTTAGACCAGTACTTGTCAAGATTTGATGAAGCCATGAAGCTCAGAAACCAGCTCATGAGTGAGAAGCCGAGCCAAGAAAATGGAAATGCAGTGGAAGAATTTGACTCTTTCCGCATTTTTAGATTAGTTGGATGTGCACTACTTGCCATTGGAGTTAGAGCTTTTGTGTGCAAATATCTGGTAAGCAGAAAAAATACAGTATTTTTAATATTTCCCCTTCCTACTTGTTTGTCTTACTGTCATCTTTATAGAATATTCTGTGTATTTACGCTGAGAAGTGATTTCATAGCTAAGTGAAGATTAGAATTCAGTCCAGTTTGTCCACTCTTCCACAGCTGCGTGCTCTAAATGGTACTTCTTAAGGATAATACTAAAGTGTGTGGCTTAGAGTATCTTGTGTCAAAGTATCACCGATTCCTTCAAGGCCTCCAAGCGTTACCAAATAGCAAGAGAGTCAGAATTAAAAAGCCTTGGCCTAGAATGTGTATTGGCTGAACTCCTTCACACAAAGACAGATTTTTAAAAGGTATTAATCAGTTTAACTCCTCGTTGTAACTACTGTACTTTCTAATTCATGTAATATTTTTTTCCACAGTCAATATTTGCTCCCTTTCTTACCTTACAACTTGCATATATGGGATTGTCCAAGTATTTCCCAAAGGTAAGAACTTTTTCAGGATAAAATATTCTCAATTTGACTAAAATGGCAGCAAAGAATTCCTGTTCTAGAATACTTTTAGATTAATAAACAGTGTATTAGCCAATAACATTAGAGCTTTCCAGTTAGTACTCTATATATTTATTTGGGAGTAAATCCCATTGGGAGTTTATTTCTGCTGTGTAATAAAATATAAGTTGTTAGAGGTGCTCACGCTTAGATGTCAACAATCATACCCCATTTTGCTTTGTTACAGTAATTGCTTCTGCCTTCTTTGAACTTTTGGTGCTTCTGCACAGACACTGTAGTGCAGTCTGAGGCTGGCTTGATGGTGGGATGTCCACAAAAATGCTATAGCATGAATCAAGCCAGAAACAACATGTTACAAAAACTCATCAGAAAGTTCAGAATAAGCCAGAGGATGCATGGCAGCTGATGAGATCCCATTCAGGACCTGAAAAAGGGGTGATTCTGAACAGATGTGGATATGTGCATCAGCACATCTCAGCAGACCGGTTAAGAGGGGAAAAACCTACGTTTTTCAATGGCTGTCTAGCCACAGATACTGCAATTCCTGGGGTCAGTTCCAACCCACAATCTCTGACTATTGTTGCTGCCATCCCAGCCTCAAACCGGTTCCTGGGGTGTTTGTGTAGGCACTGCACAGCAAAATTAATTTGTTTAAATCCATTGGATCATAGTGTCTGTGCAGAACTGGCCTTAGACCATAGATTGCAAACTTCCAGGGTCAAAGGGCCTGCATAATCTCAAGTATATTTCATACTGTGCTGAAATTTGGTGGTGCCTGTAAAGATCCCTTACCTTTGGAAGACCTGGCAGAGGGCAGCAGGAGCCATTTTAGTTTAGGGAAAGCACCATTTCAGAGAGGGGGAGTGGCCTAGGCCTGAGCCAGCCTTAGAACAGCCAGGATTGGTTTATTAAAGGGGGCCGGAGTTAGACTGTTTGGAGGGAAAGAAAGGGCTGTTTCAGTCAGTCTGGTGATGTTAGAGTTTAGAGCAGGATTACAGAAGTTTTTAGGAGTTCGTGTTAAGAATAGGCAGTTTGCCTGAAGTTTGCCAGCGAAGTGAGCTGTAGCAAACTGGGTACAGCTATTTAGGGAAAAAATAGCTGGGTTTTGTAGTTAGCTAGGCTACAGTTGTATCTTGGCAGAGATTTCAGATCCTGTCAAGAGTACTTGTGTTTAAAGAGAAGAAAATCTTTATATTTGTAACAAAGAAAGAACCATTCTCATGCAACCGTCACGCTTTCAAGAACCAGAACATTTTATCTGTAACAGCCAAGCTTATTAAACAGCATTTACACTTTCTTTCTGTACTATATTAAATAAACTTTCCTTGATTATTTTGAAACTTAAAAGCCTGAGTCAAGTGTACATTCGTGGATTTAGTCCCTTTTCCTTTTCAACCTCACCGGCTTCCCTTTAAATAAGAAAATAAAACACAGTACTTGGTGGTAATAAAAGCCCTTTTTAATATTTTAAACAGCTAGAGTGTTCCTGTACAATTGTTTATGGTGGCAGCGGAAGTTAATTAGTGAGACAATCCCCTCAAACGTTCTATTGGTGCCAAAGTGGTGTAAATTCTTTATATTGGAGGGACAGTTGGTGGGATTTGCTTTATCCCCTGTCCAGAGATATTGTTTGCCCAGACAGCCATAAAGGAGGCTTTATAATTGGTGGCAGCGGTGGGATCTGTTTGCCCCCTGTCCAGTTATATTATTGGTGCCATATCTAAAGCTGTCTTTATAGTGCCCATGGCAAAAATAATGTTTTTATAGCTGTTTTATATGTTTTATAGCTTATAAGAATGGTTTATAGCTGGATCTTACTCCCAGGAGACTTAAGTTACTTTCGAAAGAAGGATAGGAGCATGGAGAGACTAGGAGCATGAAGGCCCATCATAGGTTAAATTTAATGCCAAGATTATAATAAATAGCATAGTATAAGGGATCTGTTATAGTTTAAGTTCTTGCTTGCCTATTGAGACATGCATACCAGGAACAGACATTCTGTAAACACATTAAATGTCTAATAATGTGCTTAAAGATGAAATATGGACATAATCTTTCTTCCTTCTCCCCTCCCCTTCTTTCTTATGCAGAGTGAAAAGAAGACGAAGACTACAGTTTTAACAGCTGCTCTTTTACTCTCTGGTATCCCTGCAGAAGTTATTAGTCGTTCCATGGACACTTACAGCAAAATGGGGGATGTTTTTACTGACCTTTGTGTCTATTTCTTTACCTTCATCTTCTGCCATGAACTGCTCCTGTTTTTCGGTTCAGAAGTGCCCTGATGGCTGTGGACGTCGGTGTGGTGTCTTCAACAGGACTGCATCAATCTTGGTTTTTGTACATGTCTCTGGATATATAAACAGGGTTATCCCATTCATACTTGTTTCTGTGCTTTGGAAGCACACTTCTGAAGGGAAGGGCATGGTCCCAGCACTGATGCAGAATTACTATAGTTTGAAAGACAGTGCACGATGTCTTAGTTACAGAATACAAATAGCATTCCAAGTGCAGGGCCTTTCTGTTATTCTAGAATATTGTCCTTTTACCCTATTCAAGGTACCGTCTTCTATTGTAACATTTCCTCTGGCTCTTTAGTATAAAAACCGTGGATAGCTAAGGTCTTGTGCTTGTCAGAATGACATGTCTTATGACCTGGCTCCTGTTGCAAAAAGGATGAAGAACATTTTGACCCACTCTCCTTTCCCTCTGTGCTCTCTGAAATGTCTGCTGTGGGGTGGGGGAACCTTTTGGAACACCATAAAAGGGCTATGGGGAGATTCAGGGCAAAGAGGAAATCAGTGAAAATGGCCTCCTTTCCAAATCCCTGCAGGATCTTGGTTCCTTCTGAGAAAGGGGGCAGACTTAATATTCATGCAAAGCATGCTCTGATTCTATCCAGAGGAATTTCTGAGGGACTACTCATGCTGTTAAATTGCTGTAAACATCTCCATACATTTTTAGCCATTAAACGATTCTGACAAAAAGTCAATTCTCAAGCTGCCTGTTACTGCAACAGAATTAAGCTTGGCGTAGGTCATGTGTTTGTTTTATAATTGGGAAGGGTTGATTGGAAACGTGAATGCCAGACCTTAAAAACTAGGTAATAAAATCCCATTGGTCCCACTGAGCATTCATTAATTTTTGCATCTAAATAGGAATCCTAATAAATTATGTTTACATGGTTTGATGGCATTTTTACTGTGTTAAGTGAATACTGCAGATTACAAACTGCTCTCAGTGATTAGACTTTTGTATCTAACTATGTCAGCAGTTTTATCCATCACTGTTGTTTTAATGCATTGTAGTTTAAACCAATGCAGGATTTTGAATCATGTTTCCTACATTTTTCTTCCCAAGAATACATGGTTTCGCCTCATTGGCCTGGACATTTTAGGAATTCTTGTATTTATTTGTAATTGAGGAAGAAGGTGGCTTTGTATGTTAAAAATTAGTCTTTGTCCTAAGTTAAATTGTTGCTTTTTGTGAATTCTAGTTTATAGGATGGGTGGGTAGCACAGAACATGTTCAATCCAGACTTTAAAAGGCATACTGTGAATGGGGTCTTACAACAAGACCAGACAGAATTACTTGAAACTGCTTCTACTGAAACCAGTGGTATAGTTCTAAATAAACCTTTATGTTCCTCAAGGCTTCTGCTGAGTGGTTGGTAGCATCATCAAACCTTTTCTTGCCTTTAGTTTAGAGTTCTTCATATACATATATTTCAGATAAGGAAGTTTTCCCCAAGCATGTTATCTTTAAGTCGTTTCTGTAAATCCCAATTGTTGTACATCATGAAAAGAATAATACATTTTTCACTTGATCTTTACTTGATCAAGGATAAAGGTCATACTAGAGCAAGGACTGGTACAGAAATAACACTAATAACACTAAAGAAAATGACTGTGTAATCACTGGTCTTTTTACTTGTCTGAGGGCTGTTTTCTGTTTTCATGTGTTCCAGTGGTGTGCTTGTCTGTTGCCATTACTGGGCAAAACAACAAAGAAGCAGTGGCTCACCACAGACCCTGCTGGTCTAATTTTTCATTGAGTCCTGTGTTATATCAGAAAGGATTCGATTAAAAAGTAGACCACTGTGGTCTAGTTCTCATTATGCCAAAGCAGGTATGAATAATGTGTGATCTTCCAGGTGATTAGGACTATAGCTGTCATTAGTCCTATTCAGCACATAGGATGGTAAGGCATGCTGAGAACTGCAGTCAAATAAAGCTTGGTATGAAACAAGTTGCGCACCTCCGTTCTAACAGATTTTTTTTCTTGACTTTTGTCCGAGTAGCCTTTCTAAATTAGTATGCTACCATTAAGTTAATAAATCTGTGTGCCATTTAAGTCTTGCTTAGCTAATTCTAAATCTCTATGGTTAAACAAGCTAAGACCATTTATCTTTTTTGAGGTGGTAGTGTTTTTGTTGGAAATTAAAACTACATGTTTCCCACCAGAAGGATATCTTAACTAGTAGTAGGGTTTGGGGGAACTTTCCTAATAATCGTAATACTACATATAATTTAATTGAATTTCATTGTTCTGATTACATGTGTTCCATAAGAAATGTGTCCTATAGTGAGATTAATAAAAGGAATCAGGGCTCACAGTTATTTTTGCCACAACAAATAAGACTGCATTCATTTGATAAAACCAATATCTAAAAAAATTGATCAGAAAATGAGTAAAATCTCTCTTTGAATATGGCTTCCTCTTTAGATTCTAGTTTGGGTATATGGCGTGTCCAGTTGGTTTTTACACTACAATAAAATGTCAGCTTTTAATTTTGATGTTTGGTTCTCTAGTCTTATTAAGTCTTAATAAACTAGTCTTATTAAGGTCTCTTATTATATCTCTGTTATATGGAAAAGTCTTGTTTGAAGATAATGGATGAACTTAAAAGAATTCCGAAATGGAGTTCGGTTTAGAGAATTGTGTGCCTAATGAGTGGCTTTCACAGGCTCATCATAGAAACCTTCAAAATGGTCTGAGCCTTTCACAATTTGACAGTCTTGCCATCTAAGTTAAAGCTACTGTAATTAGCACACAAATTGGGTCTGTTCTAATGGCATTTCTAATGCCCTGTATTTCAACTATGCTTGCCAGTGGGGAAAAAAGAGTTAATCTAAAATCCGATTGGATGTTTTTTTCTTAAATTTAAAAGCCACATTTCTAGATTTTTTTAAAGTTTCCGATGTCGCCCTCTTCTCTGCAGTGAAAACTGAAGTATAGGTTAGAATAATTGCCAAACAGTCAGGAAGTGTTCCATATGTCCTTTCGCAAAAACTGGAGCTCCTGTGTGTATTAAATTCATGTGATCTTGTATGTCCTTCAATATGATTTCTATGCTGGTTCTAATAAATTTATTAAACTTAATTGTATTGTCTTTCTTTCCTTTGGCTTTGAAATTACTTGAGTATTGAATAGAAAATATTGCACAGGATGGCAAATTATTTACTGATTGTTTCCAGTTTTTGCAAGGTTATTTCACCATTTGGAAAAAGCTGCATAAGTGGGAATGTGCAATGCCTGAGATGTTACAACAGAGCTGAGGGATTTTTTTCCAGTGCTCTCAGAACATGGTGTTGCTCTGACAAGCCTTGTACTATATACTGTAAAGTAATAACATACACAGGCAGCCCCCAAGTTAAGAACAAGAAAGATTCTGTAGGTTTGTTCTTAAGTTGATTTTTTTTTGTGTCACTCTTGCCAAATCATGATTGCTTTGGATAGCTTAAGGAAAGATTAACATCCCTGTGGTGTTTGTTTGCTGTTTGTATCTCTGTTCAGAATATTTCACCTCACTGTCTATCCCTGTGATAATTGGATTATGAAAATTGTGTCTTATGGAAACAGTTTCCCCATGATGACTTTCAGTAGTGAATTTCCCTTTCTAGGGGAAGATTTATTTCACTTCCTGATGTCTCACCCCCATTTTTAACTGTGAGTCATTTGTAAGTCAAATGTTTGTAAATCAGGGACTGCCTGTACTGAAACATGCAACAAATAGGCATAGGTAGATTAGTAATACATTGAAATGATGTTTGGCAAGTTCTGACATCAGAGCGCACTGTATTGTTCCCATTTATCACAGGGGCACAGGCAGATTTCCCCAAACTGGCAGGCTCTACATCAGCCCAGCACAAAGACAGCAGATACTAGTAGAAATTTTTTGAGTGATGCATACAAAATGGTCAACTAAATGCCTTCAAGACACCACCCACCTGATCTTGGAAGTGAAGCAGGGTCACTCTGGTTGAATGGGAAACCACCAACCAATCCCAGATGTTCTGGGCTCTATTTCAAAGGGAGGAACTGGGAAAACCACCTCTCAGTATTTCTTGCCTAGCAAAAGCCCTGGGAAATTCATGGGGTTGCCATAATTCAGGAGGCAACTTGAAGGCAAAGGCATACATAGCATGCTGTGGTAGTATGGGGCTGTCCCAACAAATATCTGGCCCCACCCACTGTGCTGGACATACATTGGACTTGGTTTTCTGCCAGGGATGGGAGCAAGGTGGCGGTGTGGAGGAGTTGACCATCTCTCCGTTGCCATGGACCAACCACTTCCTGGTCAGATTTAGGCTCACTGCGCCCCCCAACCTCTGCAAAGGTGGAGGACCCATTAAGTTGGTCCGCCCCAGGAGGCTTATGGATCCGAATGGATTCCTGACGGCTCTTGGGGATTTTCCCGCCACCTCGGTAGGTGACCATGTCGAGGCCTTGGTCGCTCTCTGGAATGGAGAGATGGCCAGGGCAATTGACAGGATCGCTCCGGAACGTCCCCTCTCAAGTAGCCGAGCTAAACCAGCTCCTTGGTTTACTGAGGAGCTGGCAGTGATGAAGCGAAGGAAGAGGGAACTAGAGAGCGTGTGGCGTTCGGATCCGAGCGAGTCAAATCGAACACGGTTTGTGTCCTTTCTAAGGGCATATGCCGCGGCAATAAAAGCCGCAAAGAAAACTTTCTTTGCGGCCACTATTGCGTCTGCAAGGAACCGTCCGGCGGAGTTGTTCCGGATTGTCAGAGGTCTTTTAACTCCCGCCATCTCAGGCGGGAGCCCTGACAATTCGGCCACGCGCTGCGAAGCATTTGCTCGGTTCTTTGCAGACAAAGTCGCTTTGATCCGTTCTGGTCTGGACACCATGTTAAATGCAGTCTCTGAGGATGTGACACGAGCACCTGCTTGTCCTATTTTGATGGATTCTTTTCAATTTGTGAAGCCCGAGGATGTGGACAAGATACTTGGAGGAATGAGGCCCACTACATCCATCCTAGACCCCTGCCCATCCTGGCTTCTGAAGGAGGCCAGAGGGGGATTGGCTGAGTGGGTAACGGTGGTGGTTAACGCCTCCCTTCGGGAAGGCGAAATTCCAGCGAGCTTAAAACAAGCTATTATAAAACCGCTGTTGAAAAAACCATCACTGGACCCCACTAAATTTGACAACTTTCGGCCTGTTTCCAATCTCCCCTTTTTGGGCAAAGTCATGGAAAGCGTGGTGGCCTCACAACTCCAGGTATTCTTGAGAGACACGGATTATCTGGATTCGGCACAGTCTGGTTTCAGACCGGACATGGTACTGAGACGGTCTTGGTCGCCTTAGTGGATGATCTGCGCCGGGAGCTAGACAGGGGGAGTGTGTCCCTGTTGGTGCTCCTGGACCTCTCAGCGGCCTTCGATACCGTCGACCACGGTATCCTTCTGGGGCGTCTTGCGGAAATGGGCCTCGGGGGCACTGTTCTGCAGTGGCTCCGGTCATTTCTGGAGGGCCGCACCCAGAAGGTGTTATTGGGGGACACCTGTTCAACGCCACAGCCTTTGACTTGTGGGGTTCCACAGGGCTCTATACTGTCCCCCATGCTGTTTAATATCTACATGAAGCCGCTGGGTGAGATCATCCGGAGTTTCGGGGTGCGGTGTCATCTGTACGCAGATGATGTCCAACTCTGTCACTCCTTTCCACCTGCTACTAAGGAGGCTGTCAAGGTCCTGAACCGGTGCCTGGCCGCTGTTACGGTCTAGATGAGGGCGAACAAACTGAAACTAAGGAGGCTGTCGAAGTCCTGAACCGGTGCCTGGCCGCTGTAATGGACTGGATGAGGGCGAACAAACTGAAATTAAATCCAGACAAGACAGAGGTACTCCTGGTCAGTCGCAAGGCCGAACAGGGTATAGGGTTACAGCCTGTGCTGGATGGGGTCGCACTCCCCTTGAAGGCGCAGGTTCGCAGCTTGGGTGTGATCCTGGATTCATTGTTGAGCCTGGACCCCCAGGTTTCAGCGGTGACCAGGGGAGCATTCGCACAGCTCAGGCTCGTGCGTCAGCTGCGCCCGTACCTTGGGAAGTCTGACTTGGCCACGGTAGTACACGCTCTGGTCACATCCCGCCTTGACTACTGCAACGCTCTCTACGTGGGGCTGCCCTTGAAGACGGCCCGGAAGCTCCAGCTAGTCCAGCGCGCGGCAGCCATGTTACTAACAGGAGCGGGACGCAGGGAGCACACAACGCCCTTGTTGTCCCAGCTCCACTGGCTGCCGATCTGCTACCGGGCCCAATTCAAGGTGCTGTGTTGGCCTACAAAGCCCTAAACGGTTCCGGCCCAAAATACCTGTCTGACCGCATCTCGGCCTATGAGCCCACGAGGACTTTGAGATCGTCTGGGGAGGCCCTTCTCTCGATCCCGCCTGCCTCACAGGCACGCCTGGCAGGGACGAGGGATAGGGCCTTCTCGGTGGTGGCCCCCCGGCTGTGGAACACCCTCCCTGTAGACATCAGACAGGCGCCCTCCCTTATGACATTCCGCAAGAGCCTAAAGACGTGGTTGTTTGAGAAGGCGTTTGACTAAGTGCTACAACAAATTGGCAATGATGAGTGGAACGGAATATGGATAATGAGATTGGATTGTGATTCTATGATGAGACGTCGCGAATGAGTTAGTGTAATGGTATTATTACTAGTGATGTTGTTATTGTTGTTTATGATATTGCTTTCATTGTAAATTGTCTTTTTATATGTTGTACACCGCCGTGAGTCGCCCTAGGGCTGAGAACGGCGGTCAACAAATGCAATAAATAAATAAATAAATAAATAAATAAATAAATAAAATAAGTATGAGAATTGCAGAACGGAGTTCAATCATGGATCATGGAAACCCCTTGGGCCCCTTTGGGCAAGCCATTCTCTCTTAGCCTTAGAGGAAGGAAAACTTCCACTGAACAAATCTTGCCAAGGAAAAAGGGGAATAGGTTGTGGGTTGCTGTGAGTTTTTTGGGCTGCCTGGCCCAGAAGCATTCTCTCCTGATGTTTCACCCACATCTATGGCAGGCATTCTCAGCGATTGTGAGGTCTGTTGGAAACTAGGCAAGAAAGGTTTATATATGTGTGGAATGTCCAGGTTGGGAGAAAGAATTCATGTCTGCTTGAGGCAAGTGTGAATGCTGCAATTGACTACCTTGATTAGGATTTAGTGGTCTTGCAGTTTCAAAGCCTGGCTGATTGCTGCCTGGAAGAATCCTTTGTTTGGAAGTGTTAGCTGGCCCTAACTGATTATTGTCTGGATTTCCCCTGCTTTTTGAGTGTTGCTCTTTATATACTGTCCAGATATTAGAGGGTTTTTACTACTGGTCACCAGATTTTGTTCATTTTCATGATTTCCTCCTTTCTGTTGAAATTGTCCACATGCTTGTGGATTTCAATGGCTTCTCTGTGTAGCCTGACATGGTGGTTGTCAGAGTGTTCCAGCCATGTCTGTGTTCTCAAATAATATGCTGTGTCCAGGTAGGTTCATCAGGTGCTCTGCAGTGGCTGAATAGGTTCGCCTGAGATGGCATCTGAACTGTAGGATTAATGCAGTTTGACACTACTTTAGCTGCCATGGCTCAATGCTACGGAATTCTGTGTGTTGTAGTTTTACAAGGCTTTTCATGCTGCCTGCCAAGGAGTGCAGATGCCTTAGCAAGGAGCCATGGCACGTTAGAGTGGTATCAAACCGCATTCATTCTACAGCAGGCATGGGCAAATTTCACCAATTGGGTCACACAGTTGACAGAAAACCTACACACACAGATATCTATCTACATAAAAACTCCAACCATCACCCAAGTGAAAAAGAAGAACAATTAAAGCCCTCGCAGATGGTGCAAAAAGAATCTGTAAACCCCACCTCCTCCGAGATGAACTGAACCACCTAAACTGGGTTTTACAGGCCAATGGATACTCCACCTCAGACATCTGAAGAGTTGCAAGACCGAGAACAAGCCACGAGAGTAAAGACAAAGATCCACAAAGATATTCTTGCCATACATCAAGGGGACCACTAACTGCATAGGGAAGCTTTGGAAACACAACATACAAACTATCTACAGACCCACCAAGAAAATCCAACAAATGCTATGTTCAGCAAAGGACAAGAGGGATCCTCTCACTTCTGCAGGAGTCTCCCGTATACCATGCAGCCTACATAGGGACCACCAAACGCAGCATTGCCCAAACACAAATCCAGGAACATGAAAGGCCCTGCAGACTACTTCAACCAGAGAAGTCAGCCACTGCAGAGCACCTGATGAACCAGCCTGGACACAGCATATTATTTGAGAACACAGAAATGCTGGACCACTCTCACAACCACCATGTCAGACTACACAGAGAAGCCATTGAAATCCACAAGCATGTGGACAATTTCAACAGAAAGGAGGAAACCATGAAAATGAACAAAATCTGGCTACCAGTATTTAAAAAACTCTAAAATTATAACAGCACAACAACACTCAAACACAGGGGAACTCCAGAGAGGAAACAATCAGGAACAGCTAATCACCTCTCAACAAAAGATTCCCCCAGGCAGTAACAAGCCACACTTAAAAACTGCCAGGCCATCAAATGCTAATCAAGGTGGCCAAATGAAACATTCACACCTACCTCCAACAGACAAGAGCTCTTTCTCCCACCCCAGCCATTCCACAGATATATAAACCCAATTTTCCTAGTTCCAACAGACCTCACAACCTCTGAGGATGCCTGCCATAGATGCAGGTGAAACGTTAGGAGAGAACGTGTCTCCCTCTACGTCCCACCTCGGAGTCTGAGATCATCTGGGGAGGCCCTGCTATCGACCCCACCACTGTCACAAGTGAGGCTGGTGGGGACGAGGAGCAGGGCTTTCTCAGTGGTGGCCCCCCACCTGTGGAACTCACTCCCGGGGGAAATCAGGGCCTTTAGGAGAAGGGTGAAGACTTGGTTATGGGACCAGGCCTTTGGGCACTCCGGCAATTAAATCAGACAACCAGGCGAGTAAGACCAGCAGGATTATGAAGTGGAACGTAAAACTAGATCTATGAGTAGCGAACGCTGACCATGTAAGAGGAGAAATTGGGTTTGTACTTGGTTTTATTGATTTTATGGTTATAATGTATATTTGGTGTTAACTGTGTATTGATGTAATTTTGTGTTTGATTGTTTTTATGATGCAGGCATCAAATTGTGCCTTGCTTTTGTAAGCCGCCCTGAGTCCCCTTCGGGGTGAGAAGGGCGGGGTAAAAGAACCCCAAATAAATAAATAATGCTTCTAGAACATAGTCATGTAGTGCGAAAAACCTACCGGCTGTTAGGAATTGTGAGAGTTAAGTCCAAAACACCTGGAAGGCTGAAGTTAGCCATGCTTGTTCTCCAGTGTAGTTACACCCTTAGGGTCCCCATTAAGCTGGAATGGACTGTTAAGGCCCACCCCGCCACCAACCAACACAAGATTCCCTGCAAGGGGAATCCGGCACTGGCTGCACACGGCTCCTCCGGCCGCAAGGGGCGCTGTCGCTCTCTTTCCGGAAGTGGGGAGGCGGTGTCTCTCGCTTCCTCCTTCGCGTTCTGCGTAGAGGGACGCGTCATTTCCGCTCCAGTCGCTCTTCGGAAATGGCTGGCAGACGTCGCTGCGCCGCGAGAGATTAAGCCGGAGCGAGGAGGCTGTGTTTCGTGAGCGGCGCCATGGGGCGAGAGTCCAGGTGAGCGGGCGGCTGTGTCCCCTGGGGGATCCCTCTGAGGCCCGGCCGGGGCCCTGCCCCCTCGCCCTTCACTCACTCTAGGCGGGGGCGAGGCCGGCCCTCAGGGCCTTGCGAGGGCTGTGCGGAGACGGGGCCCTTTCTCATCGCTCCTGGTGTACATGGCAGTCTTTGGAGGAGACGTTCTGGTGCCAAACCACCCCCGCCACCTCTTCCTCCTCCTTCTGTGTCTCGGGGCCCTTCCACACAGCCGTATAACGCAGAATATCAAGGCGGAAAATCCCACAATGTCTGCTTTGAACTGGGATATCTGACTCCACACTTCAAGTTCAAAGCAGATATTGTGGAATCTTCTGCCTTGATATTCTGGGTTGGAGGTATGCTGTGTGGCAGGGCCCCAAGACACAGAAGGAGAAGAAGAGGTGGTGGTGGTGATTTGGCACCACAACGTCTCCTTCAAAGATTGTGATTTACGCCAGGAGATATGAGAAAGGGCCCCGTCTCCACACAACCCTCGCAAGGGCGAGGGAGCAGGGCGCCAGCGAGGCCTGGGATAGCTGAGTCCACACTGCTATATATTCCAGTTCAAAGCAGATATTGTGGAATCTTCTGCCTTGATATTCTGGGTTATATGGCTGTGTGGCAGGGCCCTTTGTTACTGAAGCTGGATACCAAACTCCATGGACTCTCAAGTCCCATGATTTACAGTGACATAGTAAAATGATGTTCTTTTATATAAAATGGCAAAGTAAAGAATTTTTAAAAAACAAATATTTTAAAGCCATGGGTGGTTGAATCCGTGTTTACAAAGGGCTGACTTCATGTGTCATTTCCTATTACATTAATAAGTTATGTTAGTTTGTTTCTCGCAAGGAAGTAGGGATCCTGCAGCCCTTCACTGTTTCAGTCAGTTGTCCCTAATCATTGAAGGCCACATGGTACCCATGCATCCTGGGTTGGCAGATTAGACGTGTTTTAATGACTTTGGGCCTTTCCACACAGCCATATAACCCAGAATATCAAGGCAGAAAATCCCACAATATCTGCTTTGAACTGGGTTATCGGAGTTCACACTGCTATATAATCCAGTTCAATGTGGATTTTATACAGCTGTATGGAAGGAGCTTTAGACCCCATCCGCACTCACTGTCTTGTTTTAAAATATTTTTTATTAAAGACACAAATATAAAGCATTTTCCATATATGTGTGTGTGTGTATATATATATAAGATAAAATAAAAAGGAGGGGAAAAAGAAAAAAGTGAGCAGAAAAAGGTGAAAAGTGATAGTGAATCAAGTAGAGAGAGGGAAAAATCACATTTACAAAACTTTATACATATTGACTTCCGTCTGCTTCGTTGTGTTACTTACAATATTCTTGCAGTCTATTTTGTCTCCACCTTCATCCCCTTTCTTTGTCAATGTGTACTTAAAGAACGACTATTTTTCTTATATCTTTATTTCTTCTTCAGATTTGTTTTTTTTAACTTTTCCTTTTTAAAATAGTCTTTAAATAGCTACCAATCTGTTTGAGTTTTTGCTCTTCCTTGATTTGTTGATGACAAATATGTCAACCTGTCCATGTTCATAATTGATTGTTTAATATAGTTTGAAGCTAGCTTTGAAAGGTGGCAGCCGGACAACAAATTCCCCCAAAAAGTGCATGAATGAAAGCCCTTAATGTGCATCAGTGCTTTGTAGTTTGTTTCATCACCATACAGGCCTCAAACTACTACCAGGATTTCCTGTGTAAATCATCTGCACATCAAAATCATTTTTGTTTGAAACTGAATTAAATGGTCAATGTAGATGAGATCCTATATTATAATGCATTGTTAGTGTAATGTAATTAATTATCTGTAAATAAGAATGCATTACTTTGGCCAGCACACATTTTGGTGCATTGTTAGTCCTGTTTCTGGTATATTTGATCTGCTCGTTCCAAAACTGGCACCAGATTTCTGCTATCAGCTCTAGTTTTTGAGATACAGAATATATGCCATATACCAATTTTCATCTGCTCACCCATAGAAAATAATGATAACCACAACTAAGAAACTAGAGCTGATGCAGTCTATCCAGTGCAGTTTTCTGAGTCAATGCCACAGATAACACCAAGAATAGGCCTAAAAGCCAAGACACAAAGAAAAATGTTTTTTGGTTGGGCCGTGTTATTCAAATCCCTCATATTGGCTCCTTCTACACTGCCATTTAATCTAAATTATCAAAGCAGAAAATCCATATTATCTTTGAGCTGTATTATATGAGGCTACAGTGTCATATAATCCAGTTCAAAGCAGATATTTTGCATTTTATCTGGCAGTGTAGAAGAGGCCAGTGTTGCCAGTTTAAAAAGTAATCTGAAACTGTTTGTAATTGAAAGTGGTGATTCTCACAAGCCACAGGTTTAAAGTGTAGAAATCTTTACAAAAAAGTTTTGAATATTGTTTTCCTATTGTGTCAATAGTTTATACTGTAGATATTAGTTATTGTTGTTAATCAGTGTTAGACACAAAAAGATTCTCAACTCAAGTTTATTCTAACTCAAAAGAAGAAGTAGTGTTGGGTTTATCTTATTACTACAATTTATTCCATTTTTATTGCAATACAGAACCCACAGATTCAAAATGTGTGTGTTCTGCACACCTTCAAGTTATCTCTGATTCATTGCGACCCCAATATTTTCTTGGCAGACTTCGTTCAAGGCCTTCCTCTGAGGCGGAGTAGTTGTGACTTCCCCATATCACGCAGTGGTTTTCCATGGATGAGCGAGGATTCAAGCCCTGTTTTCATAGTCATAGTTCAATGCTCAAAACCACTGTTTTCATAGTCATAGTTCAATGCTCAAATGTCCTACAGTGCAGAATAAAAAAATATATAACAAAACCATATGTAAAACAAAAGTTAAAAGACCATTATATCCTATCAAGAATCTACACTTCATTAAAAATTCTTCTACACAGCCAAATAAAAATTATGAGCTTCCAAAATTAAGTTTCTGGAGTGCTGAAAGTTCCCCATTAACTGTGTACAATAATTCAATTCAGAACTATATCTATTTGTGCATATGGCTTTGCTCAGTTTTCGTGAATCTTCTCTTATTATGTCAAAATGTATGCCATTCATCTGATGAAACCTATGATGATTTGTCTAGGAAATGTGTGAGTGTAAGACAGAATAATCAGTTCTTGTCAGTCCAGATACTTGCACGTAAATCTGAATCTAACACAATGACTGTACCATACTTGTTTCCAAATACTCCGTGGAGAAAATTATTGGGGTCACTTTGCAGCCTCCATGTACATATATTTTCATGTGGTCCAGACTAGTTTCTTGAGACGCTCTCATTTGGTCCATGACCACTTAATGCTGGGCTGAAAAATGTTTCGTTATATGTGGACTTGAGAAGCTGAGTTTAAAATGTATGCTGTATGTGATGTGTGAACAATTTAGGTTTCAGAAAACCCACTTCACCCTAAAATGCATACAACCGGGTGATTATTTTTCTTCTTGCACATATGCTAAAGTCAAATTGAAGTAAAATTCCTCTATGTCCTGTTTTTGCTTTTGTTAGCGGTGTGTGTATTTTTTTTGCCAAGTAAGTCAGTTAATTATAAAACAATCTCAGCTATTAGTTCTCTGTTGTCTCCTCCGCTATCCATAAGATGTAACATGCAAATAGTTAAGTATTCCTGACACAGCTGATGAAGCCTGGCCTCAAGGCAAAAGGATTCCCCACATTAAAATAGTTTAAAACATTCAGCTTTTTATATGGACACAAAACTTAGACTGAGATGGTGTGCTATTTGGGCATTAGCATAATAAATGTCATAATTTGCATAATAAAAATGATTTCACAATATCATGGGAAAGTCCAGTATTACACATCATGAGCATGGCCCATTTGTTTCAAACAGGTTTTGATTCCTATTGTTATCAGAAATTGATTTAGTAAAAAGTACCACCACCTCACTTACGTATCTCTTTCATTTTCTTAGATCAACAAAGCAACAGTTGTCCAAACAAAAACAGTGAGTTCACCTATTTAAAATAATAGTTTTTGATCTCTTATTGCTTTAGTCAAATGCTTTTCTATCTCTTCCACTATACCTGTATGAGGTCCAGTTCAGATGTTCACTGGGTTTTTAGTGGCTTTCCACCCCCCGCAATCTGTGGTGGCGCCATGTCAAGGTAAATTGCAGCTGTCACAAAGGAACCTGACAGTATAAAAAAAGAACAGTTTTCTGTGACACTGCAAAAAAGCAGTCCTCAATTTGTAATTATTTTTGGTTTCTTCAGGAAACAGTTTGTGAAGATATATAAAGGGATGCAGGGTTTTCCATCTCCTCACTTAATTTCTTTGTGTTTTGTACTTATTTTTATTTATTTATTTATTTATTTACGATATTTCTATCCCGCCTTTCTGGAGGCAACTCAAGATGGCTTACAAATTGGCAGCAATGCGATGCCATAACAGCTATAAAATTACAATTAAAACATTTAAGACAATATTATAAAAATCTATATTAAAACCTATATATATATAATATCACCAATGTCTTCTTGTCAGTGTCAACTTAATGGCTCTGGCTACATTTCAGAGTTTTGATGCTTTTTATTTGAGAATTGAGGGACGTGTGTTTTGTATGTTAATGAATTTGATTGTTCATACTAATTTACATGATGTTTAGTAATCATTTGTTTTAGTTGCTTCTCACTTGCACCATCAGATCTTCAGTTGTTTCCCCCATTGTTGTTATGCCTCTTTGCCTTGAGCCATGCTTCCATTTAAGTAGAAAATACTTTAAAAGTATTAAATTTTAAAATTGAAAAGAGACCCAGCATTTCGTTGTCACTGCCCTAAAAATCATGAATGATATATTGTAGCTCATTTCCAGTATTATCCCCTTATGTGCAGACTTGATATCCATGGTTTCACTTGCCCATCCTCCAAAAAATACCCCCAAAGTGTTTGTTGGCCGAGCATACTATAGAATAGCACTAAGGGATCTGGAGAGGCCTCCAAATCTCTGTTGGTCTCTAGGTTCTCCAGTAATATTTGTTGGGATGCTTCTAGACCACATATAGTCAAAATATTGAATTCCCTATTACCCATGAGTTCTGGTATCCACTAGATACTGGGATTGTACTGTATTTAATTAAATTACTATATGTCAACCCTGTTCTTTCTGCAAGTAGGTCAGGATAGCATATGTCTCCCCCCATTTATGGTATAATTAACCCTGGGAGAAAGATTAATCTATGAGAAAAAAAATGACCCCAGTGATATTCAGCTTCCTCTGTCCTAATCCAACACTCGAACAACCTCACAATACTATAAGTGCAAAGACTTTGTAATGGCACAGAATATTACCCAAGCCAATTCTACAGTACTTACAGATAAACACTTTTAATCACTAAATTGTATTATTTGGTGGGGGGGGGGAGGGGGGTCAATCTTTTCACTCTTTATTTTTTCTGTTGTGTTGAGTAAACATTTCACTCTTTGTTTTTTGTGTTGTGCATTTGACCATTTTGCTGTTACACCACCACAGGCATTATCGGAAGCGCTCCTCATCACGGGGGCGCTCTGGTAGTCGTTCACGGAGTCGTTCTCCGTCTGACAAAAGAGCAAAACGTGGAGATGATAGGCGTTCTAGAAGTAGGGAAAGAGAGCGCAGGCGTGAGAGATCACGGAGCAGGGACAAAAGGAGATCTCGATCTCGTGACAGAAAGCGTGTGAGGTAAGCAGGAAATACATAAAGTATGCTTTATCCTAGATATTTTCTGATAATAGAGATTGCCTATTACTGGAAAAACAGGGTTTAATGTCCTGGGTTAGTCTTTTCATTTCTTGACAAGCTAACTTAAACTCATGTCCTTTGTTTGATGTCAGTTTTGTGTACTTTAATATGCATTTTATAGAAATGCAGTTTTAATGTGTATCTTTTATAGAAATATGCATATTTCTTGAATTTTTGCCATGTTCATGTTTTTTAATTGTGTTGTAACTTGCCTCGAACCTCAGGGAAAGGTAGGTAAGAAATAAAATAATAATTCTTATTGTTATTGATCTTGATGTTTATAATTATTATTATTGATATTGATGTTTATTTCAATGGTGGTCACATTTCTCATCCAGATTGCCACTGAAATTATTATTTCTTACATCCTGTTTTGTTTAATGATATTTATTCAAACCAGAAAAAACCTGTAGTAATACCCAGAATCTGGTTCTGTGTAGGCGCTCAAGAAGTAGAGAGAGAGAACGGAGCAGAGAGAGGCGACGCTCACGTAGTCGAGAGAGAAGAAGATCCAGAAGCCGGAGCAGAGGGAGACGGTCTCGATCCTCCAGTCCTGGCAAGAACAAGAAAGTAGAAGACAGGTATCATATAGACCAATGTATTCCGTGTTATCTGAGTGCTCTAATAGAATGCCCATATTTAGGAGCATATTGCTGGATAGAAGACATTTATCATGTACTGGAAGTCATAGAACATCGGGAATTGACAGTAGATGACCATGAATTAAGTCTACACATAGAAATAATCCAGCTTTAATAAGTCTATTCAAAATCTAAGAGTTTTTTCACCCTTCTCTCTACATCTGTTTTAATTATTCTTGTTAGCAGAACCATCAACTACCAAGAAAAGCTGAAAGTTTACAACATATTTCTGACATGTTACCTAAATATTTTATTGTACAGTAGTGGTGCAGATGGTGTGACTGGAAACATTCCAAGGAATACAGAATTGTTCATTTTCATGATTATTGAGAAATTAAAGTATGGCATGTACTTTGTATAGAAATGTATTTTGTGTAACTTTAAATCTGTAAAACTCTTTAAAATTGGAACAATATATATATGTGCTGGAGTCCATTTGGGCTGTTATGCCCCCAGTTTTGCAAGTACTTAGATCTTTTAAAGATATCTCATAGGAGGCACCTAATGCCTCCTTGTGTGAGCATACATGAGCTCTAGCCTCCTCTTCACCCTGCAAGCAGCCTTTGTCCTGCTCAGTGCTCCTGCTTTCCCAAGGCTGCCTTGCTGAGAATGATGCATGAAATAGGATTTGCAGAAGAGGAAAGACTTGTACTGTGTTTTTGGGAGTGGGTGAGTGGAAGGCAGAGTGGAAAGTCTTGCATGCCACTGAATGAGGTCTGCTACCAGTGTTGCTCTGTGTGTTGGATAGCTGTCAGGCAGCTCCTGCAGCAGGGATCCCACTGCAGACAGAAGAAAAGGAGACTTACATGTATGAGCTTGACTCACCTTCACACCCACCATTGCCTTTGCCTTATGCACGGATTGCCTTTTTCCTTCTTTTCTTTAGATTCTTCTCCAGGAGAGTACAGGCAGGAATATGTCCTTGACATCAACTTCTTTACCTTAAATTGATGAAATAGACTGGATCCACCAAAAATACATTCATGGGATTTTTACTGTGCCAGTGTTATATTAATGTTTTCACCCATGAAAAGCTACCTCTTTCCTTCACTCTTTTTTCACATACCTGGACATGCAGTTTTGAGGCTCATGTCCAGGAAGGGAAATGCAGGAGGCAGGAAGGGAAATGCAGGAGGCAGGAAGGGAAATGCAGATATCTGATTTGTGGGAAACATTGGAATAGAATAACACTCAAGTAGAGCAGAGAATTACATATTCAACTATATTAGTAACTATATCAGATTTATCTGTAAAAAGAGTGCAATGTGGGAGAGAGGAAGAAAGATTTGGTTTTTATATTCTAGATTTAAGGTTTTATTTTGAAGAGCTACCCCAGGAGTAATATGTAATTGATTGCACACAGTTCTGTAGAAGTGCTTTATCTACTGCTCTAAGTGTGCTGAAAAAAATGCACTCATTCTCTGGCCTTTCAGAAACTTAAACTGACCTTCTCTAGAACTTGTCCCTATGGGACTTCTGGAGTGCTGTCCCTAGTTTGATTGAAGCAGAACAAGCCCCCTTTATTCTGTAAATCTGTTTTCTAAAAATTCAAAGCAGGTGTTTTAAATATAAAGCATTAGACAACATGCAGTCAGTTTGTATAGTTAAAGTATGCAACCATAGCAAAAATATATATCTGACTAAGTTGTTTTATCAACATTATTTTAAGGTTACAAAAATTATGCTTGAAAAGCCCAGTAAAATAAATTCCCTCACCTAAGACAAGCATATGGTTTTTGTTAAAATAGTTCAGTGGGCTTAAAGGGAAATTTATTAGAATTTACCAACCAAAATGATTTCTACATTTATTGCTGTGGGTTAGCATGTGTTTATATTGAATTGGTCTGTTTTGTGGGAGAAGAGGTGGGAATAATAAAAAAAAATCCATAATAAGTATGATAAATGGCTTTCATGTTGAAGCCAAGTCTTTTCAGATTCTGAGAGAAGAAAAGTGTGTTTTTTGAACATTTATTTCATCCATTAAGTGACTCCTTGGAGGATCCTAATACTTACAAAGCAAGTGCTAAATCGCTTAGGGAAAAAAGAAATCATTTTTCAACTGATTTTTAAAAAAAATCCTACTTTCAAGGAGGTGTGAAGTAAACATTGAAACTATTATTCTTAAGTGTTCTGGAAATGAAATTTGCAGTAAGGAAGGACTATCATGCAGAGCAGAACAAAATATAATCTAAAAAAGTAGTGTGTAACAATTGTATGTTGGTTAGAGTTAGAACCCAAATGTAGCATGATGAATCACATTGTTTATAACTGATGAAGACATTAAGGGTGAATGGAGTATAGCTTGTTGCATCTTAATCTTTTGTTCTTCTCACTGATGCTCACATATGAAACACTTTGTCTCCTTCATTAGGGGCAGTATATGTCACCCAGTCTTTGGAAAAGAGAGATTTTTTAAGCCTTGCAGAGTACATGGAGAATTCTCACAAGCGCAATGTTTCACAACTTTTCTGTGGAGCCTAATTACCGTGTGCACAACTTTAGACATAATTCTGAACTGCAGTTTTTAAAAGACGGAAGCGAACACTTCTGGTGTCTTTTCTGGTTGTGCCAGAGGAGTGGGGAGATGATGAGTTTGAAGCTTATCTCGTTGAAATAAAGCTAAACCATTCAGCACTGTGGCAGATTAGGGCCTGTATTTAAGAGCACAGTAGTTCTGTTGCTCCTCACTATACATGGGAAGTTGACATGTTCTGTCAGCTATACACAACTCTTGATGTTGCCTTTCAGGTCTAAAGAGAAAGTAGAGGGTGTGGAAGTTAACAAAGAAAAGAAAAAAGAGAAAGAGGACAAAGAAGAAGAAAAGGACAAAGATGTCAACGTATGTCAGATACCATTGTAACGCTTAACTGTTTTCATTGTTTTTGAAATATGCATGTAGTTTTCTTGATTTCTTTATTAAGATTAGCAGAACTAAACAAAATAGTTCAATGCTGAGCTTCCCAAATAGGATATAAATTGCAAAATGATGTCACTAGTTAACTATTGGTGTTGTAACGAGAAAACAGATCAGTGTCTAGCCTTTTTTTTTTTTTTTTTTTGGCAGATGCCCAGAGAAAGAGACCCTAATATGTATAGGGTTATTTTCTTTGGTAGTCAGGAGGAAAAGTAATAGTTGTAACACATTACAGGCAGTCCCTGACTTACAAATGACTCATAGTTAAGAGCAGGGATGAGACAACAGGAAGTGAGAGAAAGCTATCCCTCAGAAGGGAAATTCACTCCTGAAAGAGTTATTATAGGAAAAAGGTGTCTCAACTGAAGCTTTATCGCCAATCCTTATTTCCATAACAAGCAATTTTTTTCAAAATCCAATTACCACAGGGACAGAAAGTGAGGTGAAATCTTCTGAACAGGTGCACAGTCAGATGTACATAGTAATATTGTTTTCCCTATGCTATCCAAAACTTTAAAAAATAACTTGTGGCTGGAGTTATACTTTAAGAATGTACCTGTTCCGACTTACAAACAGATACAACTTAAGAACAAACCTACATAAGCTATCTTGTTTGTAATTTGGGGACTGCCTATATATGTCAGATGTACATAGTAATATTGTTTTGGTGTACTTAACTTTCATGATAAAAGTTGGTTCTGCCGCCGACTTTTGACAAAAGTAGAATTTGAATGCTTTCTTTGTCATAGAATTTTGATCAGAACAAGCTAGAAGAGGAAATGAGAAAGCGAAAAGAGAGAGTAGAGAAGTGGAGAGAAGAACAGCGCAAGAAAGCTATGGAAAATGTAGGCGAACTGAAGAAAGAAATCGAAGAGATGAAACAGGGGAAAAAGTGGAGCTTAGAAGATGATGATGGTATGGACTTCTGTTTAATTTGATGTGGGTCTTTTTTAATGAATGCTAGAAAAGGTTGGAAGGCCTGGCTTTCTAGATGTCTATTTTAATTGGGTGATTTAGTAGAAGCTTTTGGCAGTTTGCTATGCTTGGTTGTGTGTTGCTATAGAAGTAGATAAAGAGAGGAGGGTTATGCTTAAAATACTAGAAAAACTTCTCAACTATAGAAAGTTGTAAAAATCCTACAATGTGTTAGCAATACTTTAAAAGCAAGATCAAATAAATAACATGTATTTATTAATGTGATTATGCAGAAAGATCTTGGCTAGTATTTTTATAAATGTCATTTTACAGAAACATTTTAATCAACTTGTCTGTGAATGACTGACTTCTATGCTCACAGTTAGCTGTATTCCAGAATGTTTAAAACTCGGTTTAAAAGTTTTCTGTTTAAATTAGATGATGATGAAGAAACAGCAGAAGGGGAAAAGGAAGGTAACGAGATTGAAGATGAAGAATTAGATCCATTAGATGCATATATGGAAGAAGTAAAAGAAGAGGTGAAAAAATTTAATATGCGAAGTGTCAAAGGTGGAGGTGGAAGTGAAAAGGTACATCACTTTTTAAATTTCTGTTTAGGTTTTAAATTAGAATGTTACACTAATTCTGCAAAACCTTGGTTTGAAATTAGTATCAAAAAGAGTTGTGTAAATGGCAGATTCATGTTATTGTTTAAATAAAATTGTAATACACAAAACTTAAGTTTTGTTAAATTTTAACAAGTATGATAATTTGTTTTTCAAGAAATCTGGTCCAACTGTTACTAAAGTAGTTACTGTGGTGAAAACCAAAAAAGCATCTCCGGAGACAGAAAAGAAAAAAGGAGAACTCATGGTGAATGACCAAGATGCAATGGAGGTAATTAAGATGCGTTAAATTCTTTATTTTGCCAACTGAAGTTCCACTTGGAAATATCATATACTAGAAAATACTTTAGTTATGGGAGGTACTCATCATTTTGTTTGAATGACTACTCTGTGCATATAATAAAGTTTTCAAATTAAGTGTAATTTGTATATAGTATATTTTATAGAACATTTTATATAGATTCATATTTTTCAATATGTGAAAAAGTAGGATAAGGAATGTTGCATAGTCTAGTAATATAGTCAGCTGTGCTGCAAACTGTACGGAAAGAGGATGTTGTAAGCTTTCTGTCACTTCAGACGTTCCAGTTTTTGTTTTTTGTTTTTTGTTTGCAACAACCTCTCACTCTGGGGCTGATGAGAGTGCCAGTCCAATCTGAAGGGCATTAGTCCAGGAAAGATGATATAATGCTACAACCTTTAGTAATGTCCTCCTGCAGGACTGGCATGTGGTCTACAGGCCACATTAAAGCTTAAAATGCTTAGTTGTTAATACTGAGTTATTGTAATTCCTAGTCTGGTCTTCAAAGTGAGATAAATGTGTTCAATAGAAGGCTGATTCTTACTGAGGTTTATACCCAATAAGCACTGAATGTTGGGAATTTGTAATTGAACAGTATTCCTCTGAAGAGGAAGAAGTTGATCTCCAGACTGCATTGACTGGATACCAAACCAAACACAGGAAATTGCTGGAACCAGTGGATCATGGAAAGATTGAATATGAGACATACAGGAAGAACTTCTATGTTGAAGTCCCAGAACTCGCTAAAATGACACAAGAAGGTAACATGAAATTCTGTCTCAAAGTTACTGAACATCAGTGGATTAGATGCAGAGATTCTTATAGCAGAGTTCTTCTTAGGGAATCTCTCGTTTTGTAGGGAGGGAGGCAGTTTTCTCTAGTTTTTGCTTCTTCCTCATGTACCTACGTTCTCATCCAGTTTGTAGAATGAGAAAACACTTCAGAATACCATGGGAGCTTGTGCAGAAGGCTCCATGTCCTTTGTGGAGCAATTGCCACTGGAGTGGCTGTAATTTTGCAAAGGAGGGAATCTTTTTTCCACAAGTGGAATATTTTGTATTGAAGCTAATGTCTTTACAATATTTTCTAAATCTGGAACTACACTGCCCTACATCCCAGGATCTGATCCCAGATTATCTGCGTTGAACTGATTACATGAGTCTACATTGCCAGATAATCTGAAATAAGATAATCTGGGATCAGATCCTGGGAAACAGGGCAGTGTAGATCCAGCCTGATTTCTTCTTTGTTATACCACACTGCTTTGGAAACTGTTGTAGATAATCTGTTTTTGGGAGCAGTCCTCATAGCATCAAGAGATTAAGAGTACTCTTGGGGGTTTCTGGTTTCCTACTACAGTTCTCTGTAAATGTACATTATATTCTAAATAGTCACCGTTGTAATGCAGAAAGGTTATTAAATCTTAATACCCTTTTCAGGAAATGAACTTCTGCAATACTCACTCGTGCTCCATTTATAGAGAACATATTACAAGGGTACAGCTACTAATATGGAAAAGTCATTTGCTTACTAATTAATGTTTTGTGTTTCAGAGGTGACTGCATATAGGCTGGAAATGGAAGGGATTACTGTCAAGGGTAAAGGATGTCCCAAGCCAATAAAAACCTGGGTGCAGTGTGGAATATCCATGAAAATCTTAAATTCCCTGAAGAAGTAAGTGAACAATATATGAAAATCCCACTTGCATGAAGGGTTGGTATGGATTTTTATATTATATGGTAAATGTTTTTAATTGTATTTTATGGTATCCCGGCATCAAATTGTTGCCAACTGTAAACCGCCTTGAATCGCCTTCGGGCTGAGAAAGGTGGTATACAAATATGGCAAATAAATAAATAAATAAATAAATTGTCTGTTACCTTATTTATTGACACATAAGTGTTACTTTAGGACAGCTGGTTAGGATGTACAAGAAATTCCCCAGAAACCATATGATTCAGACTTAAAGGTTAGTTGCAGGAAACATTGGCTGGAAATCTATTGATTCCTTTTATACTATTACATGGTATCATTTTATACTATTTATTTGCATAAGCAGTTGTTTTTCAGAGGTTGCAGAAGTGTAGTTTGCAAACAGATACCCCCCCCCCCTTTGAAAGTGGGAAATTAATTGATGTACAGAAGATGAAATTATATGTGGCATGAACTCATATGTAGCAACTGTGTTGGTAGATATTTATGCTGTACAGATCTTCTGTAGGGTCTTGGTTCGATTCTACTGTATCATTAGTTTACTAATCATAGAATTGTTGAGTTACGTTTTCCATTGTATTTAATATTTAAGCTATGTAAATAACTAGTACATTCAGAAATGCAGTGATGGGTCATGTTCTTGAGATACTTTCTATTTTGATTCCTTTAAGGCATGGATATGAAAAGCCAACTCCTATCCAAGCTCAAGCTATACCTACCATTATGAGCGGACGTGATTTAATTGGCATTGCTAAAACTGGAAGTGGAAAGACGATTGCTTTTCTGTTGCCCATGTTCAGACACATCATGGATCAAAGACCATTAGAAGAAGGGGAAGGTCCAATAGGTACAGAAGACATCAATCACAATATTTATTTTCAATGGCATGATATTCCAGTGTGCATATTAATCTTTAGTGAATAAAAGTTGAATTGAAAATGAGCTGTCAGAAAAAAGGTGTGCAACCTCTTTGGCCTCTAAGGCAGATCTGCACAACCCATGACCCTCCAGCTGTTTTGGCTTCCAATTCTCAGAAGCCCTAGCCAGCTTGTCCAGTGACCAGGAATTCTGGGAGTTGGAGGCTAAAACAGCTGGAGGGCCTTAGGTTGTGCAGGCCTGCTCTAGGGCAACAAGTGATGCTATTTTGACGGTATCACATGCGTACATGCAGAGTTGTCTGTATATCATGCAGAGACCACTCTTTCCAGTGAAGAAAAAGCCATTTTTCATGGCAATGGGCGTAGTGCTGTTGCCTTCCAGATTTCTTTTACGAAGGGAAATGTTACTGTTTATGTAGTTTAAGCATAGCTAGGAGAGAAATAGATTTTCTTCTACATGTTTTAGGAACAATAGCTTTGTGATTACAATTCCAGTCTTTTTTTGTTTCAGCCGTCATTATGACTCCTACTCGAGAATTGGCATTGCAGATTACGAAGGAGTGCAAGAAGTTCTCCAAGACCCTTGGAGTTAGGGTTGTGTGTGTATATGGAGGAACGGGGATTAGCGAACAGGTATATAACAAGACACTTCCATCTCCTTCTCATTTTCTTGGCTTATGCTGCTTCCAGTGTACAGATTGTTTGGAAGCCTTTTCCTTAAGTTTCAAATTCAGTAGTTTTGTAATCAATTGATTGTACATTCTGGTTTGTTTCCAAGAAACTCATCTAATATAACAAGGTTTGTGGACTTTTCCCACATATGTGAGCTTGTTCACACACAAATATATATATGCTTAAAATTTCTGAAATTTCAAGATTTTTATTTAACTATTTTAACTGTAGAGCTGATTTCACAATTTGTCATAGTCACTTTTATTCCATTTCATATTTGTGATGTCTCATATTTCATAATTTGACAAGAGATGGAGGAACTAAAGACTTTTTAGCCTAGGCTTATCTAGGACTTTGAAAAAATGTATTTCTCTATATGAGCCAGTCTATACTCTCAGATCTGTAGAGGGAGGCTTTCTTTTGCTCCCATCATCATCCCAGGCTCATCTGGTAATGAATGACATGAGAGAGCCTTCTCAGTCATTCCCAAGTAATAAAGCACTTTCCCACACTCTCCGATTGGCCCTGTCTCTGTTTTTTCCCCAGAGCAATTAGAGGAAATAAAGCTTTTTAATTTTAATTTTTAAAAATTAATTGTAACAATCTATGAGATTTGCAAAATAATATACATTAAGAAAAAGAAAAATGCAAAGGAGAAAAAAAGAAAAAAGCTTAAAAACCAAACAATACTGAAATACTAAAATAAAATACTGAACCCTAACTAAAACAATAACGTACTGAAACACAAAATTGCTCTTCCAAATTTTAATGGCATAGAGAAGTAAATAATATAATATTTTGTAATTACAGTGATCATGCTAGAATGAATGGTAACCATAGCTTCTGATGATTAGACTGTTAGGTTTCTTTTTGTTCAAAAAGTTCCAAACCCCCCTCCAATTTTTTGTTTACTTAATTTATATCCCACCTTTCTTCCATCACGAAACCCAAGGCAGTGTACAAAAAGCCCCTTCAATTGGCTTATCATTTAAAACTGATGTGAGTTTGCCAGTTTGGGCTGGCTCAGCAACTTTAACATCCTGTTCTTCTATTGGCTGTGCTTCTGTCCAACCCCTTCTCTATTTTCAAAATGTATTCACTTTTTAATGACACTGTTACCATTTTTACACGATCTAAATCAAACTTATTTTCTCCAACCACTGTGGCTAGGTCACTGTTATATTGATTAAATGTATATTTGAGTTTCATGTATATGACCCAGTTAAGATCTTTGACTTTCTTAAGAAGCATGTCACATGTTTTAAACCCCCAGCTGTGTTGTTCAATGTACAGAAGGTCATCGCAAAACAACAATTTCCATTTTATTGTATTTTGTTTTGAAGCATTTTTTAATTTGGCATTTTTACTTTTATATTAACACTTTTAAAATTTTATTGTGCTTTTAAAATGTATGTGTCCTTGGATTCTGTGTTGGGAGAAAGGTAAAAAACTAAGTAAATGAGTAAAATAGATTGCTTACTCACATTGAGCCATATCCCATCTTGAAAAAAATTCATCATAAAGTTCAGTGACAGACATTAGAGAAAAGGCAGCGGATAACTAAAGTTAACAACAACCATCACCATAATTGGGCAGATGTAATCTGTTGATCGAAGGTTAATCCTTTCATTTGCTATTGCAATTTTTGGGAAATTACTGTAGTCTATCTGAAGAGAATCTCCATATTTTTCCTTCTACCCAACACTTTCTGGAAGTAGCTTCATTTCCCCTGTGTGCAGGGCAGAAAGGAACTGGTTGTCAGGAGAAAAACAGTGCTCTCCCACAGATCCCAGGGTTTCAAGGACAGAGGGAGGAGGGCTGCACAGAGCCGCTCTGAAAGCGGTATTCAGCCGCAGGGTCTCCAGTTTTTTAACAGAGAAATGGTAATGCGAAATGGAGAATGTTTGGTTCACATCTATTTACAGCTATGTGTGCATAGTAATTGTTATTAAAAAATTTTTTTAATGATGTTATAAAATCTTTAATAGTAACCTCTGCTTTTTTTTACTCACTTAGATTGCTGAGTTGAAAAGGGGTGCGGAAATAATTGTTTGCACACCTGGTCGTATGATTGATATGTTAGCCGCTAATAATGGTAAGAAGAGAATTCTTTGATTTTTAAGTTTTAAGCTTTGCTTTTAATTGCTTCCGGAATTCCAAGTATCTATTGAAGCTGTGATATCTAATGTGGTTCATTGTCATAAAAATGGCTGTTCATTGCCTTTGGATGTAATTTTTTTTAAATGTTTAATGGACAATAACTTTGCTAGAATAAATATATCCATTTAGAATTTGTACATGAATTGGCTTACTTAGAATAACTTTTTTGTTTCTTCCACATATATTGAAGTTCTATGGTCTATTTGGTGCTTGATGGCATTTATTTGACATAATATTTATTCTTTTTTTCTGAAGAAATTTAGCTTTGTTTTTTCTAAATTGAGGTGAAGTGTTTTTTAAAAGTATATAAATAAGTTTTGCAACTAGAAATAGATAAGCTTTTACTGAGATATTGCAGCTTTAAAATGCTTTTTACTGTCATGTTGCATGTTTCTGAAATAGTACTTGACAATTTGTTTAAATATTGAACTTCAAAACGTCTACTAAACTGTTGACATTTAACTTCTGTGGAAAAAGTCCCTTCAAGAATTGTAGAACTGGGCTTCCAAGACTAAGCCAACAAAGGTAGGTGCATCAATGCTGTTCCCAAGTAATGTTCAGTTTTAGAAGTTGACTAAGTGTTGGAAATGTTTCCAGTTTTGAATGTTTGAATATTAACCTGGTGTATGCGGAGTTAGGCCTAGAGAAGAAAAAAGTCATTGTATTCATTTTTCATTAGTAACTTTTTAAAAAAATCATTAAAGCAATATTTTGTCATGCAGATTTAGGTCCCCTTACTTGACTAGAACCTTACTTGTTGTGATCTGTCCCTTAGAGTACAGAATTAGAGCATCACTTGGAAGGAAACTGGGGCAAAATATATCATAGATGCAGCTGAAAGCATTACCTACTTCAGGGGTCTTCAAACCTTTTAAACAGAGGGCCAGGTCACAGTCCCTCAAACTGTTGGAGGGCCGGATTATAATTTGACAAAAACATGAATGAATTCCTATGCACTCTGCACATATCTTATTTGTAGTGCAAAAAACACTTAAAACAATGCAATAATTAAAATGAAGAACAATTTAACAAATATAAACTTATTAGTATTTCAATTGGAAGTGTGGGCCTGCTTTTGGCTGTTGTTGTATGCTTTCAAGTCGTTTCAGACTTAGGTTGACCCTGAGCGAGGGCCAGGTAAATGACCATGGAGGGCCGTATCCAGCCCCTGGGCCATAGTTTGAGGACCCCTGACCTACTTCATTAGCCTGCGCAGCATATCCCTAAACTTCCCATAAGGTTTCTTTTGCCCTAAGTTTTAATGGAAGGCGGAGAAGGTTTGGATTCTGCCCCTTTCTATACCTGTTAAGGGGAAAGGGACACAGATAACAGTTTCGCCATTTGAAAAGTTCCCCTAAGCTTTCTTTTGGAGTACTGTATTTCTTCAGTTCTAAGACACACCTTTTCCCTATATAAATATCTCTAAAAATGGGGTGGTGGCAACAAAATTAGGGTGCATATTACAATTGATGGCATCTTACAATTGAAGAAATATGATATTAAACAGATGTAATTGCTTAATAAAACACACACCTACATGGGATTAGATCTGAATAGGAAAGCATTTCCACACATATGGGGTGCGTGCATTCTTCTGATTCCCTGTCTCAGTTGTCATCTGCCGTATTACAGGGGGGATTTTAGACCCTCCAAATTCTGGAATGTAGCTCACATTAGGTCTGAGCCACTTTTGAAAATGGCGAAGGATGACGAGAGAACAGTCCAGCAACATCCAAAGGGCCATAGGTTGTCCATTTCTGGCATATAATGTTAGGAGGAGAATGTGATACGCTATCGCTATAGGCAGGAGAGATTCATGGCACACACATTGGGCATTCAAGACATTGTGTAGGTTGGCTGCAATACTGTAATCAGTGCAGTTTCATTTAAATAGAACATTTTATGATAATCTCCTTTAACTGATCATTTTAGTTTATTCTTTGAATCTAGACCAGGCATGGGCAAATTTCAGCCATTCGGAGTTTCGGATTTCAACTCCCAGAAATCCCAGCCAGCTTACCGGCTGTTAGGAATTGTGGGAGTTGAGTCCAAAACATCTGAAGGGCCAAAGTTTACCCATGCCTGATCCAGACCATTATATAAAGCAAAAAGGCATACTGTTCATAGGTCTAGATGTCAGTGCAATTGCAGAAATTATTAATGGTTATTTTTTTGTAAGTTTAGAATATGTTTTGAGACATTTTACTGTTGAAATCAGACATAGAACTCTTATTATTGCTTTCAGACTAATTAAAGGTTTATTTCATTCTAAATATTTTGAATTATAATCTATTTGAAGACTTTTGTGAAGACGTACTTCAGTTTGCCGTTGACCTTTGCTTTCCACACATGCGCTGTAATCTCTAATATGTTTTTTTCTAGGTGGCGCTCACAGATAATGGCTGATGTGGCTCGTTGCTTCACTTCAGTCTTAATTTTATGATGTGTTTTGGTGAGGGCTGTTTTATAAACTTTACAGGTTCTTCTGGCCCTGTACTGGTATGCAAGGGAAGAGTTTGATAAAATAATTGGCCTTGTGCATCAGTACACAATTGCCAATACTGTTAGAGTATTCTTTTCCTAAAATAAATACAATTTAAATATTTGTTCAGATGGTAGTCAGAATATGTATCTTTCATTTACATTTGTTGTTGGAGGGGAAAATAGCTGTAGATTTATTTGGGTTTCTCTTTGTGTTTTTCTTTCTCCTTTCTATAGGTCGGGTGACAAACCTTCGGAGAGTAACATACGTTGTTCTTGATGAAGCTGACAGAATGTTTGATATGGGCTTTGAGCCTCAGGTGAGAAAAAAATGCTAAGATTAAAATAATAATTGAAGTAAAATATTGCTTGAGTTCTGTTCTGTGTTGTCACTGCTATTGTGTTGCTCAGTGAAAAGTGCTTCTTAACTAATAAAAAATATTAAACTTCGTATGCTATTACCAAAAGTAGCAGGTGCATTGAGGGATCAGTAACAGAAGGATCCATGGGCTTGCCTTTGCAGATTTTGCCCTGTGCAGCAATCTGTGCCTAGTTCAATAAGCCAAATGCAAACTCATTCCAGGAACAGAAAACTGGTTAGAATGGAGAGTACAGGCAGTCTTCTGATTACAGACGTTTAAGAACCGGGGTGAGACAACAGGAAATGAGAGGAAATCTGCACTCAGGAACAGAAATCCACTCCGGTAAAACTTATTATAGGGAAAAGGTGTCTTCAATGAAGCTTTCTCACCACTCCTCATTTCCACGACAACCCAACATTTTCAAAATCCAATTTTCACAGAGACAGAAAGTGAGGTGAAATCTTCTGAACAGGGGCACAGACGGCAAAACAAATGTTGCAGGGGTGTTAATCCTTCAATGTGCTATCCAAACTTTAAAAAGTGATTGGAGCTACACTTTTAAAATGTATCTGTTCCAACTTGCATACAAATTCGACTTAAGAACAGTCCTACAGAACCTATTTTGTCTGTAACTTAGAGATTGCCTATATGGAGATCTGAGAGTCAGCATGGAGCGTTTCTTTCTGTTTCCAGTTTCTGGAGTACTTCAGGGAAAGAGTTAAGGGCTGATTTCACACAAGAGGTGTGTTTGTCATTTACATGATGGTTCCCATCTCAACTTGTGAAAACTGATTACTGCAAAGCGCCTGCTGTCTGAATTGACAAAGGCTCTGAATGGGGAGAGGGGGCTTGGATCGGCAGTGGCCCTTTCACACACAGAAATCATCATTTGGTGTCACAGTTCATACCTGCACATGCAAACTTACTGAGATTATTTCGAGCTTCCGTCAACAAACAAAATTGCAATATCAAAATGCATGTATGGTCAAGAGGATTTATCAGGATTGATAACCATGTGATCTGCTTTTAAAAGAAGAGTACCTGGAAAGGGCTCTTGTGTCTGCTCTATAGACCTCTCTTGTAGCATGCTGTGAAGTTGAATGTTGGACTACCAGTTAGAGAGATTGGATGATCTTGAACAACTTGCACTCTCTCAGCCTCAGAGCAAGGCCATGGCAAACCTCCCTGGAACAAATCCTCCCAAGAAGACACTGTGAAAGGTCCACTGAAGAGCTGCCATTAGTTGAAAATGCACAACAATGGGATCCTAGGTAGCTTTGTGGCAGAGATTGTACATTAAAAGATTTTAAAGATTTGCTTGACAGTGTTTTTGTCTCCTGTGCAATACACCAAGTTTGTTTAAAAATGAAAATAAAGACTTTGGTATTCCTCTAATTTTTTGCTCACTGCAGGTTATGCGCATTGTAGACAATGTGAGACCTGATCGCCAGACTGTTATGTTTTCTGCCACCTTCCCAAGAGCCATGGAGGCTTTGGCTCGTCGAATACTAAATAAGCCAATTGAAGTCCAGGTTGGAGGACGGAGTGTCGTCTGTTCTGATGTAGAACAGAATGTGGTATGTTGCAATATATCTCTACAATCTGCTGCTTTGGTTTTCAAAAGACAAAAGTTACAGGCAAAAAGTATCTATTCAGAGCACGATCTCTTCAGGATTATGCTACAGATTAATGAAGTCTTGATGCAAAACTGCTTGTAGTTATGCTACAGAATCTTTCTAAGCTTTCAAAATATAAATTAGGTTAAGCTTCCAAAATAGTAAGCCAGGCATGGGCAAACTTTGGCCCTTCAGATGTTTTGGACCTAACAGCTGGTAAGCTAGCAGGGATTTCTAGGAATTGAAGTCTAAAACACCTGGAGAACCAAAGTTTGCCCATGCCTAAGCAGTGATTATGTTTATGTTATCTTGTATGAGTGGATAGGCTGGCCCAGATATCTTATGGTGGGGAGTTTTCTTTCCTTATGTTGAAAACTTATTATTTGTGTTGAGAGTTGCTGTTACAGCATATCAGGAATTAAGAAACTAATGTAATGGCTAACACCTTTCCTTACATTTAGGCAGAACCTAAAAATTTGCCCTAAAGCTAACATTTGTGTGGAAGAATGCATTGGTTTTAAGATGGAATATGCAATTATCAGAGAGAAAGATTCTCTTGGCATTTAGTTGTCATTTATTGGTTATGGAACCAGGGGCCAGTTTCAAATATTATGATATTACTTCAGGAATTGGGTTCCAGGCTTACTTTCCACAAAAATAGCATCCTTATGTTCCATTACAAATCATTTTGAAAGACTGGTTTCAGAAGTAATTTGTGATGTTCCAGGTAGTTAATACAGTGACAAGGTTCAGATTCTGCTGGGTTTGCATGAATCTGAGCTTCCCTTAGAATCCTTCCTAGATGCAGCTGTGGCTTTCCTGGCAAAACTACCTGTTTGCCTTCTAAAATTTAAAATAAGATTCACAGGCTAAAATTTTTGAAATCCCAATTTTACTGGGATCTAAATTTTGAGAAAAAAACTGTTTGAAATGTTCTCTCCCTGAATTGTGTTATTCTTTCAGATTGTCATAGAGGAAGAGAACAAATTCTTGAAGCTGCTTGAACTGTTAGGACACTTTCAAGAACAGGGAGCTGTCATCATCTTCGTAGATAAACAAGAACATGCTGATGGATTGCTGAAAGATTTAATGAGAGCCTCTTATCCTTGCCTGTCACTTCATGGAGGTAGAGGACACTTTTCGGGACTTTAAAATAATTAACTAGAGTAATAAAGCCTGAAGTGTTGCTTAACACCCTTACTACATGTTGTCCTCTGTAGGTATTGACCAGTATGACAGAGACAGTATAATCAATGATTTTAAGAGTGGAGTTTGCAAACTCCTTGTGGCCACATCTGTAGCAGCCCGAGGTCTTGATGTAAAGCATCTAATGCTTGTAATCAACTACAGCTGTCCCAATCATTACGAGGATTATGTGCATCGGGCAGGCAGGACTGGACGAGCAGGAAACAAAGTATGTAAACAATTCTTTTCCTCGTTAACTTCTTAAAACTGGTCTGATTAAGATGGTATATTGTTTGTGGGAGGTGAGGTAGTTTGTTGAATGCTGCAGGTGGGTTCCTTTTTTTTTTTAATCAAGGGATTTAAAGTCTTTGTTTCAAATCACAAAAAAAATATGATTATATTAAATCCTACTCCTCCCCCTGGAGCCTTCACCATGACATAATGACTGGGTCTAGATGACTTTCCAGTCCTGTTTTTGCATATGCGTGGCAGGCAGGAAAGGGGTACCCCTTGCCCAGATTATAGTGGTTTCCACTGTTATACCAGTTGAATCATCATCATTGGATACTGCCCTTTGGTCTACATCAGAGTGCTCATTATGAGTGGTTTATATTTTCTGAGCATTCATTCAAATTCTAAAGTGAGAACCTGTTAATTTGCTCATTCCTTATATGTTTAGTTGTAATCTGTGACCGATCAGGTGTGAGCAAATGGCCCTTATCTTTATTTTGAAAACCCTGAGTTCAGATTTCTGGCAAGAGCAAACTGTCTTTTTAGTTTGCAATAAGTAGATACTTTGTAATCATAAGACATATCTGAAAATGTTTCACCCGTGTTTCCCATGTGCCTGGCCTTTAGAATTACGCCCACTTCTGAGCAGAGCATGAAAACATTTGTTTATTTAAGTTTGTACAATTTTGCGAATTGTTTGTACAATTTGAAGTGCATTTAGTGTTCAAGGCATTATTGCAGATATATAATGATCATGAGCAAAATCACCCATTTCATGCCGAACTGAGTGGGACTTCTTACTCAGTAGCCATGCATACATTGGGGAACTTCCATAAACAAAACTACTTTTGGGGGGCAAAATAATATTTTTCTCTTACTCTACAATGTATTTTCTTTTACCATAAGAGTTGCAGGAAAAGTGAGAAGTGATGCCCGTTTGCTTCCATCACTGAAATAATCCCACAAATCACGAGCCTTCTGTAACTGGAACAAACTGTTGCTTTGACAGGAAATTATTGTGGCTCCACTCTTTTGTGTCTAAACAAAGTTCGTATTAAAGCTGTTTTTGACAGTTAATTTTAAAAATGAGATTTTTTTATATCCAAGAGAGAAAAATCAGAATTAAAATGTTTTGAGTCAGGTATAAAATAAAGAAATTTCATATTCTAGATAATTGAATAATTGTTTGAATTAAATTGAATAACTAAGACTATAATTCTGTGCTTTCTGGGGGAGTTTACCAACAATGTTTTTGATTTCTACCTGTAAGCACGACGAAAGAGATATGATCTTCGAATCAGACTTTGCAAGTCTTGGCTGCTATGGTCACTTTTTATGAGACTTTCAATGTCTGTAAAGTCAAAAGAGAATTCCATGGGCATGCCTACAGAGGATCAAGAAAGGCATAGATATGCAAAATGTATAACCTTTCCTTTCCCCAGCACTTTTTATTCATGTCTGCCATTGCAAGGCCAGCAAAACTGGGAGTTCCTCTTTTTTCTGATCTTCCACAGAGTTGATATGACTGTTTTGTCTGATAGTGAAAAGCTGATATTTATTATATAATGCAGATTTTTTTAAAGTCAGGTTTAGATTGTGTTGTATAAATTAATTAACAAAAGTTAGAGTCAGTAAATTTTTGTTTCAATTCAGAAATACATAATATATCCCTAATATATTGTTTACAGGGATATGCTTATACTTTCATCACTGAAGATCAGGCACGGTATGCTGGAGATATAATTAAAGCATTGGAGTTGTCAGGTACTCCAGTTCCTTCTGAGCTGGAGAAGCTCTGGAATGACTTCAAAGATCAGCAGAAGGCTGTAAGTCACCCACTTTGGTTGTGGATTTCAATTTCCATGTCTAAATTTCAAGAATGTTTGTGTGAGCATTTCTGGACATTGTTCTAAGGTAGCTTTTACAAGGATGCCAGGTGCTCTTCTGCAAACATTTTGTAATCATTTCCTCCATTAAATCTCCCTTCCAAATAGTCAGAATCTAATTCAGAAGGCAGTAAACCATATTAGAATTTTTCCCTCAATATGTGTTTTTAAATAATGTAAAGACATTTTGTTACCACATCACCCCCTGCACCATTGTTTCTAGTATGCTGCAGTTTGTTCTACTTGCTTATATTGCTATATGTAGATGTGCAAATAGATTGAAACATATCAACTAAAAAGCACTGAATGTAATAGAAGCTTTAATAATAATAAAACAACAACTATCATTATTATTTATAATCCACCTTATCTCCCCTGGTTGACTCAGGGCAGTTTCCAATAAAAGAGGCAAAATTCAATGCTAATAACATAAATAACAGATAAACTCAAAAACAATAAATAAGAACAATGACAGTATAAAACTTAGAATAGTTGATCTCTAAATAGTTGATCCCTAAATCCCCACCCCTTCTTCCTCCTCTTCTAAAGCAGACTTTATTAATACGTGGACTATGTTTTCTGACACATGGCACATTGAGTTTTTATATTTTATTCTCTTAGTTCATAGTAGTACTTTTCAAAAATATGACATGTTGCTTCTGTTTAAAATGGAAGACATATGCAAGTATCCTACACAACAAATACTGATTTATTTACAAAGAAATGCTTTAAAATGCAGTTTTTAAAAAATGTTCTTATGTTGGGAGTGATTTCTGAACAAGGATATTTTCCTATTAGGAAGGTAAGACAATTAAAAAGAGCAGCGGATTCTCTGGTAAAGGATTCAAGTTTGATGAAACAGAAGAGGCTTTGGCGAATGAGCGAAAGAAACTACAAAAAGCCGCACTTGGTCTGCAAGATTCAGATGATGAGGATACAGCTGTTGATGTGAGTATAAATTGCTTTATAGTCAACCATTCACATAATGTATAAAATACGGATTTCTTATGGAATTGCATTTCAGTTTTTAACACATCTATGCATCTTATTGAATTCATAGAAAAATTTCAAATATGTGGCTACAATTTGTCTACTAAATTTTGTTCAATATTTACATTGATTAAAAAATTTCAAGGGATTTCTGGGAGTTATTACTTTTTTAATTATATGAAAAAGTAAATATAGTTTGCAGTGAATGCCATTAGGATTTTGTTACTTGGGTCCTTTCAGATATTGCTTATTTTGGTAAACATTTCCTTACAATTCAACGTACATTGTATTTGTCTTTAATAGATTGATGAGCAGATTGAAAGCATGTTCAATTCAAAGAAAAGAGTGAAGGACATGGCATCTTCTGGTGGGACATCTAATGTTCCTGCCCCGACAGCAGGAAATGCAGAAAAATTAGAGATCGCTAAACGATTAGCATTGAGAATCAATGCACAGAAGAATCTTGGAGCCGAGGCACAAGTATTGGTCTCTTTCCAATTTAAGGTCATCTTTCTTTACATTGAAATCATTTCTATACTTATAATGAATACTTTTTCTGACTATGGCACTAGGATTCTCAATATCTGGACACCCCAAAAGGCAGAAATATTACTATAAGGAAGAGGTGGGGGGAAATACAGACATCTTTATATAGCTTATTGTTAATATCTGAGAAGGTTGGTTTGCATTCAAACATCTGGATTTACACAGTTTATGTTAAGTATAATTCCTGTTCTTGAAAAGAGTGTGCATTTCTGTTATTCTAAATGATTGCGTATCAGCCTGTATGTGCAATTGCTATAAGAGGGATATACTTTATATCAATATAATAGAAGTATTCAATGGACTAAAGCAGGCCTCTTCAAGGTGTTTTGGACTTTAGCTCCCAGAATTCCTGACTATTGAACAAGCATACCAGGGCTTCTTAGAGATTGAGGTCCAAATACCTGGAGGGCCACAGATTGAAGAGGCTTGTACTAGTGAGTACATTAAGACATAGGTGGCAGATACATATGGGTGGTTCAGATAGTTGAAATCATATTGTATATCTGTTTGGCAAAACTGGTTTTTGATGTGACTGTTGATTCTGTAATTAAAAATACTTGCATCAGTATCTGGGCATGATATAAACGAAATATGGTAATTTAAATTATACATTCTTAAGGAATGTATAATAAACATTTTGTGCATATGCCACTTGGTATTTCTGCATGAACAGATTTCTTTATGTGCATGGTTGTTGGCTTGTTTATTGACTATGTATGTAAGGACTTAGATGTGCAGCCAATTTCCCAAATCACATGTTCACATATACATTGTATTGTTTTTTCCTTTACAAATGCTTAGAATATTGTGGTTCATGACGGATAGGTTGAATAGATGTTCATTTTTAGAAGCAACTGGCCCTGTACTATTTTTTCCATATTGCAGAAACCATTTGTTATTTGGCCAAAGACAAATTGTGTAAACAGGTCCATGCTATCTCCTGGATCAGGGGCCTTGTGCCTTCCAGTCAGTGAGATATAACAGGCTCATGTCTTTCTTGGAGGTTTCTTGACTACTGTGGAAACGGCTTCAAAACATTGTTCTTCTCAGCTTAACTGCATACCAGAAATGGGGAGGAAAATGCTGGAAGCAGAGAGAAATGGCCTTGCACTTTTTAAAAGAACAAACATATCAATTCATACTTGGGCACTTATTTTTGTGCCCATACACACACTTGTTTATCTCTCAGGCAAAATGATTCAAGTGGTGATTTGTTGATGAATTTATTGTTACAAGAGATACTCCACTGCTAAGCTCTCCATAGTATGGTCCACACATTGATCTGTAATACTCACAGCACTTGTTCATATCAGTAGTGTGAATTCAGGCAGTTCTGTCAGTTATATCACAAGTGGTGCCCAGCTGATAACACTGTACATGGGTCCAGGCTTTACTGTGAAATATCATAATTGCAGGGTTTCGCTAATAACTACGAATCCTAGGTTAGGGATGCTAGCATGTTGTGTGCTTTCGGAAAACTGTCTGGGATGTCATGATAGAGCCAATGAGTCCTTGTGTAATTTTCCTGGGATAACAACTTTGTTTCATCTCAGCTTTTGTTGTTTTCTGTTCTCAGACCAGTAGGTATCTCAGGCTAAAACAAAATTGGCAGTTAGTTGATGATATAAGCAAATGGTACATGCACAGGTATCTGACTCTGAATTTCTTATGAGCAGAACTTGTTTTGTGGCATAGGTGAAGAGGGAACCAGCAGCATTTACTGTTTTTCGTTTCCCATTGTATGTTGCAAAAATGTGCTCCAAAGGAGTAGAGACAGCATAGGTAGGTTGCTGAGATGTGTAATAGCAACAGCAACAATTTATTTCTTACCTGCCTCTCCTCTTGGCTCAAGGTGGGTTACAGCATAATTAGAACACATAAACATTGTAAACATTCTATAAATATACATATCAAAATTTATTTCAAAAAATACACATTAAAATGCACAGAACAGAGATTAAACACAAAACACAAGTTTAAAATTCATACTTAAAACTGGCTGGGTAGGCCTACTGGGAGAGATAGATCTTTAGATAGTTTAGATAGTTTTTAGAATGACAGACGGGTCATTCTAAAGCAGTGGTTCTCAACCTTTGGGTCCCCAGATGTTTTGGCCTTCAACTCCCAAAAGTCCTAACAGCTGGTAAACTGGCTGGGATTTCTGGGAGTTGTAGGCCAAAACACCTGGGGACCCACAGGTTGAGAACCACTGTTCTAAAGTCTTGGGGTGGCTGATAAAAAGGTTATCTGGGTGGTAGTTGCCAGTCGGGTTCTGGCTGGTTGAAGTAGCTGCCCCGCCCGCCCAAGGACCTTAGTGTTCAGGGCAGATTGTACAGAAGAAGGCTTCTTCTTGAAGGGTTATTCAAGTGACCTTCTCTTCCCCTTTCCATAAGCTTTCACAGGAGGGCATGCTTGGGATCCATGCTATAAAAACACACTGCACTGTGAAATACTGAATTTATTTTGAAAGCTGATGCTCTGAAAGTCTGTGTGGGCATGTAGATCTAGATGTGTGTGTGCAATTATGGTCTTGCTTTTTCTGCTCCCAAAGGCAATATCAGATTTTATCTGATTGTGTACTAAACAGACCCTGCATATTTCATTTGCACAGTAGTATTTAAGATATGTTTAATGCCCAGTTTGTAAAACTCAGCCGAAATATCAAGTTCTTACATTACCTTGTACTGTAATATGTTTCTGAAAGCAAGTTGTGTTTTTTATTTTAAATACCTTATAACAGGATGTGATGCAGCAAGCTACGAATGCTATCCTGAGAGGTGGCACTATTCAGGCTCCAACTGTATCGGCCAAGACCATTGCAGAGCAACTGGCAGAGAAGATCAATGCCAAGCTCAATTATGTGCCGATAGAGAAACAAGAGGAGGAGAAACAGGAGGGTGGACAAAACGAATCTTTTAAGAGATACGAGGAAGAATTGGAGATCAATGATTTCCCACAGGCAAGGATTCTTTGTTCAGTCAAATTTCATTGGGTTTTTATTGTACAGGGCAGTAGTTAAACTGTTGGTATACACTGTATTCTCAAGATGTTTATATAGCACATATTCCTAGTTGGTATATCTGTGCCTAACATTGCTGCAGCTGTCTAGCTGCTTCTATGTAAAGATTGATTTTTGGTTATTCCTGTTGCTCCTCAGTCATATTTTGATCCAATGAGAGAATCACTGGCAAATATATTCTTACAATGAAAAACTTAGTGTTTTTTTAAAATGTGCCTGAGCTGTTTGATATAATTTGGCTTCTTCACATTTAAAAACAGACACAAAATGTTGTTATTGTAGAGGCACACAGTAATAATTCTCTGCCATTTTCAGAGGTATAATCTCTCTAATTCAATAAAACACTTTATCAATGCCATTGAAATCTACTACTATTGAATCCTCGCATATAAATCAAGTCACTGTTTTTTTAAATGCACGCAAAATGAGATATTCCTGCAATAAGTTGTAAAACCATTCTAATATATAACTTCACTTCACTTTATTTCTTAATTAGTCGCTCTCCACCAAGGTGCTCCGAGCGACTTACAATCTAAAATAGCATTTGCACAATATAAAAACATTCAACATAAAAACATTCAACAGTGACTATTTGGCAAATTAGATCTGATTACTTAAATGCACAACCAAATATTTTGCTTTTTTTCACCAAAAATGTTATTTGTAGAGAATTCAAAACATAAACCACATAATACTTACCTTTGTTTGGATCTGTGTTAATACTGTTGTTCAAAAATTTGTGAAGCCAATTTTGCTTTGTGTCTTTTAGATTTAATACTCAAGATTTCTCTTTTTTTGCAGACTGCTAGGTGGAAGGTAACATCAAAGGAAGCGCTGCATAGAATAAGTGAATACTCTGAAGCTGCCATTACAATCAGAGGAACATACTTTCCTCCAGGCAAAGAACCCAAGGAAGGAGAACGAAAAATTTACTTGGCTATTGAGAGTGAGTATTACTCTTTATTTTCACTAAAAGATGATCTCTTGATTCTGTGCTAGCAAACTTAATCTCAGAAGCCATCTGGAGTAATACCAGTAAAAGAGCATTTTGGTGTATCTTTGGAAGCCATCATTCTTCAAGGTATCATGCTAGAGCTCTCAAATTTGATGACTTGTTTTCAACTTTTCCACTTTCAAGCTAAAATTCTAAAGAGTAGGCTTCCTGTAAGCAAAATGAGACTTTGTTATAGCTCCCCGTGCATATTGTAGGCACTTCAGAATATAAAAAACTTCTGTTGATTGTCAACCAAAAGAGCTTAAAAAATAGTGGAAGGCTAAGCCACTGCTGCTAAAACTTTTCAAACTGAGACAATCTAGGGCACTCTTTAAGATACTGCCAGTAAACTTTCTGAAGTAGAGAAATTGAGGTGAGGTTGGAAACCCAAACCTCTTTTTGGAGCCCTTTATTGTACATGAGATACAGATCTGGACTGGATCCAGGTACCTTTCCACTAGAAAATGGGAGAAGGATCTCAGATACTGTTGGGGGAATGAAAGAGGAAAAAAAGAGAGGCACTGCTACTGAGATTCCTATAGTTTTTAAAAAGCAGGAATGTGTGAGGGAGCCCTAGTGATAAACTTGTTGAGGTAAGAGGGTGTACAGTAACTATATGTTTGTTGATATGGCATCAAATTGCTGCCGATTGTAAGACTGCTCTGAGTCCCCTTTGAGAAGGGCGGGATATAAATCCAGGAAATAAATAAATGCTCAGGGAAACCACCCTGAGTCCCCTGAGAGAGATAAGTTAGGTTATAAATAAAGTATTATTGTTATACCACATGGACTCTTTGCAAAGATTACGGTATGTATGGATCTAGGCAACATTGACTGCACTTTAGTTGAGATGAAACAAATGCAATTTAAGCTATTTTTATGCTAGACTAACTCAAGTCATTTGAATTTTGTTCTTGTAAAAAAGATTTACTACCACAGTTTAGACATACCATTTTCCTTTTTTCTAACTAAGAAAATAGCTACATTATATTTTTCTATAAGAGGTGAAAATGTCAGTGATATAGGTTGCCAATCCATATTGGGACTCAGGGTGGCTTACAAAGGCAAGGCACAATTCGATGCCCGCATCACATAACAGCAAAAGACACTAACATCGGTTACCAAAAACAGCAATTCTAGCCATAACAACAATTAACAGAAAACAATAATTATTATAGGCAAAAACAACCATAAAACCAGTAAAAGCAGTAAAAGGACAAGGCCTGGTCTTGTCTGTATGAGTGACGATTCTGCTTTTTCTGCTTTGACTAATGCCCAGAACATCAAGCTAAAATAGCTGTAATGCCATGGGTCGCTAGACATAGAAGCAGTGCAATACTATACTCAGCTCTAGAGGCATTGCTACCAGTCATGAATCAGTGTCTTGCATATTATTCCTCAATTTCCCTTGAAAGCCATGTTTTCTTTTAATTTTTTTCTCAGTCTTACTGTGGCAGGTAAAAATCTGTCTTATTAATTTGGACATAAATCCTCCTGAATTCATTGAAATTTACATCCAAGTAGCAGTTAGATCCTGTACATATATGCAGTTCTAAACCCACTGAAACTATAGTTTTTGGTATACCAGAGTAGGGTTGGGTTATGTTACAGCTGCAGAGTGAACCAGAAATCTTACCTTAACTGTGAATTTACTAAGAATTGTTTCGTAAACCAGGCTTTGGCTTGGTCTGTCACCTGCAATAGATGATCTAGCTTACGTGGTGGTTGTAAAGATTGCTGATATTATATGGTTAAAAGAGGGAGAGAGTATTATGACAGCCTCTTCCCTGAGAGTACACTGTACCTTAGAGATGGCGTTCCCAAAGAAGGTTTCTACTACAGTGTAAAAGACTTAGGAGTATTAGATATTGTATTGGAAGTGTACGCCCAGATAATGGGAACATCACATTTGGGTGCACACTTAGTGTCACATCTCATCCATGTTGTGAACAAAGACTACATGTAAAGCACATTTCAAACTTTTTGCCTTCCTGCAGAAGGTTGTGGTGTTGCTTCTTTTAGTTTTGGCTGATTTAGATCGAAGTTTTAAAAAGAACAATGGGCAATCATTTGCACTAAAGATTTTTCCATTAATATTTCAGAAATGGATGGCAATTTATTAGTAGTAAGGATGATGATACCTTTAAAAATGTTACCCTGCCTTTCAGTCCAAAAACAATCCTGCCAAAGTAGCTTTCAACTGCTATGAAACTGCATTATATGGCAATGTAGAGGGGACCTGAGTTAGCAGGAAGGAAGGGAACTAACTGGAGCTTCTGGGCAAAGGAGTTAAAGCAGCATGGCCAGCTAACACTCCTCAATTGGAAGATATGAAAGTGTGGAAAATATCTAATGATTTGATAACAAGCATTAGAAATTGGGTGAAATACATTATGTGCTGCACATACTGCTATGCTTTTGACATTTCTGGCCAGGGGATTGGCAAATCATTGTGCATCGAGACCTGCTTCAGATACCATCCTTTGTCTTCCAAGGATAATCTAGTAAACATAAGTGGATGTGCTGTACTTCTGGGAGCTACTTAATTCTCAAGTTTTAAATATTTAATTTACCTAGTAATAATACAATGTAGGTATTTGTTTTACAGCTTAAAAGCACTGATCTCAGTAGATTAGAAGTACTTGTGCAAATAAATGATCTTGCATAGTTGTTTTGATACATTTGGAAAATACTATCTCATAAATCTTGCTACTTCAAGCAGTTATAGAAGGCCTAAGAGCAAACACATTAGATAAAAACAGCAAGTTAAATCCAGTCTTGTATTGGTGGACAAAGCAGAGGCTTTCCACTATCCAAGCCAGTTTTGTGTGGTGGGCATGGGTTTGCAATGGAGACAGGAATTAATACACATTTTTGCTTGGAAAATAGTTAAACTACAGATAAAAATCTTGATCTATCCATTGCTTTAAATCTGTCTCTTTTCATTATGATTGAAATTGGCCTGTTTAAAATTGTTCCATCTTGATGCAGAATAACTTGTTGTGGATTATATGATATAATACAGTGTGGTCCTTATTACTTATGGATGATAAAGTACAGCTTTAACATCAAAATATAAGCATTATTCGATTTTTTGAATTACTATCAACATGGCCAGTAGTGGGCTTCAGTTGTCCCCTCTATTGCTTGCTCCATCACTGTGCATTGTTGACAAATGTACACATTTTGTGTGTTTTCCAACTTAAAGGTGCCAATGAATTAGCTGTACAGAAAGCAAAGGCAGAAATCACTCGGCTTATTAAAGAAGAGCTCATCAGATTGGTAAGTGAAATAAAGTTTTGTAATTTATGTAAGATAGTTCAAGTATTTTAAGCTACTTCTGAATTCACCCACAATAAAACCACCTGTATTTAATACTACAAATCCAGAAATATTCCAGTGGATAATGTAGACTTCTTAGCTTGGTACATTTTCACTGAAATATGTCTTAAATTCCCACAAAGGTACACTGAATTGTCTTTTCTCATGAATGGAAGCTTTTCTTTTTCATCAAAGTCAGTGTGAATTGTTTTGCTCGATAGTACTTGTCTTTCTGATTCACACGAACCATACAGATGTTTGGATCGGTTGTTCAGCCTGTGATGAACTGATTCAAAAGACACAATCAAAACACTTTATGGAGCCTTCTATCACATATCTCTTACCTCTAGACCCCTGTATTTAGCTACAGTTGATGTAGCTAAGTGGATTCCGAGTTTATCCTCTTAGTAGGAACATTTATTTAGTGGCGAGAATTGAGATCTAGAAGAGCCTTTACACTGGAAGAAATAGGCAAGGGTGGAATTTATGTATTTATGGCGATTTCTCCCTTTTCCTTAGCTCCTAGTACCATCTCATATACTACTCTTGAGGTATTTAATTGTGGAGATTAAGATCTTCCGGGGAGACCCTGCTCTCCGTCCCCCCATTGTCACAGGCGCAATTGGTGAGGATGAGAGAAAGGGCCTTCTCGGTGATTGCCCCCTGGCTATGGAACTCCCTTCCTGGTGAGATCAGACCGGCCCCCTCCCTCCTGTGCTTCAGAAGGATGGTAAAAACTTGGGTGTGGGACCAAGCTTTCGGGACAGTGCAATAAAGCAGCAACAGGAAACTTTACCAGGCCAATTAGATTTGACACAGATGACCTAGACAGTTTTAAACAGTGTATTTTAATATTGAGATAAATGTTTTTAATGTTTATGTATGCATATAATGAATTCTTGTCCTGGCATTGAATGTTTGACAGATATATGCTGGGCTCCACCCTGAGTCCCCTTTGGAGTGAGAAGGGTGGAATATAAATGTTTTAAATAAATAATAAATAAATATTTCCAGCCATCCAAAAATATTGTAAGGGGTATAAAACATTCTCATAAGCAGTCTGTGAAAACCACAGTTGTCACCCCTTACTCCTCCATTTTATGGATTTCTTCACATAATTATAACCTATGATCATTGGTTTCTGTTTTATCATTGTATTATACATTATCAACTATATATGACTAAGTGCATATTCGTTTTTTTCTTACAGCAAAATTCGTACCAACCAACCAACAAAGGAAGATACAAAGTTTTGTAAATATTTGAAGCAAGTCCATGTGTGTGAACCCTTGTTCTGTTAATCTTTAGTATTTACACTGCTTTTATGTAAATTATGTTTTTAAAAATATTGTCATGCTGGATGTTTTTTACAGATCAAAAATACTTTGTGGGGATCATTTTCTGCCCACAGGAGGAGGGCATGATTAAACTGTTTTTGTTTGTATGCTTTCCATTCTGAACATACTTAATAAAATGTTCCTGAAAAAGTATAGTGTAGCCTCAGTTTGAATAATGTACATCAGAGGTCTGAAGTTATAGTTGTTCCATGCTTCCATTATGGAGTAATGGGGAAAAAGTACTTCAAATCTAAAGATGTGCTTTCCTTCCTCATTTGTTAGAACACCCCCCCCCCCCTTCCCAGAGATCATTAAGAGGTTTATGATCTTCCAACACCATACAAATGCATTCTGGGGGAAAAGGACATAAATCTCTTAATGGCCTTCGACACATATGGGTAATAGGAAAAAGTTTAAAATGTCTGTATATTTTTCTGCAAAATTAGAAATAACAGCTATTATTTAATAAACAACTGGTTTTAGGATTCAGCCAAAAATATGTCATTATTATTTAATGAGAGGTAGAATTGTACTTCCACAACACAAGATTTCTTTTTCTTCAGGAAAGTACAGAATTGTTCGAGTAGATTGTGTGTATGTTTTAAATATTCCCTTCCCTCTGGTTTTCTGTGATTTGTAAAGAATACGTTGATTAACCATCTCTGGTAGCGGTGGCTCCTAGTCACTTGAAATATAGTTGCCCATTTATCAATTTCTGTTTCTTCTATACTGGGTCATTATTTGAACTCAGACGGCAGCCTAACGCTCTACACGTCGCATTTCTGATGGGTACGCACATGAAAATTCAAGGGATGATTTTTCTTGGAGCTTTGAAATTCAGTTTTTAATATATTCTAGCACTGGTGGTGTGTATATGCAAACTTGTGGCAATAGTTGGAGAAAACGAGTATTTTTTTGGAAATACCTTATCTGCCAGTACAATTCTATGGGGCATAATCTAGTTTTAATACATAACCTGTGTATTCATTGAAATAAATTGGATTCTAAATTGAATACCTTTATAGAGCATTTCTGTGGAAGTTTAGAAAAAGGAGGGTTTGTTTTGGGAGAACCATTTTTTCATCTGCGATAGGTTGGTGCTATCCAGGACAAGAAGGACAAGAGGCACCTTTTTATCTCCCCACTGTCAGCAGTGCTCTTTTTCTTACTTGTTCCTTCTTTGTTTGTTCAAATGGGAACATAACTATATTATACTATAATATATTAGGGATAATATACACCGGGGGGCCCTGGTGGTGCAGCAGGTTAAAATGCTGAGCTGCTGAACTTGCTGACCAAAACATTGGCAGTTTGACTCCCGGGAGAAGGGGGAGCTCCCGCTGTTAGGCCCAGCTTCTGCCAATCTAGCAGTTTAAAAAAATGCAAATATGAGAAGATCAATAGGTACCGCTCCGGCGGGAAGGTAACAATACTCCATGCTGTCATGCTGGCCACATGACCTTGGAGGTGTCTACAGACAATGCCGGCTCTTCGGCTTAGAAATGGAGATGAGGGGGGGCGGAGTTACCATGGCTGGGGACCTTCATGGTAGGGAAGGAGAGACAGAGGGAGAGAAGGAAGGGGGGGGGAAGGAGTAAAGAAAAAAAAAAAGGGGGGGGGGAAGGGGGGGGGGAAAAAGGGGGGAGGAAAAAGGAGGAA